AGACAGGAAGCATAGTCTTAATGTCCAAGGCCAGAATCCGACATGTGTTCGTTGCAATCAATAGTGTGGATTGTGCATCTACACGGTAGTGTTCCATCCAGACTGCGTATTCCACAGTTCCATCTTCGGCCGCTGATAGTTGGTACTCTCGTACGAGTTGGAGTTTTCCGTACCGAACGGTCTCGTTGACATTATTATAGTCAACCCTTACCGCGTTAATACTCCCATCGGTAGCACCGCTGATGAAAGTGTGCGTGTTTTCAACAAAGGTCAACGATTTGATCTTAGCTTCGGTAGAGTGGCGGTAAGTTTGGCGAGACCTGGGCGTCAAGTTCTTCTCAAGACGGCTTGTGTCCCAGATTTTGACAGTGCCATCATCCGAGGCAGTGACGAAAAATGCATGATCCGGCGCTATTACGACCCTATTCACCGGTCCACTATGCTCACCGAAGATGACAACTAGTCCACCAGTTGGTTTCCATACCTTGTTCGTTTCGTAACCGCTGGCTTTTTTGATCGCTCGCCTGGTATCTATCTCTTTGACATAAGGACCAAGGTCAAAGAAGTCCGTAGGGTAGTTTTCCGCAAACACATTATCGAGTAACTTAAGGATGACAGGATTATGTCCTCCGTATGAGTGACTGGCATGATACTGTTGTGGCCCATTCTCGAGAGCTTTCCTGTCATGAGCAACGGACAATGGAGATGGCTGCGGCGTTCCCCGATGTGATGGAACATCAACTTTGCCAAATGCATTTGCAGAGCTCGTACTGGTTTCGGCGTAAGCTTTCGCAGACTCCTTACGATTGAGTAGGCTTATGGCACTGGATTTCCTCTGTACACCAGTGGCTAGATTCCTCACCACTGGGTTTTCAGCGTCAGTCGGTGTTGATGAGCTTTCGTGCCCAGGGCTATTTCTTCCCTCAGTAAGTCTTCGCTCAGTGTCTGAGCTAGGGGGGGATAAGGGTCCTGATCCTAGCGCAGCGCATGGTGACGATGCCACTGGCGACGAGGCAGGAGAGCTTTCAGCTGCTCGAAGGGTATCCAAGGTATCCTGCTTTGGCGTAGTCAGGATAGGCCCTATTTCTCTCTGTAGTTGACTTCTTGAACGTGCATGCTTTCTACGAGAGTTAGGTCTACTATCAATCGTAGTTGAAGCATCGAGTAAAGCATCAGTGATGGTATGTGGTCTGCGCTCGCCAGTTTTGCTAGGTTGGTCCTTGGCCGATGAGGCCCTGCGTGGCTTCACATTTTGACTCTTGTCAAAGAAAACGGTCTGAGGAGTTACTCCATATTGCGTCAAAGCAATGACGTTATTCAGGTCAGAAGTCCCATTTTCAGACTCTTTTACCTGACGCGCAGTAACTCTCCATATGTATTCTCTGAGCGCGAGCAATTTAAGCTCATCGTCAGAGCCCATCCCCATATTCTTTAACCTGGACAACCACTGTTCATCTTCCTCGTTCCTAGAGTACGAGCTTAGAGAGTAACTTGAGCTTCTCTGACTTCCCCTGGGAATGAAGCTGTCATTCGCACCGACGCTGAAAGTTCCCTCTCGATTTGCGGTTCTCCAAAATATACCCTTTTCAACTTTGGAAGCCCATATAAAGGCCAACTCGTATACATTTCTTGGAAGAGGTTTTTTAAGCGCGTCGAGTATATCACCTTCCGAAAACCCTACAATGTTGACTTTAAGGAAAGGCCGAATAAGTGGTGTAAGGATAGAATACTTATCAGCCACTGATAGGAACTTGGTGGAGTTGACAACGAATGTCACAGCTGCTTCGCGGATCCACACGTTAGGGTGAACTAAGAAACGCATCGTGATGTCAAGGAGATCCCAGGTGGTCGATCGCTGAAATAGTCCGAGATCGGCCATCGCAGCAAGCGAGCGAAGAACTCTTTCCACAACAAATTCCTCCGGATCAGTCATCGACTGTACCATTAATGGTAAAATGTACTGTTCCAAGCTTGTGCTCCCAACGTAAGCTGCAACACCCACGACAACCTCGAAAAAGGCACATTTTAGGATCCAATCACGATCATTCAGATACGTATTTAGGTGGCTTAAAATAACCTCATTAGTCTTGAGGTTACCGAAAAAAACGCAGAGGCTGGAGACAGATCCAAGGAAAGCGCGTCGAACTGACGCATCGCTATCGGTTAAAAGAGCTTTGGTATGAGCTTCAAAGTACTCAAGAAGATCGACCCTTGCCACATCATAAAGATTGTGATAGGTGGCGTCTTCGGTCCACCTGGGTTCAGAGCCCGCTGGTATCAAAGCTGGCAGGCGGGTATCTGTGCGTAGCGCCTGTATCATATCCAAAAATCTGAGGGATGATTGCGCTAGAGATGCTATGCACGATGCATACGCGGCGCGCACCAGCGGACTTGGTTTTGAATTGGAACTAGAAACAAATGGCTGAAGCCTTGGAAAAATGTATTCCGAAAACAGATAAGCATTCACCGGAGACACAACATGGACCATCTCCAGTAATTGCGCAAGCGAACGTATGGCTGCAACCTTCACAGAATCAGAGCGATCATTAAGAAGAATCATAATGTAAGGGAGGATGCGGTCCAATTTTGCCTCATCAGACAATCTCTCAGCAAAGGCAAGAAGGATATCGCAGGCCTTGACCCGGGAAGACGCTTTGGACGTGTTGCGTAAATTAGATACAACGAGTGTTAGGAAAATGAGAACACCATCGTCTGTCTGTGGCTGAGATTTTGCCCCTTGATGCCCATATTGGGGCAAATCGAGCTGGACAGGGAAAGTATTGCCAGTAAGCCTCGAGGTAGTGCGACTAGAGCCGTCTTTCATAGTCTTGGTTGATGCACCGAGGAAATAAGAAATCTTATCGAAGTCAAGGTAGACCCTGTCTATTCTGTCATCGGCCTCTCCCCTGTTGGCAGATTCGGCTTCAACTTGTGCTCTGCCCGAGGAGGGGTCTGTCATGAGAGACATATATTGATGGAGGAAACTATAAAAGTACTCCGGGAAGGCTTTGTTTTTCCAAAAGTTCAAGTATTCTTCTGCAGAATATCTTGACTCTGGGTCGATCTGAATCATGTGAAGAATCAATGCCCGAATTTCCGGGTCCTCGATCTTGGCCAGCTGGCCGTGTTCCGGACTGTATTCGCCTTTTCGATATTTGTACATTTGGCTCAAAGTAAATATGGGCGACTCTAAGAACAACTCTGCAATTACACAGCCGGCACTAAAAATGTCCATGGCCCAGTTAACTTGCTCAGATTCTCGTTTCTCACCAGCTTCTAGAAACCTTTCAGGTGCCAAGTAACAGGTTCGTCGCCCGGAGGTGTCGAAGTAGAAGTGAAAGTCAGCAGGATTGTCTTCCGGAAGGAATGTTAGTTTGAAAGACGATGAGAAGTCTGACAAATAGAGCCAATTCCATGATGTGACCAAGACATTCTCCGTTTTGATGTCACCATGGAAGACATCGAGCGCATGGCAATCTCGCAATGCACACAGAAGCTGGAACGCAATCCATTTCTTCTCAATATCCTCTGGAAAAGGCCGCGTACTACGCCGGTTAGAGAAGGTCCATGAGTTAGAGGTTCAGCACATACCTCATGCGGTCATAAAGAGAACTGTGGATGTATTGGCGAACTAAGTAACCGCCGGTACCAGTTTCAAGGATTCTTTGGTAACTCAAGGCATTAGGAACATCCGAAAGCAGCTTGCGCTCCCCTACCCTGATAAGTTAGACCGCCTCGGGCATACTGGCACACGGCATATAAACAAAAACGTACGAATTATAGCTTTGACATATGGCTCTAGCTCCATGCTAGGAAAAGGCTTCATGATTACCTTAACAAAAACGAGGCCATTTTGCTGCCTTGCCCGGATGCTCTTCATAAATCTCCCACCACCCATCGATTTCTCATATGTCAAGTCTGACAGCTCGGGGATATCTATCCCGGCCGAACCCGCTGAAAGGGTTGTAAGTGAATAACCTTGGCCCATGTCGAAGTTCCTTCATCTCAGAGGCCCTTGAAAGTAATGAAACCCATCAACGCAAAGATGGGGGAAGCATCTGTGTCATGTACAGCGCAAATCTACGATATCGCTTTGACAGAAAAACGAGCAGTTGGAAGTCATACCTCGCATAGGTGAAGTTGACGCGTTGAAAGGTGTCGTCGTTGGTAATGTACTTGTCACATGATACGGGCGGTGTAACATGCTCCGTAAACTATACGTATTGACAGGAAGGGACCGCCCAGAGCACCTTACTACGCGCTAATGAGAATAATCTTTGTGGAACAAGAGGCGCGATTGGGTAAAAATAAAAAGATAAAATAAATTGAATGGAAGCAATCATATTTAGAGCGGCACCTTGCAGATGCGTGGCGTCTGATAAAATGTGGTAACGTATCGCTAAAGGGTTGGTGTTAAAGAAGGAATACTATCACTAAATCTCGGCCGTCAATTCTTCAGGAGACCTTGGTGCCTGAGGTGTAGACTCTGCCCGATAGACGCAATGGCGTACCGTACTAGGAAGAAAGCTTGTTTAATTATCAGGCTCAAGAATACTGCCTTACCCAATCAGACGACACGATTTAATACAGCCGGTCCCATCTTACTGATAGCAACCACTTAAGGAGTTATTAACTTCACCGTTTATTCTGCTCTGCAAAACTCCACCTTTCGTGCCCCTCAGTGACTTATGATACCTACAAGCATTTATCGCGAGTTGCGTATTTGGAGATTGAATCAAAGGACATCGATAACTTTTGGGTCCATGCTATCCATATCAGTCCCTAAAGAATTTCGTCGTCAATCTACGCCAAGGACATCATCCACTTTATCGAAGGTACAGATTCGGTCAAGAAGCGCCACGTTCAATCACAATCACGACCACGCTTCCAGTGATGGATTCGCTAATTATCACCAGGCTCTTCGATTGTAAAGCCGAAACTTGGGCTGAGCGACCTTGAAATCGAACCGGAGGGCAACTTCTGGATAACCTATGACCACTATGCCTTCAGTCAATTTGGATTCTTCTACGTCGTCAATAGGGCCCCATGAAAATGAGCATCCCGAAATTCCGATCATTGATGACAATGAACCGTTAGTTGACGTGATCCGAAAGCTATATAAGTAACTTCCGCACTCACTGCCGTGCTTGGAACATGGCCCTGACATGCTCTTGTCTAGTTATTTGGCATTAACCATATCTGATGTCTCATATACCTTTGAGCAAATTGGATCTACCTCCCACGGCTATAGTCTCAGGTTGCTTATTCAATCTTTAGTGGAAAGCTCACATAACACTTATATTATTCCTGCACTGATGTAAGATTAGTTTGATATATTTACGCCTTTCCTTCATCAGAGGGGTTCGAACTCACTCGTCTTAGGATCCTGAAGTGGCAATTCGATAATGCTGCCGATTATGATTGGGGCGTAAGTGAAAGTCGAGGATACGCTTGTGAATATGTTGCCTGGCAATTTGTCTGTCACCTTAATCAGCGGGAAACTCTTGAATACCTACTTGAGGAACTCACATGGCCCACACAGAAGGCTATCAACCTTCCTCATGCAGAAATGGGCACTTCTGGATATGCCTCTGCTACTGCCACTAACCACCGGACACTAGAAGCCAATGAGAGGGTACCATTGTTGATGGGCTCATCGTCGTCTTTGTATCGCTTCTTTGGCGGCACGAGGCATCTAGGTAGCTCAATTGAGGGTGATAGTCGAGGCTCCCACGACTTCACACATGATGCGTATGAGCTGGAGAAATTCTCACTGTTTTTTGGACTGAATGCTCTAGAAATTGCAACTATTGCTCACGCAAAGAAATTCCTCAGCCAAAAAGTGGTACAGAGAGTCATTGATCATATCTGGAAAGGAGAGATTGTTTTCTGGGACACGCTGAGTGTGCACTCGACAAAGAAACCACACTTCTTCAATAAACGGTAACATATCCAATGCTTCTCAATCTTCATCCAGTTGCTGAAATACAGTTGCGATGCAGGACGGCGGATCCTTATTCTCGATTGCGGGTTCCGGTATATCGCAAAGCGTTTGAAGCGGCTTTCTTTGTCTCGTTCTTAGTCCTATACTACGCGGTCTTAGTTGAGCGAAAGCCTACGGGTATAGGAATCTTTGAAACACTGATGTATTTCTGGATCGCTGCCTTCGCTTATGATGAAGTAAGCGGAATGGCAGATGCGGGGATGCTTTTCTATCAGATGGACTTCTGGAAGCTGTGGAATATGGGAATAATAGGTACCGGACTTGCCTTTGTCATTGCAAGTGAGTCATTATCCCCTGTGAATCTGCCTTACCGTTCGTTCAGCTTTTTCAGCTGGACTAGGATTCTGTGCCATCGGGGTGAGCGAGCCCTTGTTTCGCCCCTTCCTATGTGCTAAACCCGAATATTGTCTAGGGATTATCGGGTTGGCCAAGGATAGTGATTACATTACAGACTTGTCATTTGATATACTTTCGTTAGAGGCACTATTCCTAGTTCCAAGGCAAGTTTCACTTACTGTTACTAAGTTTCAAGTCCATGTTTAGGAACTGACGGTGGCAAACAGGATATGCTCCCTTGTCAGCCTCAATTCCTATTTTGGGAGTCTGGTACGTCGGGCCCCCCGACCCTGCATTAATAAAAAAGAGAAATAGAAAAAAAAAAAACGCATGTCATTGAACGAGCTGACAAGTACTATGTATAGATACCTGTTTTGAAGGAGATGGTACCATGCCCGGGGCTAGTCCGATGACGAAGAAGCTGATAAGACTGATCGTTTGGGTCTAGACAAAGTCGTTTTTCCGGTTTATGCCCGTCGTAGTTGTCCTATACATTGGTATGTGGCGCTGAGGCACGCTAGAGCGTCGACGGTAGTCTCATATGATGACATTGTGGCGCTGCAGGGTTCTTGACGACGTTCACTATGCTTGCCCGTGACCGACTTTCTCTCAGGCAAATGTCCTGGATTTTAGTGAAGGTGTTCTTTGGGTATTACGGTGAACCCCCTGTTGCTAGACTGTTCGTACTAACAACGCGAGGCAGATCGAACGTGTTAGGCTTTGTGCGTTGTATTCCGTTGGCGTAGAAGTGTTCTTCAAACTAATGGTGGCTGAAACGATTGGATATTAGGACATCGCTCACGAAGTAAGTACAATGCGCTAAGCAGCTGTCATGCAGCCCGAATCATAATTACCGGGGTTTTTGGAAAATCGGTTGGCCATGGTGTTAAGTTGACTGACGCGCTAATTCTTAGATTTCCCCGATCTTCGGCTACGGCTTGATGTGAGTTTCTCCTCCCGTACGGAGTATACTGCGCCACATGTACATTCATGAACTTGGCCGCATACTCTTTCGATCACGTTCGACATTTGGAAAGATTTTCGAGATAGTATGGCGCTATCCAACTCAATGCCGCCGTCTTTTCCCTATCAATCCCTCTCAGGCTCCAACCTCCCCCCCCTTTTCTTTTTTTTTTTTTTTTTTTCCTTTTTTTTCTTTTTGCGGCCTTGGGAGTTGCATTTGTACGCGCTGTTTTGGGTCGTACGCCGGTAACCCCACGATACTTGGCATGAGAATTCTAGTTACATCAAAATAAAAATATGGAAACTGATGTGTGCAATCCATAGGCTAATTTTCGTCTCGATGACGAACCTGTTACTGATCTCTTCGTTGGTCAGTCTCATGAGCATGAGCCTAGAAGGGGTACGTTCAATCTAGTGTGGGGCGTCCCATCCTGATTCGTCCAAGAATGCTAATTTGTCTACCCGACATTCTCGTAGGTTATGGCCCACGCTCGCGAAGAATATCTTTTTCAGTTAGTTTTACTGGTATCTATTTTCTTGCTATTACTCCCTGCTGACGTGTAGGACCAGGTTATCTATTTACGTGTTGGAAAGCAGTAATTCTCGACGATTAACCTATTTCATGCCACCATTGGTTAGTACTGCAAGGGTGTTGTGGTTCGCCCATGCCGCTAACCATAGAACCTTGATGCACAGAACCTCATCCCTCTGCTTTGTATCCGCCCACTGAGGCTCTTTCTGCCTGCGGAGCATATCCGCCGGGTGCGCATCGTTTTGCTCAGAGCAACGCACCTCCCCTTTGTTGCTCTCATCTGGGCCTATGAATCTGGCCGCCGCTTTGTCTCGCGGCGAAATAGTCAATGGCCCCCGACAGCTACAGCACGGGGGAGTAGCCGCCCCGTGTCATCGATTCAAACTGGTTTAGCCTTCTCCACCGCTGATGCTCGCTCTTTAAGTTCTGGTAGGGCTAGAAAACAACCGGACCCGGGGCAGTATATTGGGGTGCGTGGACGAGACCCGGGCCCGGCAGGGAGTGTTGACCTCGCAGATATGATCGACGAGGTGGAACGGTTGCGCACTCAAGTGGAGCGAGTGGCAGCCACGGTGGCCTTTCACCACCGAGTTCAATAATGAACGTTAGGGGAAGAAAGGGACTGGGGCTAAACGTGGACTACATACAAGGCAAGGAGAACGGACCACTGCGATATACACACGCACTGCTGCTTGCCTAAAGAGTTAGCGCGAAGACCGGTCACATTCACCAGTTCCAAATTGGAAATAATTCAGAGTACGTAGATTGTTATTGAGCAATCATCTATATTATGCATTTTCAATTTTTTCTTTTGAATTTCTTATTTCCTTTCCTAAATTTCTATTTAAATTTGATTTTTGGGTTATTTCCCCCGAATGGAGGGGTGGCGTATGCAATCATCGGCAGCGTACTTTCCCCAATGATTAATTGGGATGGGTATTGATAATGTCTCAGCTCGTATGATCTTCAATGCCTATATTATTTGCATGACTGGATGAAACTCATGGCGAGAAAAGGCTAGTGTCGTCTAACATAGGCGTACCTACTCATGGATCAAAAGGGTTCATGCTGATCATCAACAGAAAATGAAAGATTTCGGGAAAAGTACGGAGTAAACAAAACATACGGACGGAGTAATATGAATGATCTGATTTTTAAAACGAAAAAAAAAGGTAAAAAAAAAAGGAAAAAGAAAAATAAAAATACACCCAACGGGAATGAACTATAGCTGATGATACCTACGGAGTACTCCGTACATAGAAGTACAACTGATTCATGATCAAAGCCAAAACGAGCCTGAAGAGATATGATTATTTGCTGGTTCCATCAAGGGTCGGGTGGCCGGAGAGCCCCTCTTGCCTAAACAGGAGGCTCCATCATTCTCACCATTTCATTTCTATCATCCTCCATAACGGACTGCGTTAGTCTCTGGAACCCCTCTCCCCTTTTTCCTCGGATCATGCGGCTGTGTTTACCAATCAGATAGGGAGACACGCACTGCTATTTTGCCAAGCAAGGTTACCAGACTGTCGGGTCGTAACTAAACCTCTTTGATGAAAGAGCAGTGGGTGAAGTGTGCGCTGGTGTTTGACTGGCCAGCGGTGATCGAGGGAGTGTTCAGCGGTCCCATACGTTCCATACTCCGTACGCATACATACATGCATACTACTACTGTGGTGGTGGTCGTAGTGGTACCTTCGTTGCTCAGCGCTGGTCGTCATGAACTGCTGCGGTGTTTTTTCTTCTTCCTTTCGATCTAAACGAACAGAACCCACCCATTCACAAACATCCCCGTCGAGATGAGCCTTCTCTCGTTGCTCTCCTACATGACACCACACTACTCGACACCCCTGTCTCCCACTCCCCGCTAGCTACAATTTTTTTTTTTATTTTTTTCCCTCATTTTTTCCCTCTATTTCCCTTCCGGTTTTGCCTGGAGCCTACTCGGGCAAACCCACTAACCCTGGCCACAATGGCGGCTCCTCCAATTGTTAATCAAAAACAATGCATACCACTGTTTTGCCCAACCCCACGGCCATGACTGATACTTTGGCCTAATCACACTTTTTCGGCGCTAAGGAATTGTGCATGACTTGGGATTATCGCGCCTATCTCAATATTACAGACATGGGCTGCAGACAACCCGGTCCGGCCCTTTTCCCCAGCTAGACTTCCCACACCCCTACACCCTTCTTCTCTTCTTCTGTGGCTCTTATTCACCGCATTCATGCACATCCAGTCCGTCGAATCTGCCTTGGCTGACCTGGCGTCAAGGTCACTGCTTGACGGCCCTTCATCGTGTCATTGCGGCGGAAACTCCCCTCCAATTGTCATATGGCTCGGTTTATCGAGATCGCCATCAGCCACAGTCTATGCCTGTTCCTGACCTCAACTATCAGTAGAAATGCTACTGAGTCACCAGCACTTATATAGATCATATTTACCCTCTCTTCTTTCGTGTTCCGAATCAAATACAGAGTTTTCAAATCCGCAAGCTACTCATTCAGCAGGTAGAAGTCTAACGAGCGTGAGGACAGCACAACTGTGTTTTGGCGCCATACCTCCCTCTTTCGCTTCAGTCTTCCTGTATTATTTCGTTGATCTTCCGTTCTCTTTACTGTTGTGTTTCGTTACTTGACCAAACAAGATTTTATATCTTAATCATGGAGCAGGCTCCTACATCGTTTTCTTCGCCCTCGCCCTTCGTTCGATCGCCACCGGATAATCACATAAGGCTGGAAGAAACCTCCGCTTATTCGTCGCCTATGTGCTCTGTCTCTAGCTATCCGAGCAACTCGCAGTCGACCACTGGCTTAGGAATCTCCCATTGTGAGATGGAAGGCCCATCCAGTCAGCTAAGGCTGTTTCCACCCGACACATACCCATCGCCGGTAACCGAATGGCCGAATCAGATGATGCATTCCGGATCCCTTCTCGAGACGACGCTGGACGTTAGTCATTTCTCTCCAGGTCCATGCTACGAGCCATTTGGTAGCCACTCTGATGTTTCTGTCTCGCCCCTTACCTATTACAGCCCGCAGACTCTGAACGCCCCATCTAGCTACTGCCCTGCTATGGATTTCGCCGGAAATTGTAGCACCTTGAGTGCCTCATCCTCTCGCTTTTGGCCGAATACCCCCCAATCCGACGCTGCTATCGCCGAGATCCAGCCCCCAGTGAAGGAAGAACCTGACGACACTTGGGAGCAACACCTTTTGACTAAGGTCAGTGACTCTGCAGGAACCGGCTCGGCACCACAAATGCCTCACATAGCGAGCAACGATGCTTATTCCAAATCTCGACGCTCTGCTGATAACGGTAATGGTACTTTGGTCGAATTAAATCCAAATGTGGGACGCCAAGGGGATGACAGCCAAAAGCCTACTTCAAGGAATGTGCCCGTTGTAGTCTTTCAATTTACAAAAAGTGATAGCGAACTCCCTGATGAGCGGTGCAAGATACTATCTGCAAGTGGCCTTGAATGCACGATATGCGGTATCCGGTTCACTCGACGCTCTAACTGTCGCGAACATATAAAGAGGCATGATCCAAGCCTTAGAAAGTCGTACAACTGCGAGTTTTGCGATAGGCCATTCGGAAGAAAGGCTGACCTTCGGCGACATGTAACTAGTGTGAGCTGAACCCAGACTCCCTCATAGATACATGACTGATAGAAACGCAGATTCATCATGGAATTCGAAAATTCGGTTGTGAGGATTGTGGCCAGCGGTTCAGCCGACAAGATACACTTTCGAGGTAAAAAAGCTAATCTACCATCATGTATGTGTTCACAAGCTAATATGGTTTATTGTTACAGGCACAAGGCAGATGGTTGTCACCGAAGACCACGAGCTACGGATATCTCCAGGAAGGTGGAAGCTATTCAAGCAGCTCAGCACCCCTCTGGACCCCCTTCCAAAGAGCCCCGCTGCAGAAACAAACGACGACAGTCTGTACCGAAGTAATAGCTGCATGCCTGGCATAGTGATCGAGAGCAATCAAGATATATAGTGAGCCATTACTGCGTTGATCGCGGATATGGTAGTTACGGTTATACGCATGGCTTTGCAGGTCAGCAATGAGTGATGTACATTTGTCTGGAACATAATGAATGCTCTTGAGGATGAGGTGGCTATCTGCTTTGTTTCATGAAATTGTTTTGCATGACAATGATTTTGGTGAATGCTGTTCGAGTTTGGAATTTTGGTTATCATCTCTTTTCTCTCCTTTTTTTCCCCCTTTTTTATCTTTCCCCCTTTGGTGTTTTTAGAGCAAGTACAGCATCAGGGGCCTATAGAAACGAGCATCATCGCATGGCTGGCCCATGCTTGAACATATGAATTTGAACATGTTATTCAAAAGCTTGTTAATTATGACTTTGATTATTATATGTCTTTTTTTTATTTCCCCCCCTTTTTTTTTCCCTTTTCTTTTTCCTTTTTTTTGTCTTTTTTTTTGTATTTTTTTTCTTCGTTTTATTAACTGGGAGATATTCAAGTCGGCTAAGCTGTTTCGTGCACGAGCCGACGGCTCTGGAACCTTATAGACGCCAACGACAACACTAGGCAGGTCCACACCATCGCAAAACTCAATGATCACCTTCTCTGAAATCTTATTTGTCGAGCTTTTGTGATGGTCAAGCTAATAAGACCTAGTATCTTACCACGGAAGCTTCCCCGTACGCGACCCGGGTGATCACCAAAGTATTCACCAAATTGCTCACTACCTACTTCGTAGTGCGAAATACAAGGCAACGGCCGAAGGGAGACTACGTGCGGAGGAGTAAAGCTCGCAGCTCCGTCCATACCTGAGAAACTGTTGGGATCTAGATCCGTCATTTTAATGCCAATATCGACATGCTTGTCATGACCACTGATATTATATACGATTAGATCGCACTTGTAATGAGTCAATTTGCACTGCTCTCGTTATTTCTCGTTAAGGAAGTCTGGCCGTATGAAGTTCGGGGCCGACAATCCGCCCTAAAAGTAGCACAGGTGTCTGGAACGGTTACGGGTGGATAAATTTCTGGAAGAGCAGCCCTAAATCTTTAGTCCTAAACAAGCGCGTCCCCAAGCAACGCCGGTAAGTGGCTACCGCTATAGCGTCTAACCTGCCTCGGAGATTGGGGGAGCCAGAGTCAGGTTTTCGATGGTTCCATGAGCTGGTTGATAAAAAATGGGTGGGCCAGATCATCCATTGCCTGGATTGGCTGTGGAGTTAATTGAATGCGTACTTCTTAAGGTTGAACCGAACCTAACTCTATAGCGTGAAATCATTAATAGGCAATGGCATACCTAGGTATATAGGTAGGTACGGAGTAGTACTTCTTGAATAGGAAGCTGTAAAAGAAGGGCCGGCGCCCGGTGCCGATGAAAGAATTTGTCATCCCGCGCGCTTGAGGTTGGCAGATCATCGACCATCGGAGCATTTCGTCCATTTGTCGGTCCAGGAACTCCAGGCACCGTGTGACCGCAGTAAACCAATGACATGGAGTTTATTGACTGCGGTTACTGAAACTATTGCATTGATTTTAGGCGGCCTTATTGTGCCTCATGATGCAAGCATGTTGGGTGATCCCCCAAGCTCCCCCAGAGCTCGGGTAAGACGCGCAGTTTCCGAGTGTGGCTTTGTTCTTGTTTTGTTTGTACTCAGTCCAAAGTCAACATTCGTTGCAGATATTGATAGGCAAAGAATAACTCGAGGCTAATTCTGCATACAAGGACTCTGGAGCAACTTTAAGTTTTTAATAAGGGTAGGGAATCATCCGCCTAACGAGTCATTTCGACTCGCGATATAATTCCAGAAACGGGAAGTTTCCAGGATCGTTATTGGAATTACAATTATTTTAGATTAGCCTTGGATTGATCTGGTAAGCATCCTTGTAACCTGTCATGTGAAGTTCTGGCTAGAGAAACGTACGATGTACTGTATGTGTCTACGGAGTACTCGGTACTCGGTACAGTATCTCCAACCTTATCTCGGGCCACACGCTAGACCAAGTAAGGGACACGATGCGAAATCCATATCCTGGGCGTTGTCAACGATCCTTGCTACTATTGCCACCACAGGTTATGTGGATTTATGCTTAGATAGTGTATTCACTATGGTAAGTTCTACAGCAATACAGTATAATGTGTGAATCTGTCTCAGTTCAGCTGATGCTGAGGAGTGAGTGTCCACTAGTAATCCCAATCGAGGAACTCAGGAATGCGGCTCGGAGACATTTGGTCATTGTTAAGCCAACATAAGCATAGCACTAACTAGTAAGTACAAGCATATGCCAAAGGCGGTCAACTTCATATCCCAAGAAGGATTTCACATCTCCATGCTCTTGCAGGTCTGCTACGTTAACAAGTATGCTGGCGGTATATCTGTACAGTCGAGTTCAACTTACCCCGAAGGATAACTGAGAATATGCTCGGCACTACAATGGTACATTGGTATGAAATTGACCAGCAGCCGATTCCCAATGCCACAATTCTGATATCGTGAGTAATAGAACGCAGGTTAGTTAAGACGTAAATCAGACTGCGGTGTTATCATTGGAGTGCCGTCAATCATCGGGGTCTCCATTATTTACTTTCTATACCTTGCGTTCGTCCGTCTGATTAGGGCAAATCTGTACTATTTCTTCCCTTAATATACTTCCATCTTCAGGGACATCGAACATCTTGCTGTGGATGCTACTGGTTGTCACGACGATAGAATGTATGCATGTCCGGCCCTGCAAAATGGATTTCACCACCGATTTATTCCATATACAATTAGCTTTCTTCCGTTGGTCTTATCGGGGAATTGTATTACTGTAGTAGTATCTCGGTCCATCCTAGCCAATGGGAGTTACGGCTTTGTAAGTTTTACTAGGACCACTAAGTACGACCAAAACCTACCTCGTATGTTAACCTCAGTTTGACATGCAGTGATCAACGTATTTGGATATTGACCGCTAGGGCCGACCATCTGCAACATAACTAGAAGCCACCAATATACTAAATTGAGAAGATGGCTGCAGCTGATATCCCATGACCTTATATGCGGGGCATCACCCATGGCATCTTTCCAACCTTCGGACTTTGTCCTCCATGGAAATGCACTTGCTCAACCTCACATAAGTAGAGAATGCTGCGTCGCTTAGGCTACACAACGGTACACAACCCAAAAAGTAACTGCCTATATGCACGGTCTACACATATTGAGGGTATCGACATGTACTACAAGACGCTTATACCGAATTCTATCTACATACATGCTACTATATCCAGTAGCTATCCTAGATCTACCATGGTCGCTGTCCATACTTGGTGAATGGAAGTGCTCGCAGCGATAGCCTTGTCTAATACAATCCAGCGTTCGATTGTTCTAGGCTGCTCTTCTCCGTACGTCAAGCTGCTACTCCGGGCCGAGCGATGATTGGTGCAACCAAAATGAAAAGTGAGCAGCTAGCGTAAGGTGGGTGACAATGTACTACTCTGTACGGAGTATGACAACTTTTCTGCAATAAATTACGTGGAGGCCCGCAAGGGACTGGTTGTTTGCCTCCAGGTATCCATTACTACAAAGACCCATCGCTGGAGGATTGCCCAATAACGTGCGTTCCAGATCTTCCACTAATTTTGCCCTGATTCACCGCCTCCGGGGGGCGGAGATTACTACTAGTAAGTATTTTATTCCCCTTTCCCCCTCCAAAAAGGTTGGATCAATAAGTACAATACCCCTCTTTGAATCTCTATTTTGTGAGCGTCATTTTTTAGCTGTCACAATGAGCGCAACTACTACAACTACCCAACCCCCCAGAATCACGGCAGAGAATGTCGCCGCTCTCTTCCCAGAGGTTGATACTTCTTTGGCTCGTGAAGTCCTCCCAAAAGTCGATGGCAATCCCTCCGCAGCGAGCAGCACTGAGCTGGCGGGGTACGACGAGGAACAGGTCCGTCTAATGGATGAAGTATGCATCGTTCTGGATGATGATGACAAGCCTATTGGAAGTGCTAGCAAGAAGACCTGTAAGATGCGCCCTCTACATGAACACTGATCTGGGTGCAGTGCCGTGTTTTTGCTAGCGACTTTTCTCTTCCCCTTTTGCTAATACCGTTTACTGATGGCTCAATTAATCGGTGAAAATAGGCCACCTTATGACCAATATTGACCGGGGCCTTCTCCACCGTGCCTTTTCCGTGTTCCTCTTCGATTCCAATAAGCGCTTGCTCCTCCAACAGCGCGCCAGTGAGAAGATCACATTCCCGGATATGTGGACAAACACTTGCTGCTCTCACCCCCTTGGAATTGCTGGTGAGACCGGCTCTGAGCTGGATGCCGCTATTCTGGGCGTGAAGCGGGCTGCGCAGCGGAAGTTGGAACATGAGCTTGGAATTAAGCCGGAGCAAGTACCCCTGGATAAGTTTGAGTTCTTCACGAGGATACATTACAAGGCTCCTAGTGATGGGAAGTGGGGGGAGCATGAGAGTATGTTTGATATCCTTTGACATTTACTTCATGACCAGCTGTCGTTGAAAACTAACATCATTAAGTCGACTATATCCTCTTCATCCAGGCAGATGTAGAGTTGAAGCCTAGCCCGAATGAGGTTCGAGACACGACGTATGTCTCGGCTGACGAATTGAAGACGATGTTTGAGCAGCCAGGATTGAAATTCACGCCCTGGTTCAAACTCATCTGCAATTCGATGTTGTTCGAATGGTGGAGCCACCTCGGCTCTCCAAGCCTGGAGAAGTACAAGGGCGAGAAAGCAATCCGGCGTATGTGAGATTTTACTCCACGAAGACCGATGGTATGATGTTATTCGGTTCTGCCTTGCAACATAGCGGGTACTTTTCAGCTGTTTTGATCCGTTTCCCAGAGTGATGATACCTTGGCATGGGCCAGTCAAACATATGATTAATATTTGGACAGAAAATATCTTATATTTATAGTTACCCTATCGTCATCTATTGGGGGTTAATGATAGATCCCTTCTTTCTTGTTACAATTTGGCGTCCCATTTAATCATGACATGCGACTACGATAGTGCATTGTTTAGAAAGCATGCTCTAGGCGGTGTCCTCTTATTAAGCGAAAAAGTAATTCCCATTCTTAGTTTTTATTATTTGCATCCGTTGCCAGGAACAGTATACAGCTCCCCAGGATCACGGTTCCCACCACTGTAAATGTCATTTGCGTTTTCCATCCGCTCTGTACCAAAGCCGCTTTACGGCTGTACTTTCGCACAGTCCGCACATAGTTTGCAAACCCGTTAACCAGACAGGCTAAGCTAAGGATCCAGAAAATAATACCCAGCGGCAGAGCCATCCGTCGCTCGAGTCCGGTCGGCCCGCCATGAAAATGGAACGAGATGATGATAGCTACTGAAACGACTGCAAGATACATAGAGAGACGGAGCCAAGACAAAAATGTTCGTTCGTTAGCGCAGTGATCCCGGGCGTCGGAGGTGGCATTTTCGAATAACAGTGCTCCAAGCCAGGGACGGGATAGGAAGATATGGTGGTTGTCCTCTAGGTGTCTTTTTCGGAGTCAGTCCCAAGTCTTCATCTTCTCTCTCTCTCTCTCTCTTTTTCTTTCGTTCGTGCTTCGAAATATTGTGCATAAGGACTAGAAGCGCTTACTCGTCTACCAGAACGGGGCATGCGTTCGCCGGGTTGATCACTGGATTAAACCGCAACCCAAGAGAAGAAGCATTTTGGCTTGTCGTAGGTTCTGGCATATTGGGGGGTGTTGTATGCCAACCAGAGTATGAGCGAAACTCTACCGCCACAATATAACCATAAGTCGCATCTTTTCTATTCAAAAGGAGCAGAGTCGGGTGCCCATATGTTAGAAATCCGATGACAGCCCCACGTGATTAGCGTGTCTAGTCTAAATCGGGGATGATGTCACTAATCCCTGCATGGCCATCATCCGGGTATTGGCCTGTGGCTTCATTCGGGGTGACCGGGTTGGCTCAATCAAGGGGAATCAAACGAATTAAATCTCGCCGCAGCACCCTAATGACCGATGTTAAAGAGACGAAGCATCGCTAATAGATCTTGGATCGACACGTCCACCACGCGAACCATTCTCTATGGATCGTTTCTCACCCTCCAAAATTCATCGTGGGGGGTCGGCTTTGCGGGATCCTCCTTGCAACCCTGCTCACTAGTACGACATTTGCAGGACATGGATACAGCATGGTCCTTTTCATCTGTTAATTCTACCCGATCATGCCTGTGTATATCAAGCAGAACTTACTCCGTATTGATCGGAGGGGGACGAAAATGTTAGTCGATACGAGATGACTCAATAATGGCCCATGCATCGGTTGGAGCCAAAGGAAGTGGATCCAACCCATACAACGGGCCATACAACTTTATTTCAATGGCTGAAAGCTCTGTAGAGGCAAAATCTGCTGATGGAGCGTAATATGATTACCTACACCAACGCCGCCCCCGCTTCTGTTTTCGTTTCTTTCTCCCTTCTTTCCCTGATTCACCGCATGTCTCAATTGACAGCCCCCCTCGAGCTTGTATCTCTTTGGCGCCATCAAGCCATGGTGAGGGAGTATCCTTAAATTAGAATTTTCAACACAACCAAGCTTTATTGTCTCTCACTTACCCTTTGCGTCATTACATCACCGTCGCAATGGGCCGCGGTAATAATCCGCGTTCAGCAGAGGAACAAGCCTTACATGGCGGTTTCTTATCCAGCTCCCCGCTCGCCGAGGCCGCAATTGCTCGAGATCTAGAGAATTATGCGGATGACGAAGGCTCAATGATAACTACTGACGATGAGGCGTCCGAGACATCCACTATTCGCGCGATAAACAGTCAGTCCGGCACGAACCCCCATTCTCTAGCTGGATCCTACCGTCGTCCTAGCTTCTTCACTACAGTCTCCCACGCCACAGTTGTACCATATACTGCAGAACGAGAGAGGCTGACACGCAGGGAACGTGAGCGCGCCATTGAGGATGAAAGGGATCTTCTCAGCGATAATAATGTCATGGACGCGAGGGTGAAGCGGCGAGTGACTCCAACTAGTGCACCTTCAGGAGAAACTACGGCACTCCTAGGGGATCACGTAGGTGCTCGTGAATACAATGCCACGGATGATGAAGAGGTTGACAGGAAGTGGGAAGAGGCTGTCGCAGCTGGGCTAATTCACACAACATGGAGACGGGAAGCACAGGTGATCGGTAAAAACGCTGCTCCGTTAATGGTCACTTTCCTGCTCCAATATTCGTTGACAGTAGCCAGCATTTTTACCCTAGGCCATCTGGGGAAGAAAGAGCTTGGTGCAGTGAGTTTAGCTAGCATGAGTGCGAACATTACCGGATATGCAGTATACCAAGGTCTAGCAACCAGTCTAGACACTCTGTGTGCACAGGCATATGGTTCTGGGAGGAAGAAGTTGGTAGGCCTGCAAATGCAAAAGATGGTGTTTTTTCTTTGCACCATTACTATCCCGATTGCTGTACTGTGGTTCTTTGCAGACAGGATTCTTATGAAGATCGTCCCGGAGAAAGATGTCGCCGCGCTTGCTGGCTTGTACTTGAAGGTTGTCATCCTGGGTGCGCCTGGATACGCTTGCTTCGAGAGTGGGAAGCGTTATGTGCAGGCTCAAGGTCTCTTTTCGGCCTCGCTATATGTCTTACTCATATGCGCACCTCTTAACGCCTTTATGAACTGGTTGTTCGTTTGGGTAAGTCACAAATTGCAGTTACCTCACTTGTTGTGGCTAACCCAATTATAGAAATTCCAATGGGGGTTTGTTGGCGCCCCTATCGCAGTAGCTATTACAGACAATCTGATGCCGCTATTCTTGTTCCTTTATGTGTATTTCATTGATGGTGCGGAATGTTGGAGTGGACTTACTACCAAGGCCCTGCGCAACTGGGGCCCAATGATCCGGCTTGCCTTACCTGGTCTGGTGATGGTAGAAGCGGAGTGCCTCGCTTTTGAAGTACTAACCTTAGCATCGTCGTATCTCGGCACAACTCCCTTAGCTGCCCAGTCAGTTCTGTCGACCATCGCTAGTATTATGTTCCAGGTCCCTTTCCCGCTTTCAATTTCTGGCAGTACCCGCGTTGCAAACCTGATCGGGGCAACTCTTGTTGGACCCGCCAAGATCTCAGCCAAAGTGACAATGGGATATGCTGTCATCGTAGGGCTGCTCAACATGCTGCTGCTCTCCTCGCTGCGCTCATACATCCCACGACTATTTACCCCAGAAGAGGAGGTAATCGAGCTCGTAGCACAGGTCCTTCCATTGTGTGCAGCGTTCCAGTTATTTGACGCTCTCGCAGCTAACTGCAACGGTATCCTTCGTGGAATTGGCAGGCAAGAGATAGGCGGCTACGTCCAGCTCTTCTGCTACTATGCAGTTGCAATGCCCATTAGCTTCGGCACTACATTTGGACTGGGCTGGGACTTACTAGGACTCTGGTCTGGTGTTGCTATTGCCCTTCTTTTGGTATCAGTGATCGAGGTGATCTTCCTAATACGAACCGATTGGGACCGTTCGGTCCAAGATGCTCTTCAGAGAAACGCAATGGCATAGAATTATGACGGATGTCCGCATATTATGATGAGATAACGCTACGGTCTATGTTTATGATACCATCCATTGATTGTTGCAGTCTGTCGATGATGATGTTAGAGCTCTTCTGCTTATATAAGATTGCGGTATGACAATAAAGGGGTTGTGATCTATTTTTATAACAGTCGTGCGCTGGAATGAGGCTAAGTTGGACTACGTTGATATGTATCTTTAACATTCACGTACCGGATAGAGTTTTGCTGTGTTGATTTCATGTATTAGTACCCTGAGTTCTGTACGGAGCAGCTAGTGCTCAATGAAAACCTGGAAAATACTAGGAGAAACAAGCTTTGATTTATCATCAGGATTATGAAACGTAAAGTATGCTATCGGCGCAACGAAGACATGAATTTGACACCATTTGGTTTCCAGCCATATGCATAGACGTAAATAAGTAGTTAATAAAGATAGGAAGGCACCATAAATCTAATAATCCAATATAGCCCAGGTCTGCTCATCAACAGTCGAGAAAATCACACCAGCAGTAAGCAACTCATCACCAGCGCGGGCGACATCCGGCATGGGTAAACTCAGCTTAGCCGCAATGAGCTGGGCATGTAGACCTTCATTGCTTTGAGGCTCTATCTTCAACAAATTGTACACCTTCCTTGCGACCGGGCTCATCGCAGGAAGTCCTCTGCCAGCGCTGTAATCATCAACGCCACCCATAGTGGCATCAGCACCCCCCATTCCACCAGCAGCGGCACCGGCGCCGCCGGAGCCACCAACAGGACCACGAGTAAAGAAAAGATGCACAGCAACAGCCTCAAGCATGTGGCAATGGAGCTCATTGATATCTGTCAAGGGTCGCACGCAATGTGATCCTACAAATCGCTTATTTCCGAACGTCTTTAATTTTCCGAATATCTTCGCATATCCGTTGTTCACGACTTGATTCTTTCCTGCACCTGCTTTGCCATCATCTGTGTCCATGGTGTCCGCTGTGGCCGAGTCAACCCATTGTTTCACTTCGATTTCGCCCGTGCCGTCGTCAATTCTATATGTGATGTTTGTACTTTGGGTGCTGATGTTGCGAACTTGTCCGACGAAGCAAATGCTGCCTACGTCAGCGCCGTCAATCTGGTAATCGGCTTCAGGATAAGGTTGTGTTGCGTCGAGGGCTTGCTTGATTGTGATGGGGCGAAGTGTGGTATTGTTGCCGTCTGCGCTCTGCTTGCGATATCAAAATTAGCATGAGGCGGCCTTAAACTTATAAAAGTAGATATTGTATCCCAAGCAATCCGCTATTTGGAGCCCATCAATACCTTTCCACCAGCGGGGCTGTTTGTCTCTCCTGGCATGAAACCACCACCACCTCCATAGGAGGAAGAACCGTAACCATAATTATCTGAGAGATATCAGTAAAGACCGATCAAATAAAGATATTACTAGTATATGAACGAGAGGAGGAGATACTTACCCATTGTGTATTATTTGTGCTGAAACAAAGTTATGCAACTTGGAGCTCTATCGTCAATGACTTCGTGAACGTAAAGCAATTATCGCCATTTTACCGCTTCTGGACGCGTTGGACGCGTTGCGGGGACATATGTTTGAGAGATTTGCATTACACTTCGGAACAACTTTGATCCCCGACCGCCTTGACTTTTTTCTCCACAGGCGACAAAAAAAGTTGATCGATAAGAAGTGCTTAATTATCACACGAGGAGAGGAGCATTGTCTTTTCTCGTGGTTTTCAATCGCTTTTCAATCGCTCCTCTCGGAGATTGTTTGTTCTTTGTTTGAGATACCCAAGTTTTATTTGATGAAGTTATTTACGCAACGAATTTGGTCCCTTTCTCAGTGATTCCGCCGCCTTTGCTGGCGAATAGGTACGATAGTTGATAGAGGCCAAAATGCCTCACCGCGCAGCGTCCCCAGCGGCGTCAGAAAATGAGTTCGATATTACAAATGCGCTTTTCCAGAATGACAGCGATTCCGACAACGATACGTCTTTGAAACAGACAAAGCGGCCACAGAAGGCAGCTCCACCTCAAGCGCTTGATTTTCTTGGAGGAGATGTTGACGACGACGATGAAGATGACGAGGCGTTCATCGCAGGACAACAGGCTTCGGCCAACAGGAAGGCTTCTAATCTCAAGGGCCGTACTGTCAAGAAGGGAGGTGGTTTCCAAGCAATGGGTCTGAACGCGCACCTGTTGAAAGCCATTACCCGGAAGGGTTTCTCTGTCCCGACTCCTATTCAGCGCAAGACTATTCCCGTGATTATGGACGGTCAGGATGTAGTTGGTATGGCGCGTACTGGATCCGGAAAGACCGCTGCTTTCGTTATTCCCATGATCGAGAAATTGAAGAGCCACAGTACTAAAGTTGGAGCTCGTGGACTGGTTCTATCGCCGTCAAGAGAATTGGCTTTGCAGACCCTGAAGGTTGTGAAGGAGCTGGGTAAGGGCACGGACTTGAAGTCTGTCCTTCTCGTTGGTGGTGATAGTTTGGAGGAACAGTTCAGTATGATGGCCGGTAATCCTGATATTGTGATCGCGACACCCGGACGTTTCCTGCATTTGAAGGTCGAGATGAACTTGGACTTGTCGAGCATTCGCTATGTCGTGTTTGATGAAGCCGATCGACTGTTTGAGATGGGTTTTGCTGATCAGCTTACGGAAATTTTGCATGGCCTCCCTGCAAACCGACAAACTCTACTATTCTCTGCAACGTTGCCTAAATCGCTGGTGGAATTCGCTCGTGCTGGTTTACAGGAGCCTACCCTTATTCGTCTAGATACCGAAAGTAAGATCTCGCCAGATCTTGAAAACGTCTTCTTCTCCGTCAAGTCAGCAGAGAAGGAAGGTGCTTTGCTTCACATCCTCCACGAGGTCATTAAGATGCCCACTGGTCCGACTGAGGCCGCACAGCGTCAGAAGGAGCAAGGTGATCGCAAGAATTTCAAGAAACGGAAGCGAGGGGATGACAAGGCCATTAACACGCAAGAGTCTCCCACAAAGTATTCGACTATTGTTTTTGCGGCAACGAAGCATCATGTGGACTACTTATATTCTTTACTTCGCGAGGCCGGATTTGCGGTTTCCTATGCCTACGGTTCCTTGGACCAGACTGCTCGAAAGATTCAAGTCCAGAACTTCAGAGCGGGTCTTTCAAATATCCTGGTTGTTACAGATGTTGCGGCTAGAGGTATTGATATTCCTATTCTTGCTAACGTTATCAACTACGACTTCCCATCTCAACCAAAAATCTTTGTTCACCGTGTCGGTCGTACGGCTCGTGCAGGCCGGAAGGGCTGGAGTTACAGCTTGGTCCGGGACGCAGATGCCCCCTATATGCTTGATTTGCAGCTTTTCCTTGGGCGGAGACTTGTTGTTGGCCGTGAGCATGGTGACCAGGTTAATTTTGCCGAAGATGTGGTCGTCGGTAGCTTGCCTAGGGATGGCCTGTCCACCAGCTGTGAATGGGTTACAAAGGTACTGGAAAATGAAGCCGACATCTACGGCCAACGGACTATTGCTGGAAAGGGAGAGAAACTCTATATGCGAACGCGAAACTCGGCTTCTCTTGAAAGTGCTAAGCGAGCAAAACAGGTTGTATCTTCCGACAACTGGACAGCCATACACCCTCTCTTCAATGACCAAGAAAGTCAAATGGAAGTCGAGCGTGAGAAGATGCTTGCCCGGATTGGAGGCTACCGGCCGCAGGAAACAATCTTTGAAGTGCACAACCGGCGCAACGGCAAGCATGAAGGCGATGAAGCCATCGACACCATTAAGAGAATTCGCACTACCGTTGATTACAAGAAGAAGAAACGGGAGATGGCTGAGAAACAGTCAGACTTCTTGGAGGATGCATCCGGAGGAGACAAAGGAGGAGCCGACGAAACTGAAGAGAAGGGCGCCCAGTCCGATGAAGATGAGGAAGATATTGGTGAAGGAGTGCCCGATAACATGTCGATGGCGTCCGAGTCGGATCTTGAAGTTACCTTCTCCTCGTATAACGGTGGCAAGGCTAAGAAGGACAGCGCAGCATCTTTCCAAAACCCCGAATACTTCATGTCTTACACACCATCCAATACAAACTTGGCTGAAGACAGGGCCTATGGTGTGCACACTGGTACGAATACCAACTTTACTCAAGCCTCACGCAGTGCTACAATGGATCTACTTGGTGATGAGGGTGCTCGCGGGTTCGCCGAACCCCGTACTATGATGCGCTGGGACAAGCGGCACAAGAAGTACGTGTCACGCCAGAATGACGAAGATGGATCCAAGGGTACACGTCTTGTTAAGGGTGAATCTGGTGCCAAAATTGCTTCTACCTTCCGTAGCGGACGATTCGACTCATGGAAGAAGGGCAAGCGTCTGGGCCGTATGCCACGTGTGGGTGAGGAAGAGACTCCAGCTCTCGTCCATGAGCTCAATACTGCTATGAGGAGAAGACACTTCCAGCACCGGAAGGAACAGGCACCCAAGGCGGCCGACCGCCTACGTGGCGACTACGAGAAGATGAAGAAAAAGGGCGAAGCGGCCAAGCAGCGCCAGCTGTCCAAGGCCGGAGGCGCAGCTGCAGGTGGCAAGAGCGAGCTGAAATCTACAGATGATATCCGACTGGCAAGGAAGCTGAAGCAGCAGAGGAGAGAGAAGAATGCCCGGCCGTCGAGGAAGAGATGAACCTAATGGGCTGGAAAAGGCGTTGTCATAGGAGGCACGCGTTGTATGTATATACCACCGGATATTGCAGTCTACACATCTACTCAGACATTGCGATATAAAAGTTCCTTACAGCATCTACAATACGGCCGAATAACGCAGCCCATGTATCTCTATCATAATCTGATCCCTGTAAGCATTTCACAATATGTAGCATTAATCACATACACACCCAAAAAATATACATATGTACTCTGTACAGACATTCGCATAGCCAACGAGCCTCAGCATCGCCAGGCGTCACCCCATCACTGCAGAAAGAAAAGAAAAGAAAAGAAAAGAAAAGAAAAAGAAAGATAGAAAGTAAGACGGTAAAATCTTTTAGGTTCCTCCATCACCGCCACACCCTTCGATCCACAATAGTCCAGCTGATTGGCCTCTCTTCTACCGTAAGAATCAATAAAAGACATATCACATCGCGATCACATCAGCAACCGTCTCGCAATATAACACCCCTAACATGAACAAAAAAAAATTATGAATCTAGCACCCACAACTATGCAGTAGGCCTCTTCAGTGGAGATGCGTTCAATTATCCCGGATTCCCAAGATAACGGTATCCACCAAGGAACCCAGAGTGCAAAAAGACGGCGAGGATATACCGGTATACAACAAACACAAAGAGTGTGGGATGTAATTGAGGGGGAGGGGACTTAACGAGTGATATCTCGTTTTGAATTAGGCCGTCACTTGCATTTCGACTCCATCAATTGAAATGAGATCCGCTATCTAAACTTTCATATGGAATATTGATGGGCGCAGAGAAACGGTCTAGATTGAGTAGGGGATCTACCAGGTGTGATATCCAATTTTCCTAAAAGGAATATTACACCCCCAGGGTTGGGACGGACTATTGGATATAATGTGGGTTTGTGTCTGGCTCTGGGTACTTTTTATTTAAAGTAATGTATGTTTAGTACTTTGGTAATGGACAAGGTATGTTGAGGTGTCTAACTAAGGCTGAGATTTGCTTGGACGGAGCATTGGGTGCCGTGATTTCTATTGTTAGGATGTACATAGTATATTCTATACTGTCATTTCGTATTCCGTCTGCTTCTGATGTTGCGGTATGTGGTAATTAACGGCAATTACTAAACCACTCTGCTTTGTGTAGGAAAATATCCTGTTCAAGGGGCATAAGTAGGGCCAAAGTGGTCAGTTGAGGGATTTAAGTTGCATAAGACGAGGATCGACGGCATGGATATTCGTTAAGCCGCTCGATATATCTACCGAATCTAGGCATGTACATGCATGCATACACATCTATTGCTTATAACAAGCCACTTTGGAATTTCCATTCAGATAACGGGGGGTTCCACATGGCAGGAAATAGAACTTGACCAGCATAAGTGAAATGTGAACTCTGAAATCTCTTTCTGAAAAAAGAAAGATAAAAGTTCTATTGTTGAGAGGAGGTAACCAAGGATGAGCGATATTTGAACTTCGATAACTCACGCGGGTATTTGACCCAGTTGATTTCCATCAGGTAAAGTCTTTGCCTATCAAAATAGTTTCTATTGTTAATTTAATCTCGATAGGGTCTTAGCAAGTGCCAATTATTGATTATCCCTTTTTTCGGAAAACGATTTTCGCGGACCGTCCCGAGGAGTTTCGTCTACGCGATGAAGGACGAAGGACAAAAGAAAGAAGGGGGCGAAAGATAGTGAAGAAAGTGAGGGAAAGAGGCAGAAGCTGAAGAAGAATACAGCAGCATGGCAAATGGAGGTATTTGACAAGTCTTCACCGACTCTCCGGAGTTGATCCCTCATTCGGAATTACTCAATCAGGGCATATCACTAACCACAGATGACGGATCATCTCTAACCCATTGAGTTTCGTCGGTCAAACTGTTGCCATATAACCTCTTTACCCGTCCAGTTGATTAGCCTGCCAAGACTGTGACTATTATACAGCGGATTCTGTCACCCAAGATAAGAGTAGCCTCTTTCGAAGGCGCCACACTCGCTTAGGCGAATACTAGTCGAACAAACAGGACAGCCCTGACCCAGATGACGGCTGAGACCAGAGATTGCGAGAGTTATTATTTTACGACTGCAGCTGAGGCAATGCCTAGTTTATCAGCCATCACGAGGGCGTGGGAGAAAGCATATGCATGGTTGCACAAGGGTCACTTTCCCACATGATGTCGTAGTCGGAACTTACATACCCAAACAGATACAAGTTAATATGCAATTGCCTTCGGGCCAGCGTAGAGACTTGCGCAAGGCTCTTGAAAAGGTCACCGTGACTCTGGCATTCGCGCAAATTCCCTAGAAGCAGGGATTGGGTATACCAGTACATGGACCTGTCGGCGATCAGCCAAATTCACGACGCCCGAGTGACGAAGTCAGCATTGATTGGCGTTTCGCCGAGCAGGTGAGCGTAATGCGAGATCAGCAGTCGAGAAGAGGCCTTTTTCTGAGTGGTGGTGTTTCTTGTGGTCAGTCCTCGGATCGCTTCCTTGTATTCTGGTTCGCATAGAATACCATCTGACATGTCGGTATACTCTAGGCAGCCAAGAGATAAGTCAAGTAAACGATGTTGGAGCACGCCCTCGAGGCTATGAATGCAACAATTTGCTTGAGTATGTCAAGGTTTACGATATGTTCCAGAATTGGAACACAATTGTCAAGCACTAGCAACGTTCTTCACTGATACCTGTGCATACACCCGACAACTAACTTAACAAGACGCAGTGACTTGGAGAAAGGCACACGAAGACGATAAAGTTAAAACAGAAAAAAAAATTGAAAAAGAGAAAAGGGAAAATTGGCCCTCGGGGTTATACCCACAGAGTAGAGATGTCCGAAGCAAAATGCTATCCAGCCGCTGAGAAACCTTGTCAGCCATATGTGAAGCAGCAATGTACGCAGCATCGCCCTTCCCTGTCCAACAGACGCCTCCACAGCTTACCTAGCTGGACTGAAGGACAATTTTCGGAAGATTACCTCGTGTCGCCGGAAGACGCATTGACAAGAACTGTGTAATAACGGAAGCCTCACGGATGTCAACCCCAGTTCACTGATGTTCACGGCGAATTTTCCTCAGTGTTTCCATAGCTTCTTCCAACGATATTCCCGGGCTCACCCGCCATGACAGGCCCGGGAATGGAGCTAATGACGATTTGAGCCCTAATGATCGTCCTCTACTGCCTTAGTTGGACGAACTCATAAGATAAATTCCCTAGTGAGTGCATAGTCCGCTAAACTATAAAATAGTGCGAGGTTAGTCGGCGTACCATAGCGTCAGCAGCTTAGTACACCATCGTGACAATAGTCCAGAGTCGAGTCGAGAGTGGTCATGTTGAGCCTCGACTGAGGTTGACAAATACTTTGGCCCCGTCGAGATCCGCGTGTTTCCCAAAAGGGTTTTGCCCACGGGGCCCGCTAATCCGGAACGGGTTAAGGGCTGGGTCATCTCCCAAGCACCTTGCATCGGGGGGCGTCGTCGAACTCCCTCACCAGCTACCTTACGATCCACTCAGGATTCGTCTTTCCCGATTCCTTGGTTTTCCGTCCTCATAATCGACGTTGGTATTAGGCCTAACCTGCATGTCAGTGGGGGGTGGTGAGTGTCTCGTATACCTGTCCGCCCCATTCAAGTAGCCTGCGTGGATTGTCGGACCCGTTGGTTTGGGTGACACAGTGTACGCGTGAACTCATTCCAGCCATATGGAGACTTATGTACATTATCATGTACTACTGGCTGTCTTGGTGACTTCTCAATTCAACATCACTTTATGGCGCTCCGGTGGTCCACACTTTTCTCGGGAATTGAATCGTCGAGTTTTCGTCTCTTCTTAGCTTTGGTGGCTAAGAACTTGGAGCCGGTGGCTCAGACTATTGGCACCCACCCGGCCCCTAACAGGCAGATCGTGCTGGTGGCCCCTCGGCTCCAGCTTGCATGAACCGCTTACTCTGCTGGGAACTCAGCTTGTTCCCCTTTAAATACGGTAGGGCCCAATTACCTGAATCCCACGGAACCCCTTGCTGTTGGATTGTTACCCCCGCGTGCGGCATGTTCCACAATATTGGGGGTTTATGACCATTTCAGTCCTCTTTCTGACTTTCTCGACTGACTGACTGCGTGCGTGTCGCGCTTCTAGCGCTGTATAGTTTTCTTTCCTTTTTCTTTTTTTCTTCTTTGAAGTGTCTTCCCATTTCTTAGGACCGTAAAACCGTAAAGGGGGAAACCCATAAAAACCATTGAAATAAAAGAATTTGCAGGAACAACAAGTTCGATGACCGGTTGAGTGAAACTAAAGGAGACTAATAATGGAACCAAACGCTCTACCTGGTATCATAATGATGGGTCACGAAGGTCAGTGGAAAATTCCCGAGAACAGCTCAAGTTTAGGACCCTTTTTTTTTAAGGCCAAGAAACATGACTCGCTAATATTCCAAATCAACAACAAGCGAGTACATGCCATAAGAAAAAGAAAAGAGATACGACGAATAAAAGAAAGATCACACAACGATTTATGGGCCTATCCACGACCCGATTCAGGAATTAACCGTCGGTAATCCGCGGTCAATTGGTCTCCTCCACTAGATCATGCTCCATTGCTCCGTGCTCAAGCAGCGAGTGGATCTTTTCGCTCTTATCGGGCGGACCATTTTCTATTGTCATCCATGGGTGTGGAGTGCTTAAATTGTCCGGACCTCAGGTGACCAAGCTAGACCCATGTTTTGTCTCACTGATCAGGGAGCTGCAGCTGCAGCCACATCTTGATCTTCTTCCTCTATTTTCAAATCCACTGCAGAGAATCAGGAGATACCGATTGGACTACCTCACTGACTTGTAGCTAACATGCCGCTTTGTCTAAGATCTCGCAGTGTCAAAAACGCACAGAGCCTAGACCACTTTTCAAATCCTTTGGTCTAAGTGGCGTGGCACCGTCATGGCGTTGCTGAACGAAACGTTCTGACTATCCGCGAAGATCACCCCCAACGGCCGGAATCAATAGAGCTTAGGCTAATGAAGATGTGGTACGAACGGCGTCCCCCACAAGCGCTGTCCTCCCACCCACCCACCAAAATCCCAAGGGGCTGGGGAAGAAAGGGGGTGCTCATGTCTACAAGATCGCAGCTGAGTCCATCTTGAAGTGCCGGCATCTTCCAATTCGGCACTCAATACATCAGATAAAGTGTTTTGAATACAGGGTGCAGTGTGTTTGATTTACCACGACAAGTCAGAAGGACAAACCTTCATTGACACAGCCTGTGGGTCTTAGCTTTAGGCTATGGAACCACTGCGGAGAATTGTTGTCTCAATCCAAAAGTTCGGACTATTGAGCTGGCGTCATCTGTCAAGCGGTACAAAGACAGGGCTGTACGGAGGTACTCAGTCCAAGACTGACTAGTCCTCCGTTGAACACTGCGTACTGCATACATCCTCCGTTCTGTCTCTTTCGGGCTGATCCCATCACGATAGTTACATAGCGTTCCATGGTCCTGGGACGTCGCCTCGAGGGTTTTAATGACGATCTCGAGTCGCAATTACTCGTTGCAGTGATATTATTGGGTATTCGATTAAGACAGAAGAATTCTTCATGCCAGATGATCAAAATTTCCGTTAATTTCGTCAGGAGCTGTTTCCCTCGTCTTGATTGTCACGACCTAGTAAATGGGGTTGCCTGAAGGAGCTACCTCCGTATACAGCTGAGGACCCCAGTGCGTACACGCATACTGGTGATCAGAACCAAATGGAACCTCGAAATGAAAGTAAAAATTGGCTAAATATATTAATACTATATCTACCTTATTGAGTGATAGAAAATCTATATTTCCATGGTTAGGATATCCTTAATAACCTTGACAACACCAATAATAGCAGTCTGAATTAACTAATTACATAAATAGAGAATAGCAAGGAAAAACTTGGTTCAATGGGGTCCACAATGTGATCTCGAATGTTCATTACCACGTTTTGCTTGCCTGTTTCTTTTAGAGTTCTGAGACAAAACCGCGCAGCAATTAATAAATTGAATAGAGTTATATATAAGGTAGAATAAGGATAATAAGAAAAGAAGAAGAAGAAAAAGAAAAAGAACAAAAGGGGGAAAAAAATCAAATGACTACATGAAAGAGAGTTCATACGTGGTAACCACAGAAGTATGGTTGCTGACGAACAAAAAATACCAGGTCAATCCAGATCGCATGCGGAAAGGTACACACAGAAAACACATAGGTTTTAGAGGAGGGGTTCTATTACCCACTCCCCAATGATTGACAAGCTTAAAATCCTGGTGAGAAGTTCCCCGACTTCCTATCTTACTTGGTTGCGCATGTCAAACTGGGACGGGGAGTGCGCAGCCACCCCATCCTTGCCGAGCGGACTATTGGCAATGGATGCAGCGGACAGGCGCCGACGTCGATCCGTTGGCTCAATCTTTTTGCCTTACTTCCTCGTCTCCTGATTGGCATCGGCTGAGCACCACTACTTCACTAGGCTATCAACCAACGACCTGGAAAAACTAAAATACTCGAAAAATAAAATACAATAAAAAATAAAAATCAAATAATAATAATAATAAAAATAATAATAAAATACCACAACTCCACAGAGAACAGTATCCTTCTTCATTGGGACATGGCGTCTGATCCTTTTTTTCTCCCCCTCTCTTGAAATTCCCCTCTTTGAGAGGGTATTATACCCGTTTCGGGCGATGTCAGTGACTATTCTTAACCGTCCATCTAATGTCTAATGTAAGCCACGAACCTCCTGTCTACCCAGGAGGAACGAACAAGGGGGATCTGCTTGAAGATGGCCAAATTTCTGACTAGAAATGAGCGGAAGACGAATAGAGTGATGAAGAAAAAAATACGAACAATGAAAAAAAAAAAAAGAAAGAAAGAAAGCAAGCAAGAAAGAAAAAGAAAGAAAAGAAGTTGCCCTATTCCAAGGGAGGAGAAGGGAAAACGACAACTCTTTCGAGGTCTGGTGTGAAGAGTGAGCTCATTGGACTGGACCCGCCGGAGGATTGGAACTATTCGCGGTTCCGATTCTAACATACAGAACTCAAAAACACTTACATGGCCTACGGAGCGAAAAAAGAACCCCCATGGAGATCTACAAATGATGGAGATCAAGTCTATCGGCTGCTAGTCGGTGTTGCACTGGCCACTATTACCCACCCGCTGCTCCCAGATGCTGCCAACCAAGCAGGGACCTTCCTGTTCGTGGGTATAAGCCTCGTCACAACAGACACAGACTAGGGTCTTGCTATCACTCGCTCATTTGAAGACAATTCCCAAAGCGACTTGAGCGCCCAGCGGGATCTCTCCTCCCCTTAACATTAAACTTACCATCTGGCGGATGAGCAGCCAAGAGTGACCCTACCCAAAGTACTTGACGATCGAGGTTGGGTATACCTCCTTTTCCTTTTCCTTCGATTCTTTATTGCTTGAACCCTCTGGATTTTATTATTCCCTTCGAAGATCGCTCGCCTTCAATTGCCAATTTTCCTTAAATTTACTCTCCGTTGGCAAAGGGAGTGTAAGCCCGCCGGATTATTACGCCTCACTTTCCGGTTATAGTTCACCGTTTTTTCCTATTTTCCTGACGGATGTTGAGCCACTTCACGGCCGCCAAAAATCTATATTCAGAAAAAGAAAATAAAGGGGGAAGAAGAAATAGAATCTTACATAGTGTGCTAAGAGGTAAGGACTTGCTCGCTGTCTGTCCCTTCTTTTCTTTTATTTTTTTTTTTGGTTTTTTTTATTATTATTATTATTTACTGCACCTCCACTCTCCCTAATTTTTCCGCTCTACGCTTGCCCACTGGGTCCAGTGATCGCCCACCATGCTGCAATAATCAACCCATGATGGAGACCATCGAAGCTATGGAAAACTGTCCGTCACGATCTGGGCAGTCTATCCGGATTAGCGCGTCCTAATTTATGACTCCTCCAATAATGATCCTGGGCTGACTTGATTATAAGCTCCTGTAGTCCTCTGACTGCAATGCGTGGAGTTTCAATAATGACTGCCGATTGAACAGGAAACCGCATTTGACATACAGCAGAACGGCCTTTTTGTACCGGAATATGCTGCCCATGTCAATATCGACCACAACCCTCTTCCCGTTCTTGTAAATCGCGTCCCCCGTCGCTCGAGGGATTATTTTGCCAGATGCAATCACTAGTCCTCCCCCCTTCTTCCTTCATCACCCCAGAGTTCGGACATTCAAGACTTGATCCGGGCCCAGGGAGGCTTTCATTTGATCTAACTCGATCAACCAATGCTCGAAGGTGCAACACCCGGGATCTCCCACTCCCTCGCTCTATGTCCGCTTCGGTCCCGGCAGAAGACCCGCTGGAGACTTCTGGAAACGTCAGGCGGCCCGGACAGTCAGAGCTCCATCGACCGGTAACGGCGGTGGAGTCTTCCACTGTATCGGCGCCTTCTGGATTATCCGCTGGAGTAACGGGGCAGGTTCGCCCTCCAAGAACACCTACTACAACCATCCACGAGTCAGCATACTACCGAGTAATCTCTGGGCCGAGTAATGATGTACCTCGACACCCATTTCCAGTCAGCGACAATTTCTCCTCGCGCTTGCCAGCCTCGCTCAGCGTCCCGGTAACTTCGCAGCCTTCGGTGCCGACATTTTCGCAGCCCACCTTTGGAACGTCACCACCTGGGGCTGCTGGCCGGTCACTGACACAGAAACCGACAAGACGAACCAAAGCTCATGTGGCTTCCGCGTGCGTAAACTGCAAGAAGAAGCATTTGGGCTGTGATCCTGCCCGACCTTGTCGTCGGTGTGTTTTGTCCGGGAAAGAAGTAAGTTTTGCTATCTACTTTCGTGAGATCATCGAGCCGCATTCCTTGTATAGGAACCTATGTGGTCTGAGGTTGTGATTGAAGAAAGAAAGCCCTGTTACTAATTGTTCGACAGGCAACATGCGTCGATGTTACGCACAAAAAGCGGGGAAGGCCGCCCTTGAAAGCCGAAGACGCGTCCCTCAGAACGTATGCATCACAGACAGATAATTCAGGAACATCCGGAGAGCAGCATGCGGCTCAGCCACGGCGCCCCATGCATAGGGCTACATCATCCCGTGAGCTCAGACCCATGACAGACTTGCAGGTACCCGGCGGACCCCCTGGGCCCTACGGGATAAGGGTCTCACCAGGGCAGCCAACAAGATGGCCGGGTGCTATATACTCCCCAGCCATTGATCCATCGCTATCGATGCAGCGTAATATCGGACATCGGCGATTCTCCTCCTCAAGCTCAGTACAATCCATGGCAACAGTGTCCCCAGGCAGTTTTGTGCCGATTGGAGGATACAGCCCGGTTATGAGTGCATCCCATATGCCTATGGGTGTTGGGAGACCGCTGTCATCATACGGAAACCAAGTGGTGCACCCCAGTTCTTCTCCACCGCAATATTATCAGCCGTACGGTGTTCCCTATTCGCCATATGCGCCCAATGCTAGAGTGGTCAGTCGGATGCCCATGGGCGAGCAACCGGTGACAAGAGATCCCCGGGAAAATGTGGTAGAGTCTTCCGTTAGGCTTCCCCCTATTTATCCTCCCACAGTGGGAAACCCCCAACCTGGGCCACAAGGACATCGACTGAGCGACCCATACCCAGCGAATTGGTCACCTCGCACTCGAGAGGAACTGATGCAGCAGGAACCACGGCAACTGCCGTCACACGGTCACGGAACCATTGAGCCTATCTCGCCCAGTAGCCAGATGCGTCAAGCCGCATCGGACTTCAGTTTCGGGAGCCAAATTCCCCGACATCTGGCACCAGTTCCTCCTATGCAAGAGCAGTTGCCTCAGGAGTCTCCTGTACATGCTCGAGATGATCAACCAGCCGCTGAGGCCGAGACTGATGATTCAAGGCCCGCCAAGAGACGGAAGATGGCCTTAGATGATATGGTTAACGATTGAGTGCTTATCTCGATCCACAACAACTGAAAGAAACAAACATATCCATGATCAGAGCTAGCATATCCATTCTTTTCTTTTTCCAAGGACCCGATGGCCCATTTTGGTTCTTGATGTGTAGCCGGACCTACAACAGTTCATGACCTTCATGTACATTTCCTTTGTGGTACGTTTTTTGCTTCTATTCTGCTTACATCCGATATCTAGCGGCCTGTCATTTTCCATATTCTTCTTTATCGCCTCATTTCCTTTGTTATGCATTTAGCACAGATCCGATCTTTGTCATTGTTGTGTTATATGGTCCATTTCAGCACTATTTCCTTTGTTTGACCTTGAGAATTGCATAGGCCTTGGATGTTTGGGTCGACTGGGCTTGTTTCATACAATGCATGGCGCGCTGCGCGTATCCTTCGAAGATATATTAATCGTCTTGAGCATTGGATTCAGCGTCATAGACGGCGTTTTGTTTTGGAGTCGGGGGCATCACCAAGGTTGCTGCATCATTCATTGCATATTCAAAAGGAGCATTCGTATCTTCTTTAGTCTTTCTTTCCTGTCTGATTTTATTATGAAGGGCCTTTTCATATGCTGGCTCTGTGTCATATAGATAGCTCATACAAATTGTGGGATACGTGTGTACCATTGGAGTTGAAAGAGGGTGCAAATTACAAGACATAATTTATTCTGCTTCTTAGACCTTTCCAGTCGATGTTGAGGAACTCAATCGGGTATGTAGTCACCAGAGCAATTTTGGCATTAGCTATTGACGAAATAACAAATGCACAATTCTTGATATAAATCATTGATAACCTGAAGGATTATCTACTACTAACTTGGAAACGATGGCAGACTTCCAGATACAGTTAGGGTTATTCAACGTTGCACTGGCCGAGGTAGTAGTGAACGTCAACCACGCGACGATCTACAGTCTCCACGACCATCGTCTGCACATCCGATGTCACCTACTATTAGTGGGGCATCTTGGGGGAAAAAAAAGCAAGAAAGAAAAGAAAAGGAACAAGACTCCCCACCATGCCCACCTATTAGAATCTTCGAGGCCATTCTACTTTACTCCAAAAGACCAAGCAGACAAGTGGAGCTAAGGTAATAAGGGCTATGTTTGTGTTCAATAATATATAATTTGTCAAAACGTCACGTCACGTCGCAACTATACCAAGTCACAATATACTCCAAACTCCGTTCTTTTGGCTCCATTATTTGATTAACAACATATATACATATATGCCCCCTCCTCTGTTATTCAAACAACAGCCAAAAACCTCACTAAAATAGTCTACATCTTCTTCAATCGCAACTCTACTGAGCATCTACCTTTTTTCCTTTCCAATTTACCCATTCCATCCTTCTAGGCTACCTCTAGGAACATCGCACGCAAGCCCATATTCAAATTATCTAATCCCCCACCCATAGTTAACCCAGACATCCATCCTCACCCCCAAACTACAAATGCACTTCCACATTCCTTCCCAAACCTAATCTCCTTCTACTGTCTTTCTTGGCCCTTCTGTTAATGAATTGGGAAGAACCCAACGGGAAGCTTCTTCCAAGTGAAATAACCCTATCAGAAGCTCACCCTTGGGATGGGGATGATTAGATCGGAGGTTAGGATGGGAGACCTATAGGGATTTGTTTTGGGTTGGGGGGGGGGGGGGGTTGTTGGTTATGGGTTCCAAGGTGTCTTTGTAGTTGAGGTGGTGAGATTGTGGCGTATGCGATTAAGCTTTTAAAAGGGGGGAAGGCGATGGTGAGCTTGCTGGGTGTTTATTTGGAGGCTGAGCGGCAAATTGACAGTCTGAGGTTGTGAAGCGATGGGCTAGTGGTGGTGTTTGGTGAGTGGGAGGAATGGGTTTTGGGGAGGGTTGGTCCAAGGATGGAGGTTACGGGCTGGAATCTCTAGAGTGAATGGGGATTTGGAGAGATCTTCGCGAGGAGTATCTTTATTGTCTGGGTTTGCGGCTAGCTGACAGGCTTCGATGCACATGTTGAAAGGGAGGCCCAATGACTTGCGAAGAGGGACAAACGGTGGATAAGACTCTAGTGAAGGCGTCTTCAATGACGAATAGGGGAAACGGAAGATGGGAGGACCAAATAACTGCTTTAGTATTACCATGTCGATGTGGAAGGAAGATTACCTCGCGGGCTTTGGACATTCGAAGTCCGTTCTGGAGTACTGCTCTGGGGTAAAATTCTTCCTGTCCATTTGGACTCACCTCAATCCAATCTGACTTCCAATGGTAACTGCATCCTTAGAATTCTTTCTGATAATGGAGATACAGCCCATCAGCACGTTTATACATACACCGTTACTCAAGTTAGGGCTATAGAAGTGGGCCGGCAATAGTCTATCGTTGTGGCTGATATGATGGTGTCATGCACTTTGCCGGCTGGAATGCGTGTCATGAGTCTATGGACCCCATGGAAAAACGCCACGGAATCAGATCGATGAATAACCATGGTCAATGTTGGCGTCCTTGATCCGTGAGTAATGGAGATACGCATCTCGACAAGGATGCGTTATACATGAGTGGGTATGATTGGTCGCATTACGGGCGTCACCCGACAGACAAAGGGCTTCGAATCCCGGTTCTAGAAATGGGTTGAACCCGACCCCTGCCCGTCTACCAAGACTGACGCATTGGCATGGAGGCAAACGTGGAACGTCATGGGTGCTTCATGGCCGTGGTCGCAGATAAATGGGGATTGGACGTCCTATCTCCTTGCAAGGATGGGTGTTTGATTCAACGGAAATACAAAGATGGCCGTTCCCCTGTTTACCTTGATAAGAATGGAAGAGAATGTTTCAGACTTCTGAGCTAAGGGAAATAGGGGTTTTGGTGGGTAGTATGGAAATGGAGGATGAGTTTGGTGAGTCTGTTCTCTCATATGGTTTCGGAGGATATTTATTTAGCTAGTGTGGTCTGTATAGTAGCCCACTGACAGAATATCGTGTCGCAGCATGGTCTGTGTTCTCGGGAGAAGAGCACTAAAAATATGGTGACGCAGGCGAATAGGGCGATTCAAGACGCAGTGATGTAGGGAAGGTTATGTGCACACTTAAGAATGTGCAAGGATTCAAAGCGTCCAATATAACCTTAGTATATCTAATGAAGTCGAGGCTAGTACCACAGCAACCCTCACCAGGCAACGAGTCATACCTCCGGTAGAAGTCGATACATTATTCCTGTCACTAAAACCGCCAAGAAGGGGAAAGCTTGTAGAGGCTTTCCCATCCTTAAGATCTATAACCCTATAATATCTTTCGAAAACAAACTGTCTGATCTTGTTCCTGTGCCTACTACGAATGGCAATACCTTTCCGGAGCTCAAACATGCTACTCTACTATCACCCAACGGACGATGTCACCTAGCGGTTGTTCTTGGTTCTTAAATATTTCTTTCATTGTAACAAAGACATTGTCTTCAATTTTCCGCTGACGTTTGTGACACTCGTCGACCTTTGCCTGATCCTCTTGCTTCATTCTTATATGACGAAGCTAAATACTACGAAATGAGAAGCAGCAGCTTCAGTTTATAGGTCAAATTAGTAGGCTAAACGTTTAACCGTTTTTAGATTCCCCGCAGATGCAGTAGACTATAGAAAGGACTGGGTAGGAGATGGTATGGTCACATTGTACATTCAACAAGCTTTGTCTAACACTCAATAAGACGATATAGCAACGTTACAAGGAAGACTCTATACCCCAAGCTATACTTGGCCTTTGATTCAGCTGCCTTCGGAAATATGCCTATTATGCCAGGACCGCGACCATTCATTCTATTCTTCAATCTAGTCAGACATGCAGTACCGCTCTATCAGCAGTTACAAAAGGTAGCACGAACCGAAATCGTCACAAGCAAGAGTAGAGACGAGTTCTACTCCGATCTACAAAGAAAATACAAAGATATCTCAATCATCTACAGAACATCAGCGAGCGGGGCTGTAAGTACCCTCTCTCCAATCTTCACTCAATCTATTCCCTGCACATACTAACAATCCAACAGGCAGCGGGAAACTTCGACGCAGAATTGATCCATCGCCTCCCCTCTAGCTGTAAGCATATCTGCCACAACGGTGCTGGCTATGACCAGATCGACGTGAACGCATGTGCAAAACGCGGAATCACCGTGACCTACGCACCGGACCCCGTCACCGAAGCGACAGCAGATCTTTCAACCTGGCTGATGCTGGGTGCTCTGCGACAATTGAATCCATCCCTCAACTCCCTACGAGCTGGGAAGTTCAAAACGGGACTTGACTTCGGCCACGACCCCCAAGGCAAAATCCTGGGTATCCTCGGCATGGGCCATATCGGACGCGCGATCAAGAAACGCGCCGAACCGTTCGGTCTTATCACCAAGTACCATAGTCGCAAGCCCCTCTCCTCTAATCAAGCGGCCGGTGCTGAGTGTGTCTCTTTCGAAAAGTTGCTGGCCGACAGCGACATCATTAGCATTAATGTTCCTCTTAACGCGCAAACTAAAGGGCTCATTGGGGAGAAAGAAATTTCTCAGATGAAGGACGGTGTTGTCATTGTTAATACCGCTCGTGGTCCCATTGTAGATGAGGCTGCGATGGCAAAGGCGCTGGATTCGGGGAAGATCGCCTCCGTGGGCCTAGATGTATATGAGAATGAACCACGCGTGAATGAGCGGTTGCTACAGAATGATCGCGCCTTGATGGTGCCTCATCTTGGAACTCATACTGTTGAGACGTTGGCGAAAATGGAAACGTGGGCTATGGAGAATGCGAGAAGAGCGGCGCTTGGGGAGAAGCTACTCTCGCCTGTTCCAGAGCATATTAATTTCCAATAATTCGTGGTTTTATTTGTGTCAATCAATTAAGTGTCAGAGTTGATTATTGAGACCTTTTATCGGCGACACTGTCCAGTATCTTGTTGGTGCAGTAGGTAAAACATAGAATTTTCGCTGAGTTGACTATCTTTCCAGGGTAGAAGATAAAATGAGTAGAATTCGTCACGTATACATCGTTATTCGTAACACAGTTATTGGTTACGGTTGATATGTACAGAAATAATTAAAGAAACATATTACAAGAACAACCACATGCCCACCTGCTTAATTCTCCCCATGACGCTCTTGTCCTCTGGGTCCCACGAAAAGAATTTCTTCTTGCGAGACCCATCCGGTTGGGGTGCATTATCGTCGTGGATATTTCCTTCATTTGGATCATTCAAGTCGACTCCAGTGCTGTGAATAAGGTTGTACCGATCGGTGATCAGGTCCATCTCGCCACGATGAACAAACCGCGTTCGTTTAAACAATTTCCAGGCGAGGAACATCACAATCATGACAGGAATTTCAATATAGTAGGAAACAAAGTCGACGCCCTTGAAGTGTGGGCTGAAGCATTTCCAGCCTTGCACGAGGATGAGAACGCTGTTGAGGCCGATGGCGATGATAGGCCCGACAGGGTAGGTCCAGTTCTTGTAAGGGAGAAGATGCTCGAGGCCTTGGTGGCGAATAGCAGATCTGAAACGGAGAGATGCCACTCCAATGCAGACCCATGAAATTTGGTTTGAGACTCCGACAATGCTGGCATGGGGTTAGCTTCAATGTCAATAAACACAGACATCCGTGGTTGGGATTGACGATAATCGACTCACTTTTGTAACCACGACCATAACTGGCCAGCTCCGATGTAACTGGCGCCAAAGCATAAACCACTGATCACAGACGTCGCCAGGACAGCAATCCAGGGGATCTGAAAGCGATTCAGATGGCCGAAAAAGCGGGGTGCATATCCGTCAACAGCCAAGGAATAGAGCAGTCTGGATCCAGCAAACAAAGCATGATTCGCGGCAGAGATGACACTAGTCATAAGCACGGCATTAATGAAACTGCCTGCGACAGCACTGCCAGCCTGTTGGAAGACGAGGGTGAACGGACTGGTGGCCGTGTCTCCGTTGGACAGACCGGGATAGTTGTATGGTACGTTGAGGCCGATAATAATGATAGACACGATGTAGAATAATATGATACGCCAGAAGACGTTGCGGACCACCTTTGGCATGTTCTTTGCTGGGTCCTTAGTTTCACCAGCCGTAACTGCAATAGACTCGGTGCCACCACTATTCATGTCAGCGCAATCTTTCTCAAGGATTATAAATATAACATACAAGGCAAATGAAGCTGTAACGAAGACGGATGCAAAGCCACCAATACCGTCAACAAAGGGTGCGTCATCGACATAGAAATATTTGTCTCCAATATATGTGTGTTCAGTGTTGCCGCCACAGTTGACTACAATACCGAGAATAATGAAGATCTGGACATCGTCAGCATTGTATTCGTCAAATCAGATGGGGTCAGATGTATAAGAACATACTATGATAGTAACAACCTTGAGTAGACTGAGCCAATACTCGATCTATAATATATCCCTGATCAGCAATTGGAGGCAGAGCCATGGATTTTAACATGCATATAACCTACCTCTCCGTAAACCTTGACGGAAAACATATTCAAAGCAATAACAACAACCAGGAATATCAGACTAATTGCCCATCCAGGGAAGTTATCCGTCCAGTACTGGAGCAGTAGTTGCAGAGCAATAACATCAGACGCAGTGGAAACCGCATCATTAAACCAGTAATTCCAGGTAAGGGCGAACCCTAAAGCGTCATCGACAAACCGACTGCAAGTAGTTAGTATTCATGCAACACCTACCACCTAAGGTAAAATGACTCACCCAGCAAAAGTGCAGAAGGATCCCGCCACAGGGATGAAAGAAGCCATTTCACCCAGAGAAAGCATGGTCACAAAGACAATACCACCGCAAATGGCGTAGGCGATAAGCATAGATGCCGGACCGCCAGTAGCCAGAGCTTTACCCGTTCCCAAGAATAAACCAGTTCCAATAGTACCACCGATAGCAATCATTTGAACTTGACGTGCAGAGAGATTACGGGCGAGTTTATCTGCATTGACATACGGAGTGTTGCTGTTGAGGGGGTCTGCTACCAACCCGGGAGCCTTCTGAACCGCATCCTCTTGAGGGGCCCTACCGGGCCCCTTCTCGATGTCATGGACCGCCATTATGTGCAAATGGTCCGGTAATGGTCCCGACTTGGATTACTGATAGAGCACTTGAGATATCAAGTCCCCAACTGACCAACAACCAGGGTCAGGGAATCCTGATGGAGAGGGTAAATAACCCGTCAAAGCCAAACTATGGCACTACCATGGATTCCAAGTTAGCATATTAAACTAGCAGAGCACCTGCATAACAGCTAAAATCGACCTACCTGATCGCCGATTTATCAGCTACTCAGTGATAGCCCTATAAAACTTCCCAATTAGGAAAGCGACCCGCCAGGCCCGACAAATTCCACGTGACGGCGAAGAAACGCGCAAAATTGCGAAGAGAAGGTGTCAAATCAGATCTTGAATCTGCGGGGGTGAGGAGACAAAAAGCTTCTTAAAACCAGAATCTCTTGATTGTGCCATCTCAGGGGAGTCAAGGCGAATGCAGGCCTTGTAACCTCGCGAAAACTTAGCGGATGACGTGCTCAAAAAAAATTACGTACGACTTTTGGATATGGGCCATGATGGCGCATTTCCTACGGTTACATCGCGGGGAGTAACTGCCGACCACGTTTTCCTTCTGTGGCTAGTAAATCTCCACTCTTGACATCTGCAGTTCGAGATTGAGTTTTGGCTATAAATCTTGTATTTGTTATCAATCCTTAGCCCTATCGACTATATACATAGAAAAACCTCTTATCATGGACATGCTTTTGATACTCCGCTAGTAGAACAAATAAAAGGAACTGAAAAGGATATATCCATTGACAATAAAAGAAAAAAAAGATTCCCAGGTTACACATCTCATTACCCAAGCAATCCAGTAGCCAAAGACTCCAAATCCTCCAAAGTCTGAATTTGTTCGGGAGCTTTTGCGGCCGGTTTCTTGCTCTTCTTGTACCAGGGTTCTTCTTTGCTCTCGTCGGGCTCTGCAATGCGAACCTTCTGCTTCTTGCTGGGGCGAGGTGCGTCGTCCTCCCGGTCCGATGCAGAAAACTCGTCGTCCTCCTTGTATGGAGCCAGCTGCGCCACAGCTTCCTCGGCTTCCTCCTCGGCAAGCAACTCGCGCTCCCGAGCCTTGCGTTTTTCTTTCTTCTCCCGGCGTTTCTGTTTGGCCACTTCCTTGTCCTCCACATCGGCGGTGCGTGTCCGCTCGGTTTCCTCTGCCAAGAATCGGGCTTGTTGCTCCTTGGCATCCCCACGGGCCTTGAAGTCTTCTTCGTCCTCCATTTCGTACAATTCGTGCGCGTTGCCCTCGTCGTCGTAAATAAGTTTTGTTCCCTTTCCTTTGAACTTGAGCAGTTTCTTCTTCGACTTGAGTAGCTTTTCCCGACGTTTCGAATCAATGACCAATGTATCCTTGCCATCGAGTTGTACCACTTTAACATCCTTCTGTTCTGACTCCTCTTCGGAGCTACCACCCAGGTCCTCATCTCCAGCGTCGAAGCGACGTTTAACCGACAGGAAGTCATCATCCTCGTCCGCATCGTCGGCAGCACTTGCAGTCTTACTGGGGTCAACCAATGTGCCGTCATCGTTGATAAGTTTCGAATAGTGGTCGGCCAAGACGTCTTGATTCCGCCTCTCGAACATACGGTCATATTTGGTCCGGACTTGTTTTTCGTCCTTCTTTGTCTTCTTCTCGCCGTCTTCATCGGAATCATCGTCACTGGACATATAGGCCGTCGCCCGTGATGCATTCTTGCGCTCTTTAGTGTCGTCTCCCTTGATAAACTTGATACGGGGAGCACCTGGAAGACCAAGACTGGAAGCGAAGTCATCTAACTTGAGCTCCTTAAGTTTGAAAACTTCCTTATCCTTCTGGACATAGACTGATTTAACGTAGGAGATAAACGCCTTTTGTCCCAGGTACTTAAGTTCAGGGTCTTTGAAGCACATATTTTGCAATTGGTCCTTAATACTCTGCTGCTTGTTGGCCTTGATATTGATGCGTTCAATAGGAACCTTTTTTTGCTCAAGGCGTTTCAACATTCCTGATTCCTCGCTAGGATCCAAAAACAACACCGCACGACCATCACGCTCATATCGGGCTGTCCGTCCAACTCGATGAATGTAAGTGTCGGCATCTTCAGGGCAGTCCATTTGAATGACCCAGTCAACGGCGGGGAAATCTAAGCCACGAGCAGTAATATCAGTTGAAAATAGGACTGCATGTTTTGCTTGCGAGAACTTTGCCGTGATATCAAGCCGTCCACCCTGCTTCTGCCGACCGTGAAGATGCATCAATGGGATACCAGGTTGTAGATGGCGGAATGACTCGTAAACGAATCGCACCTGCTTTCCGGAAGACAAGAATACAATCGTTTTAGCCTTCAGGTTACTGCGGATAAAACTCCACAGAATATCAAGCTTCTGCGATAATGGGGTAACGACGTAGTGTTGCTGAAGTGTAGATGGGGTTGCGGAAGATGCTGCTTCGTGAACAGCAACGTATTCGGGATCTTGCAAGCTCAACCGCGCAAGATCCGACACCTTTTTCGTTTGCGTAGCACTGAAGAGCAATGTCTGCCGCTCTTTGGGTAGATGCCCAACAATAGCATCCACAGTCTTCTGGAAACCCATGTCCATGATACGATCCGCTTCGTCCAAGACCAGCATTTGCAGGTTGAACACATCGAACATAGCCGTTTGGTCCAAATGCTGCAGCATGCGACCCGGTGTGCAAACCAGGATATTCATTCTTCCCAGTCTTTCTTGCTCCTCCTTCAAGCTCTTTCCACCAATAATCAAGCCGGCTGAGAATGTATGATAACGACCGATTTTGCGAAGGACCTCAAAGATCTGAATGGCGAGTTCACGAGTCGGAGATAAGATCAGAGCTCCCAGGCCATCATGCTCAGACCATTGCTTGCGGTACAAGTTCTCGAGAACCGGGATGAGAAAAGCCAGCGTCTTGCCGCTACCGGTCTTTGCGGCACCTAAAATATCCCGACCCTTCAACGCATGGCCAATTGCACGAGACTGAATATCCGTGAGGGTTTTGAAATGTGACGAATCTAATCCGGAGGCAGTCGGCTCAGACAGAGGGAGATCAGAAAAGGACTTGTAGGTTTCCTTGATATCGAGATCCTCAACCCGCTGGGTAAGAGTCGACAGATTATCTTGCGCGCGCTTGCGTTTCAGAGAATGACGTTGAGAAGATTTCGCATTCTTGCTGTTACGGGGACCGTTTGAAGGAGCCATGGTAAGCTCACCTACTAGGTCGTTGAGGTTTTTGTGAATTTCGTAACAGTCTTTTCGATTTTTCTTGAGCGCTATTTTGAAATGCGAAAGAAATCGCGGGCGGTGTAGCAAATACTTTTTTTCTGCCGGACACTATTCTGCTGACTCAGCGTGCGATAAGATGAAGGGCTTATCGATGGTTATGGAGACATGCGACCATCTCTATTCTCCATGCGGAGCTTTTATTAGTAGCATACGAATCTGTTACTACTTCCCTCACCCCTTTTCAGCATCAGGAGGAGGTTGTATTATTTACACGTCAAGAAGGATGTCTTCCGATGAACAAGATGCCTTGGATGCCCTGGAAAGGGAAGCGTCCGACTTTGTCAAGGTAACGAAAGCTCCAAACAAAGAGCTCGAGATTCGTTCGACTAACTCGAAGACAGGATGCCGAGATTGATCGCATCAGGAAGGCATTTGCACTAGACGCGTAAGCTTAGCCCTGTTTAGCTGTCTGTACTATGTTCTAGACTAATTGTGAGTGTTTTGAAACAGGTATGCCGTTCTCGACCTCCAACCAGGAGTTACTGAATCCGATATCAAAGTACAATATCGCAAAAAGTCTCTACTCATCCATCCTGATAAGACAAAGAATCCAGCTGCTCCAGACGCGTTCGATCGTCTTAAAAAAGCCCATTCTACACTAATGGAGGAGAAGTCGCGCACGTACCTCGATGAATGCATCGCAGATGCGCGACGGTTGTTGATTCGTGAACACAAGTACACATTGGATTCGCCCGAATTAAAGACAGATGAGTTCAAGAAAGAATGGCGTCAGAAGACAGTGCATGTGTTGCTAGAAGAAGAGGCGCGCCGACGAAGACAAGCCAAGGCTAAGTTACAGGAGGAAGGCCGTGAAAGGCGTAAAGAAGAGGAAGAAATTGAAGAACGAAAACGCAAGCGTGATCAGGACAAGGCTTGGGAGGACAGTCGTGATGAGCGTATCAGCAGCTGGCGAGATTGGCAAAAAGGAAAGAAGAGTGAAGGAGACAAGAAGAAAAAGAAGAAAATGAAAGTCCTTGGCTGATTTGCAGGATACCGTCGTTTATCATAGACCCCTTCAATACAGCGACAGAGGTTGAAGACATCATAGCATTTGAAAATCTTTGTTGTTGTGTTCTAATGGAAAGCATTCTCACCAAGCCTGTAAGGAATCTATAGGCCGCTTGCGGATGTCTCTGCATTTAGACTTAGACCGAGTTGGACTCGATTTGTGCCACCGGTGACTTGGCATCGTCCCCCGCCAGAATGGACACATTGACTTCTTCTTCTGCACATTTAGGTTAATTCGTCTATTGCATTGAGTTATGCTGAAGATTTCTTTATCGGTCAGGGCGGCCTATAATCCACCGCACTTGTCAAGATGGTGAATATAGCGCAGCTCCCACCGGAACTATTCTGTCCGGTGCTTGATCTTGCTTTTGAGAATCAAAGTGACATCCAACTGCTCTGCAGACTCTCTCTTCTTAGTCGCCAATGGTATGAGGCCCTAGTTCCTCGTATATATGCTGAATGGACCTACAATGGTGCGAGGCAGTCATTCAGGTCTCTCTGGAATTTTCTTCGGACTATCCTCAGCGACACCCATCTCGCAGCCATGGTGCACTCCCTACATATAGGCAACTGGGGTTATTATCCACATGCACGCTCCGGTGAGTGTGAAGAACTAAATCTTCCACGAGATGAGATTACCCTTTTCCGCGAAGCTATCAGCAGGGCAGGAATCAAACACCTAGAATCAAGTATCATAAAAGATATACGAAAGCGTGATCGACGACCGCTGATGGCACTTCTTCTAACATGCCTCCCAAACCTCACGAGAATACATGCACACATCCCACAGTCTGACCCTGTTCTTAGTGCAACTCTGAGGCAAATATTAGACTGCCAGAGTGGCAACAATCCACCAACACTTCTTAGCAAGCTGAGCGAACTTTATGTGCTTGGCGAAGTGGGCATTCCTACCTGTGACCTCATGAATTATGACCTCCTTCCAAGAGCCAATCAAACCCTATTGCACCTGGATGACCTGTGGCCCGCACTTCATTTGACAGGTCTGCGGACGCTCTCACTTTTCGGTCTCGATACCGCGAACGCAGCCCTTCGACTTGGAGCAAGTCCTGCTTTATCTCGTCTGAAACACTTATCCATAATCGGCGGCTTTAATTCCAGCTGCACATATTCAGATCTCCGAGCTTTGCTCACTTTACCAGAAGCATTGATCAGCTTCTCATTATACGTGCAAGATCATGCGTTTGGTTCGATCGGAGGTGACATGATATCTAACGCGGATCTCTGGAAAGTCCTGAGAAAACACCAGAAAAGCCTTGAATACCTCGACATTTATCGTGATGCTGAACACACGAGACTCTATATGAGTCAAGGCCATTTTGGTCTTCTCCGTTCCTTTGCACGCCTGAAAAGGCTTTGTATCCAACCAGATGTCTTACTTGGTAGCTTCTGGGATCGGCCCAACGCCCCCTACCGTTTGAAAGACCGTTTGCCATGCAATCTCCAGTCTCTCACACTCTATGGCGGTAAAATGTTCTTCCACACCAGCAGTATGAGTGTTCACCTTCAAGAAGCACTGGGCAGTGGGATATTTCCGTCCCTAACTTCGATTGAACTAGAGGGTTTCTATGTAGATTCAGATGTGTCCGAGGTATGCCGTGAAAACAATGTTAGCCTTTCAATGGGACGAAGCTGTCAACATAAAGCCCTTTCAAGAGATTGTCAACTTCGGAAGGAAGGAAGCTGCCCGCCGTTCTTGCAAAAGACATACCACATGCGAATGGATGGCCAAAGACGGGCGGTTATGTTTGCTTTCTTCCCGATGGAATGTCGTGGTCGTGGTGAGATATTACTACCCCTCGACGACAGCATGGACGCCTACGAGGAGATGGAAACAGAAGACGAAGGCCTTGATCAGTGTACCGGTGACTTGAAACTCCGTATGTTGGACTTCTGGGTGCACAATGGAGGCACAGCGTACATGGTCTTTCAGAACTTTGGATACTCCTCGCTACCACCGCTTTTTACCTTTGCCATATATTTTACACATACACACGTGTCGCGGGAAAGGGTTGACCATCGGGCTTTGTACCATGCTCTTTGTGCCTCGTACCGCAATTATGATGTCCGATTCGATCTGTATTTTGTCCCCGGTATAGGTGAAGAAGGTTGTATAGCTCATTACCGCCAGGAGGGGCGCTTCCGTGGGGATTATAAGAAGCAACTCCAGGCATACAAGGAGAGTAGCCGTTACGATGTTTCGCCAGGGGTGGGATCTCTACCCAGTATGGTACACGACTACTCTGATACTGGTTTCTATCGAGGGTTGCTGTTTATATGTACTGAACCAGAATGGAATGACGACCAAGAAACCTTGTGGTCTGTGCAGTTCGACCCGATTTGACAGGCTGGAGATGGCATAGAGTCGTCAGATGAAGAAAATATCCCTCTTCATTGTATCCAGCGACACCCAATCAATGACCGCAGCCGCTGGTATGAAGGCTACAATGGCGAATGCCCGATTGACCGATGGATATCTGATATAGCATCCTGGCATAGGGAGGAATTGAGGGGACCCTGGCTGAAAGCAACACGAAGAGGCTGGCAGAGTTGGCGTTAGTTGGACTCACGAGTCAGTATTTCCTTATATCAATGATTCTAAGAGGTATTTCCATTTGGTCATTAACTCGGAATGATTCTATGTTCCACTGTATATTTAACGCAGATCAGACGGTAATGAATGCAGTAGTATGTATGGACCTTTCGCCCTCAGCTTTTCATATAATGTTTGCCTGTCGTATTTACCAGTGTATCTCCCCCAACCATTTATTGCAGCTTTACAGACTATTTCACCAAGCCGTGATATGAAACAAAGAAAGAACTAGAGAAGAAGAATATGTAACACGCCTTTATAATAAACCAGCCCATGGATCAAGAATGATCCTCACTCCAATCAAAATCACGTTTGGCCGTAATAGACATATGAGTAGAGTCATTCACAAGTTTAACACTATCCGTATCCCTATGATACGAGTTAGGCTCACTGTGAGCCGAAACGGTCGTCAGCACTATCTCATCCTCCGGACGCAATCGGGCATTCTGACAGCCCTCACGCGCGTCTAGTTGTTGAAACGAACGACTTTTGCTCTGCGATCTACTTCGGCGTTTCTTTCTAGAAGCTGATAGCGAAAAGCTACCAAATAGTCGTTCAGCATTAGACCCGAGCACAAGCATCGTGGTTCTCCGGAGCAGCGCGTTCAGCGTGGGTAGACACGCACAAACAATGCCGATGCAGGGCTCAATGGTAGACCATAAGTATACGTCGCCCATGACCCAGTTGATATCGGGGTTCGTCGCAAGTAAAGTCAAGTAATAAATCCGAACCATACTTCCCACGGAGACGCTGTATATGATGATTAGCTCGCTGCTTTCGTGTCGTGGTAGTAAAGGTATATCGGTCATTCTTACAACCCACCTAAGAGAAAGATACCAGAAATCAGTACCTTCTGCACCGGACGTATTTGGAGTCTGGAGATGATCGGAATTGGAACAAGAAGCGTGATGACATCTGTGAAGACATTTGTTGCGGCGTTTCCAAGGTAGAATGCATATAGGTTGATGATGCACTTTCCTCCCGACGGATCAGCAAACTGCGTATAGAAGTATGACAGTGGCCTGCAGGAGCATAGGAAGGCAATAATGCAGCAAGCGCCATGGCCGATACTGAGGGCCAGACAAACCCACATCATCCAGTTCATTCCAAAGATTCGGCGATAGAGGAGGATAATCGATACTTTGATGGATGGAAGTAGAACTAGATAGATGAAGATATAAGCGAACAGAATCTTACGCACACTGTCAGTCTGCAGCCTGAATAAAGCATTCTAAAGATTCCGAAGTATGCTTTACCTTTCGCATGTTCACCACATCGTCAAGCGTCCCTCTCCACACATGCTTGCCGAGGCCGCAGTATCCCGCTGAAGGTTAACAAACAATCAGCTCCTTCACTATTAACTTTGTAAGATATAAAATAAACGTCTTTACCCAATATCGTAGCAACCAGAAGTGTAGTTAAGGGTATCTGTGCTAAATCTATTAGCAAGAGTCCTTTGAGCCACGATATAAATGGTAAGAAACGGGAGGCGACTTACAAGAGACGCTGCAATCAACCAATCGTCAATCCCTAATCTGATATTCTGGATTTTAATCCGCGTAACAAATCGAAGCACTACAGCGACAACGGCGACGATATACAGGGCAATAACAGCAGCATTGATCTGGGGAGTCTGGTTGTCGTTTAGATCGATACCAGGAGGTTGCGGCCCGAAGATATCTGTGACCGTCACCATACTCGCAACAAGTCCAACCCTTTCACGAGATACAGTGTTCAAGTTGGCGCAATGGCAACAGTCGGGGAGAGCCAGCGGATAACAAACAGGCAGGCGGGCGAACTCTGACAACATCCATAGTGAAGAACGCCAGAATTAGACGCGAGGCTAAAAAATATGATTGCGAGGGTTAATGGCCAGGTATGCACGAGTAACAAAGTACGACTGATGCATCGTTCACTATTTTTACGTGGCAAGGGCATAACTGGGCCTGGCCCCCAATTGCACCCTTGTCTCAAGCGCGCAATAACATGGATTATTATACAGACCTATCCCGTGATGTGGGACTGTTGAAGAAGAAATCGGGGCATGAGAGCCCAATTGATTGGGTCTGACGTGTTTGTCACTATGCCTGCATATGCAAAGAACATCTTTCAGTAATATGATTATTCAGCCAAGATAAGTACTAGTCATGGATTGATTAAGTATGTACTTTTGTCAAGAGTCTATGACATTCATAGTCTTACATACGTTTCGTTGGCTAGATGGCTAAATCCAGACCACCTCGCGTCTATTGATGCATGGTCCAAGACTCGTATATAAGGCACTTGCATACACTTTGCAGGACAACAGGGCAGCACCATCAGAACTGAAGGACCACGGACAGTGTTGCATTAGTACTCGGAGTGGGCCATTAATTTGGTCAGTGGCGTTGCCAAACCACGGCTCGCCGGGCCGCGCCGTAACAATAGGGGCAAAAGGTTGTAGGTTCCAGGCCCGAACCCCTGTTCTAAGGAGGAACTAATATGCAGAGATGGTGCCTGGGGTTGTTACCAATCAGGCCAATCAATACTGGTCCACTCTTAGCTCTCAATTGGAATTCAGTGTCATGTTGCAGCTCAACACACATGCAGATTTATCTACGTTTACATGTGCCTACACGAAGCATGCGCCACAAAGCTTTCTTGCAGCCAAAGCCAGGGAATAATAGTTAAAAAGCTGGCATTTAAGCTTTAATCCAGACAACGTACACTATGACCACAAACGATGGGTACTGTGTAGCATTAACTGTTGTGTTGGTACCACTCTACTATGGCGCGTGGATGGCTCTACAAATAGCCGACAAAGGGCCATAGCACACTACTAGCCCTTGTATTGGTAGCCTTCGCAATAATCAGTATAATTGGATATGTTTGATAAAGTTTCTCCAAATACCGAAGTCCTATTATCTCACTTCCCAATGTTCAGAATAATAACCGAAGCAATACCCCTCTCTGCGACATATTATATACCGTGTACAGAATACAAACTTATCTATAAAGTATCTTTTTAAGCGGACAAAGTTAGTTCACAAATACCTATCTTACCCAATTAGTACAGCCTATATAAATAACATTAACCACTTATAAATATTGTCGACAAATTTGTCCTGTTAGGAGCTACCCTTATTCTCTCCCGCTTTATCTGGAATTACTTCCGATCTCTATTGAAGTTGTTTCCTGGGCTATTTAGCGCCAAACTAACCGATTTATGGCGGTTTCAAGACGTGTTCAAGGGCTGTTGTGATCTCACGCATAATGAACTTTATCGAAGATATAGACCTGCAGTCTGTATAGGTCCCAATATGCTAAGTCTCTCTGATTCTACATTGATTAATCAGGTATATTCTACCAGAGATCCATAGATTAAGGTAAGTAACAAGCTTATCTAGAACTCAGAACATATATATAACATAGAAATAATAAGAAGTATCTCCAATTCCTTGTCAACTCGCAGAGTAATATATACAATATAAACCAATCGGTAATTTCCGGCATATATATCAAGAATCTTTTTCTCGCATCAAGACAAGCAATAGCATACCAAGTACATCCGGCCGGTTAAGAATCATTATTCTATAATCTAAATAAAATTTTTAATTTTATAAAAATTAATTTAGAAAAATGCTTTCTCGCTAGAATCTAGCACTACCATGATGTATATAGTCACAACTTTGTTCGTGGAGAAGAGCACTTCTTACTTTCTGTCATTATATTTTCCCTTTTTCCTGTTTTAATAGTGCATATCGGTCCTAGCGAGTGGAAACTATTCGTCATAGTCCAAAGTACTTAGATTCAATATTCTAGCAGTCAGTAGCATCTACTTAGAACTAAATCAAAGTTGCAGCTACAACTGAAATACTTGGAATTTCTATAGCTAAGTACCTGAACCAATCATACCAATGACATATTGAGTGTAAATCTGATATTCTAAATATAGACAACGATCTTATACAACGAACCTGGTGGTCTACATACGAAGTTTCTGTCGAACAAAGACGCGATAGCGTCTTGGTTAGCATTACCGGAGGCGTGGACAAACTGATCATATCCTTAAAACTGTCCCCTATACAGGACCAGGATACTACTTCATTTAGCGAAAGTATATACTAATTCAACACTCTGGGTTGTGGTCCTCATATTGTGCGGACTTCCTACTCTTCTGGTATTCCTGAAACAACGATGCACATAGACACATATTCCGCGCGAATCTTATGTCTAATCACAACAGCTAGAGTACTAGTACAATACTCCAAAGACTCATCCAGGAGGCTTCTAATTTGCCTCTTGATTTCTTCTCCTTCTTCTTAGGTTCTAGAAGTAAAAGTAGACGTCACATCAATAATCGATCCATTATTCAAGGCGAAAGAAAAGGTTAAACGTCTGCAAGAACGGCCGAACAAAGTCCGCCGAACAAATCCCGAACTTGAACGGTACGGGAACAATGCCCATCATTTGACTAAGCGGGAAGGACTCCGGTAGATAACTAGATGGTAGTGCTAACTAACCAACCTCTTTGTCTTTTTCTTAATGTATATTGTACACTTTCAGCCCAGATAGGACCTTGACCCCCGAGAGCCACAACCTAGCCGAAAGACATCCTCATGCATTGAAACACGAGAAAAAGTTCCTATCAGAAGAAGCACATGCGATAAGAAAGCGGTCAGCGATGCGGGGCGCGGGGCGAGCGAGCCGATTCGTTCGGACCGACAAGTTAAAGGCGACCAGAAGATTCTCCAGAAAGTGTAGTGTCATCACCCTCGGTCTCGCTTTCTTATCGCACGACGTACGCGAGGGTCGATTCAATTGACCCCTGACCGAGTTTATACCGGGACCAGCAAGTGAAAAGTTCATTTACTATCATCTTTAAATACTGACTAGCATCGTTACGATTTGTTCTGTTCGACTCCTAGAATTCAACTTTCGCCTCATCTATTTAATTGTCCCAAGTCCCACCCCTCACTTGCATTCAACCTCACCCACCATCACCAACCACACTTCCTATCATCAGCCCCTCCCGCTCTATACAAAACAATAGGACCGATACAACAAGAATGACCGACACAGCCATCCAACCAGACCCCGTCCTTACTCAATTAAATGGAGGCACCTCGAACCTAAAAAACGTGGCCCCCCATCTCCCCTCCCCACAAGCGCAATGCACCTCCACACCCTCCACACAACAGCCAACAACATCCTCCTCCCTCTCAGAAGTAATCGCCCAATGCCACCACAAAGTGCACACCTTCCTCGCCGAGTCTCATCCTCCAGATTCTCTCCTCGCCGCCGTCCAACGCCAAACTCGCATCTCCCTCGATGTCGCCGCAACAGCCCTTTCCCGCTACAGCCTCCCAGAGCTCGCCCTCTCCTATAACGGCGGAAAAGACTGTCTGGTCCTCTTGGTGCTCTTCCTCGCCAGCCTGCATCCGCATCCACCACCCGAAAAGGGCGGCCTCAAGTCTATCCCGGCGATTTATGCCCTACCGCCGGATCCCTTCCCCACAGTCGAGGAGTTCGTCCAGTGGTCGTCGAACGCCTACCATCTTGATATTATAAAATATACGACAGAGCCGCCGAAGTCGACCCTCAAGTCAAGTTTTGCGCACTACTTGTCCCTCCATCCCAGTGTGAAGGCGATTTTTGTCGGCACTCGTCGGACGGATCCCCATGGCGCTAAGTTGACTCATTTCGATCGGACGGATAGTGGTTGGCCCGATTTCGTTCGCGTTCACCCAGTGATTGACTGGCACTATGCGGAAATTTGGGCTTTCATTCGTCAACTGGGCTTAGAGTACTGCCCTCTCTACGACCAGGGATACACAAGTCTCGGTGGTCAGACGGACACTCACCCAAATCCTATGCTTCGTGTCGACACTATGGCAGGTAACGAAGCCACGAAACACTACCGACCAGCGTATGAGTTGACTGAAGACCTGGAGGAGCGGCTGGGACGCAATTAGCCCCTTGACCGCCGACATGGAGTGTTACTAGCACCGTCAAGCTCTTCGCGCAGAAGTTCTTTGCTTAATCCGATGTCTACATGGAGAGCGATCTGAGGAGATAGGATGACATTGCGTATTGGGCTTGCCTTTTATTCCCGCTCCCTTTCACGGTTTTCTCTACTTCTCTTATATCTTCTATGTATATGGTAGAAAATAGATTTTATATATCTCTGTGGCTGCTGGAAACTTTGGGGCTGCTGTTTGCAAGGCCACAAGTGCAAATTTCATTAGACATTTACCTTAACTTTTATCATGTTGAACAAAGGGATGTCTCTCTAAGTCAGATACCACAAATAGCAATTCTTATCCATACCCATCAATCTTCTTTTTTATGGTCTTCAAGTGTGCGGACCAAGCGTACAAAATACAGATCTTAAAAGTCATTCTGTTGACCACCATAGAACGGGGATGTTGTCAAAACAAATCAACACCAGGTAGCAATCGACAAAATCAAAAGACAACCGCAAGGCGGTGACAAAACAAACAAAATTGACAGAACGAACATTTAAAAGCAAAAGTGCAAAATAAATGCGTTTTGGTAAAACATTGTAACCTATAGCATATGCTGGCATGTAGTCATGGAGCCGAAGATGGTGACAAGCCCGGAAAGGATTCAAAAGTGACTCAGTGGACGGATCGCGGAGATTTCACAGTGATCTCCCTGCGTGATGGGATAGGCGACAAAGACTCAGCTTTGATATTCTCCTTTCGGGGGCTGGTTGGCCCAGAACGGGGTTCGGCACAAGGAGAGTTGGGCAAGGCTGTCCTGGACGAAACTGTCCTAGACGAACCACCAGAGATGGTTTCCATCCAGCCCATACGACTAATTGGAAGCCGTCCACGATAGACAGGCGTGTCAAGTGTTGCTGGGCTGTTCCCAGCGGACCAGGTGTTGAGGTGTACATTGCTGAGCTGGTTCTTCACCACAGGATACCTGTTTTCTCATCAGCAGGGTGGGTTCATGTTTTGTATACAGTTGTCAATACGTACGGAGGAGAAATGGACGTCGCAGGGGTCCAGGTAGGGCCCATCCCCACAGGAGATGGATAACTGACTTGGGAGCTGGGGCTGAGATGGGACGCAGTTTGTTGCAGACGATGCAAAGAAGGTGATGGGGTTGAGCCTTGGACTACCTCAACTGAGTAATTGTACTCCCCAGCTCGATAAGCACGGCGCTCATTGCTTTGCTGTTTGAGCAGCTTCTGAGCCTTTGTGTCTGCAAAGCGAAGGAGTAACTTGACGCCATCTTTTGCCATGACATTGTGGAATTCGGCCAACACTTTTTCTGCGATCTCTCGGGTCTCGAATCTGGGAAAGTTGTTAGGGTGCAACGACATGATGGAATGGGCTGGGGCACTAACCGAGCAAATCCAACTTCCTTACTCACGCCCGTTTTTTCATCACGGCTAATCTTCTCGGACACGACACGGTAAGGCTCAAAATGACGACGAAGATCCTGAGGAGAAACTTTTGTTAGCCCGATAATGATGGAAAGATCAGTCGGCTCACGGCTTCAGTCCAATCATTCGGAATATTGGTGCAGTATATATTGGTGGATGATTTGTCTTCTAGATCCTTGAGACGCGAGTTCCGAGATTTCTGAACCATGTTAAGCATGATCGCTGTCCATTGAGCATCGTAAGTGGTGTGTTACCTGAGCAAAGCTGGCTTGATAGCCAAGATAGAAAAATCCCCGAATGCAATTTTCACAGGATTCGAAGTTGTAGTATTGCACGAAGCCAAAGCTATCGATTCTGTGAGTGAAGAGGTGGCACCTATGGACACGTCACATACCCTTTGCAAAGACCCGTATCCAAATCCACAATTGCCTTGCAACGATCAATTTTTCCGAAGCGGGAAGCATATGCGTACAGCATCTCATCGGTCGTTTCCGGCAGGAAACCTCGGATGTAAACATTGGTGATACCCTCACGATTCTCGAGGCATTTAGCGAGGGTAAGATCGGATGGATTGGTCCACATTGCAGGCACTGCCCGTGGAATTGGGGGATCCTGCTTTGTCAAGCTCTCCAGGTCTTGAAGGATGTAACCGTTGGGAGTCTTCATCATCTGAAAAGGAAGGCTGAGGCTTTCGTTCTTCTGCTCTTCATTACAGTTCACCAGATATGGAAGGGTAGGGTATGGAAGAACATTTGGATACATATATGGCATCTGAGGTATCTGCGGTATCTGAGGCATCTGATCCGGGAGAAAGACAAAAGGGTATTTGGGACGCTGCGCTTGAAGATTCAAAGCGCCGAGCAGCGGGGTCAAGACATCACCCGAGTGCTGAGGAGCCATGGTAGCCTTGCAGTTACTGGCAATCTTCAACAGGAACTTAGCTGACGGCACAGAGACTCTTCGGGGCTTTTTTTTCTGATGTATACTTGTACGTGTTCGACAAGCGACTAGTAAAGGGTCATTCGAACAGCGCAGGGAACGGGGAGAACAGGAAGTAAGTTAAGCAACAAGGTGGGAGAAAGAAGAAGGGGAGGAGAAGATGAAGGAGGAACGAACAATGAGCGGGAAATATTCTTCATGTCGTCAGTCGCTATAAGGAAAGAGTACGTATGGTGTCTTCCATACATGGCAGGTACCGTCGTGTTTGTTGGGGAAGGAACTTACAGTCAATACCAAAGTAGGTCGCAGTTTGAACGATACCGAAAGCGTGACTGAACAATATATACCTACTAGTAGTAGTAGAGAGTTTGTTGCCCCTGCTTACCTAGATACCCGATAAGAGAGGCTTGTTTACTAGGGATCAATTGCAATGATATTACTGAACACTATAAATCAATTCAATGCTTGGATGTCTAACATGAATGTTTCACAAGCTACTATCTCTACCGCATCCTGTCTCCTTTATACGACTAGTATCCTTACCTTGGGTATATATAGTCTTCATATCTCGGGAGGTTGCCAGTACAGATGTAGCAACTATATATGGTAAGCGTCATTGTCAACAGTAATACTTTCCATTACGGCATTTCGTAGAATGTTCAAAAGTAAAGCATTAGTTTAACTAGCGATATATGAATTATCATCGGGAGACAAATGTAAATCTTTTTTTTCTCTCTCTCTTTTTAACTCACTAAAAGGAATACTGAAAATCGGGATAATTTGAGTCGTATTTGTTTGAAGACGTGGATAGTCGTCCGGAACAATTTAGATATCCAACCTCTACAAGTCTCTTGCACATTAAGCTGACTAAAACAAAATGGAATAACTAAATATAATCTAAGAAAGAAAAGTTAAAATGAGTAGTGAAAGAGAAGGTTAGAAAAATGTATCCATAGGAAGATAAGTTAAGTCTATCTTGTACATTGGCGTCAGTATACACCAACTTCATCTTCGGATGGCAAGTTAACTAAAACTCATAGCCCCAAGCCTACCTCTTTAACTAATTGATGGTATAAAGCCTCACAACACCTCACAGTTTTACAGTTGTCCGCTTCGCATGAAAACTGAACAGCAACCGTCTTGTGCCGACTCACGACCACGACCAAAGCCTTCCTTGGCTGGATGGGTTTTCTGAAAAGGACGGAATCTGCGTAGTTGATGGCTTGTTGTCCCACGGGGGCCTGACAGCTCAGGCATTTGGGTGAGCCATAGACCCCTATCTGACTGAGATATGTCGGTACCGCCCCATGCCCGATCTTGAGCTGATAGTGTCGACGAGCCAGCTGTTTGGGGCCTGCTCCTGCTACGAGATCTAGTTTCCATTCTTTTGGGGCAGATAGTATGGTTGGGTATCATGCGGCCTATTCTCCAAGACCTGTGCAAGCCATTTCTGTCTCTGGGCCCGACCTAGCTTAGTACATGCTCTGCGTACATAGGCTCGATTGAGGCATTGTATTGCCATTTCTATTTGCTATTAAACAACGCAAGATCAATACCTACTACGAAGGCTTGATGTCCGTCATGAGCAGTAACCACTATCAGTTGATATACGAATTTAGCAATAAAAATGTGTATATGTCTATCGGATGGGTGCGAACAAGCTAAAATTGCGTCATGACCCATTATGTTCGAGACGACAGTCGCTTAACTATCGCCTGAATAAGGCGCAGAAAAACTTGAGGGCTGCCCTGAACATAGGTGGGCTTTACTCAATCAATTTGATAAGTACTAGCATCTTTTCTTACCTGATTACCCGTGATTTCTTTCGTGCAAATTGGTTGGAAATTCGAGAGGGTCCTGGGCATCACGGGGGCTCCCTCTATTTTAATTCAGAGGAATATTAGTTGTTCTGCATTACTACTGTAAACCTGAGGGTTTATGTACAAGTTGAACATCAGATTACTTTCCAATCAGCCTGATCCTTGTATAGACTCCAATCCATATCTGAAACTGTACAGTCTACCTGGCTGACAATTCGCAATACCATCCATATTACGACTGAGGGTTATTTCCTCGAATTTATTGCAGTGACGGTGATAATAATGATCTATACGCCGACCCCTCGCCTCAGTGTTGATTATTCCTCTAGACCAAAAGACGAATCCGTACCCAGGTCTAGTGGACCTCTCTTCTCCTCTGTAGTCCTTGCTGTAGTTCTCTTGCTAAGTATAGATTACCGGTTTGGAGCTCCAGGTATTGCTGGATTTTAGTCGAGAAAATCCTCAGTCCTTTTTGGCAAGATATGCTTTGATGCTGAAGCTTATGGCTAGTCTTTCTCTTCTTTTTATACTAAGAGGCCTTCTATAAGTTAAATGCTTGGCGATGTTTGATCACTGTAATTAATATAGAATACTATCTGTGTAATGAAGGTATAGAGATAATATAGTAGATGAAATATAAGAGATTTAAGAGTCAGGACTTAGAAAAAAAAATTAGATAAGTGTGAAAAACACTACAATATGTATACCATGCAGCCATGCTTATATTCAGATCCAGGATAATAAGCCTCTAGAGTAGATTTATAGGGACTAACTCTCCTCAAGGTTCTTCTAAACCAAGTAGAAAGTATAGTTTAAAAGGTCACCGTATGTAGTAACTATAGTACTTTGTTAGCTCTTATCTTTCATAATACTCTTACGAAATTGATAGGGTGTATATAGATTGGTAAGCTTTTAGTGGATACGCATTTAAGGGTTACATAGAACTATATAAGTATAATATAGGTTAAAGAGGAATCAACTCCCTGGTTACTCAGTGGCTTAAGACGCTCACTAAGCACACTTAAGAGGTCTCATGTACTACCCTGATAAAAGCGGCAGCACCTGTATTGGGTAATAAGAACTTACTCCCTTACAGATTCGGTCCTTGCTCGCTAAACCCAAGTGCGTTAGGACTGTATTTCACGTGAGGATATCGGTTCTCGGAGCTCCGCAGCCATTCCCGAAGAGGACTTCCCCGCATGGGGGATTAACGGCTAGAGCGGAGAAGCTGGAGCGTCGATAGCAAGTCAAACCACTTGGAGTTACCAAATCTTGTGCCTGAGAGGTCCCGATTCTCCCCTGGTGGGTGGATAGCTCGGGTAGCAACGGACAAAATACCTCGTTTCCTTCTTCCACCCTCACAATTCTGCCTACGGTCCCAGCTGAAGCCAGCGTTTGAACTTTATTACCTCTTTGGAGGACATGGGTTACATTGGAAGCCAAATATAACTATAGCTGCTCCCCCCTCCAACCCCCCCTCCCAACGTCCCATTCCCTCATCGTCTGCATACCCGACGGAAACACCCATACTTAATTTACCGGTCGCCTGGTGCTCTGTACGGGTACAACACGCTTGAGTTGTCAAGATGAGCATGTCGCGTGCGCTATCCCTTCCTCTGCGGAGGGCGTCCGTCACTTCTCCTATCCTGCGTTTGTCACCGTCAGCTTTCACAGCTACTAGAGCTTTCTCGAGTTCATCACGACGTGATGATACATGGGGTTTTATTGGATTAGGGCAAATGGGTATGTTAATGTTCTGTTTGATTCAACTATAATTAAATCCCCATCCTTCCCCGACCCTTCGGATAAACCAGAATGATCACCGTGTATACTGGGGCCATTGGGCCACAGCTCCTATATTTAATTACCACTGTTCAACTCCTTATAGCCGAACCCATTGAATATACTACTATATCCTTCTATTTCATGCCCTTCACCTTTTCTAACCGCATGCACTACCGGGAACTAACACTCTGTCTCCACAGGCTACGCCATGGCCAAGAACTTACGCGCTAAAATCCCCACATCCGACACACTAATCATCCGCGACATCAACGAAAGCACCGCCAAAAGATTCGTCGAAGAAAACCAAGAAGCTGTCCGGAACAGTGGAGCCAAGGAAGGCACCTCCAGGGTACTTATCGCCCAAAACGCGCGAGAAATAGCAGAACAATCGGTAAGTTTCGCGTTGCGTTTTATTACCCCCCGGCGAACAATTCGTGTCACAGAATCCGCACAAACCTTGCTCAAATGGAGTCTTCATTATGACTGGACAGTGCTATAAATACACACATGGGCTTAGCTATTTGCATTATCAAAAGGGACGGAAAAAGAAATAAAAAGAAAAGAAAAGAAAAGAAACGCAGCAGAAAAAGAAAAGGATTGGCATTATTTGATTAGTTTCTAGCGGGGTAAAAAAGACGAAGTCACATACTAAACTACCACCTACTCTCCAGACAGTGATAGTCACCAGCCTTCCGGAACCCGAGCACGTCAAGGATGTCTTCTACTGTATGCTCCGCCACGGCGAACTCCCGGTCCTAGAAAAAGAGCGCTTGTTTATCGACACCTCCACAATCGACCCAGCGTCGTCCAGAGAAATTGCCAATGCAATCCACACCACGCGCCAAGGGCGATTCGTCGACGCTCCGATGTCAGGTGGAGTAGTGGGTGCCCGTGCCGGCACGCTATCCTTTATGTTCGGGGCTTCATCGCAGACCGGCGAGCTTGTCGATCGCGTTCAGTCTGTTTTGATGCTAATGGGCAAGAAGGCCTGGCACATGGGTAATTCGGGAACAGGTGTCTCCGCAAAACTAGCCAACAATTATCTCCTAGCCATCAACAACATTGCTACCGCCGAAGTTATGAACCTGGGAATCCGTTGCGGACTCGACCCCAAGGTCCTGGCCGATATGATTAATACATCGACTGGTCGCTGCTGGCCGATGGAAATCAATAACCCAGTACCGGGCGTGGTCGAGACCGCGCCAGCGTCGCGCGAATATGCCGGTGGGTTTGGCATTAGTTTGATGAATAAAGATCTTCGACTGGCGATTTCCGCTGCGGAGGAGTCTGGTACTCCTCTAGCCCTGGCCGATAAGGCCCGGGGGGTGTATAAAGCGGTGGAAGATGAGCATCGAGGTAAGGACTTTTCCGTGGTGTACAAATGGCTACAAGAACAGTCGGCTACTCAATCGTAGTAAACTATGATTGGATTGAAATCGGTTATTCTTGGTTGATATTCCTTTAGCGTGGCACTGTTTTGAGAACCCTACATAGGTTTTCTTCTTCTTCTTTTTTCTTTACGTTCTATGCGGTGATATATGCGGCAGAGTTCGAATTGCATTTGCGAGCAATTGAACAAACATGACAAATTATAGTTGTATTCCCTTCGGGTTTGACCTAGATAATATACACAAGTCTAACTTCTACGGTAAGGAATAACTACCGGCTTGTATAAAACATCCCAGTGAGAAAAATCAATGACAAGCGGGTATTTACTATATGTAATCTCCGAAATAAATTGCGCAGAAACGCCCCCACATTGCACGGAATATCAGATTGAAGAAAGAAGTAACGTATGGCTGACAAGGAAGAAGAATGCTTATACAAGCCAAGTGTACTCTGTAGTCGGAAATGTAAGGATAAACCAGATGCTTATTGGCCCGGTGATGCCGGGTTGCTGGCTGGACCTGTGAGATACTCTGGCGGGACTTTCGGCACACGGGGTGAACTTGCAGTCTGAGCCATAGCCCGGTGTTGAGCTCGGACAAGATCGCGCTGTCGCTCCCTATCTCGGTTATTCGCGGCGCCGCCAGTAAGCCGTCTCATACCACTGCGGATCATGGATTCGAGTGAGGAGGACCCATCAGTTGCGCTACGTGTTTGGTTGAGTTGATGGGGTGCCAGTCTATTAGCTATAATGCGCTCATCGAGATCATACATTCCTTCTTCCACTTCATCATCGGAGAGGAACGCAGATTCGTTGAAGCCAATTGGTGGAGTGGCAAATTGGGTACTGGATGACGTGGGAGAGAATAATTGATTGACAGGAGACGTGACCGAACGAGCGTGCGACACTGGACGTAACGTTTGAGTCGACGCTTGAGGTGTCAGTACCCCTGGTGAATGTACCCCAGGGTTGTCGAACCGGAAATTTGGAGGTCGAGATTCAGCGAGGCCGTTATGAAAAGACGACGAGGAAGCTGTTCGGGCGAGAGATTTTCGTAAAATCGGGGCTGTTTGTTGGTCATAGAGACTGGCGCTAGTGTCAACGTAGGTCCCTGTAAAGCCGCGCAATGTCGAGTCTGGCATAGAGTCAATTATCGGGTTACTTGTCTCGGTCTCCTCAAAAAAGTCGTCCAAGCTGTCCAGTTTCTGTACAATATCTCCAATATTGCCATCCGCCTGCGTGTCAATAGACTTCATCGTATCAGCCCGCATAGGGAAAAAGGAATCATTGTATTCGTCCGCATGGAACTCTACTTCGGAGGGAGTTGTTTCTTGCACTTCTATACGGTCGACCTCAGCGCAAGTGTAGAAGACAGCGTGGACATTATGCCGGGTGATACTCGACTGGGTAGCAGGCATCGGTATAGACCATCCGGTGGGTTCTGGTATACCATACAGACTTTGAATACGCTCATATTCTTTGCGGATAGCCCGAGACGAAGATGACGATGCCATACTCATTCGAAGATGATGACGCTCCATAGGGTTGCCTGAGACAGTCATGATATGATCCATCACCTGCAACGCTTGAGGACAAAGATCGGTTTGCAAAAGACGCAGGAGGGGTGAGATCAAGTCAGGGCCATGGCATGTCACCTCTCCCCGTCGCATGTCAATTTCAGGAATGAGCACGCAGAGTATCTTCATGGTTTTGACCCGAAACCAATCGGTCGTGTTGGTCAGCAAGCCCATAAGGAAGATGAGGCTTTGAACATCTTGCCGAGGGAAATAGTACGAGCGTATTTCGGTGATAATGTGGCTTAAGAAATCGTTCTCGGCCTTATACTGTCCATTGGCAAACCCGAGGAGCGAAGCTGCAAGACGCGGGCACCTCTCACTCTCAGCAACACGAGCTAACAACGTAGCACGAGCAAGTGTCTTCGGGTCATCGACGGCGGGATCAAACTGATGTAGAAAGTGGGCCATGTTTGCCAGAATTGTGAAGAGAAGGCGGTTACCATCACCCATGAGTTCGTTGTTTGGAAAACCACTCAAACGGTGTAGAATATCCAGTGTCAGGTTAAGCGATTCGCGTGATTTTAAACCTTTGTAAACTAGATTCTGAAGACCATCAAATCCACCTTCCCATTTAGGGGGCTGGGTTTTGATAAGCTCTGTGACGACCATCGGGTCACTTAGATCGACACGCTCCATGAACTTTTCCAACATACCAATACTCTCAACAAACTCCGTCTCATGAATAGTGTTTAGACATGCACAAGTGGTCCAAAACAATTGTGGAAAGCGCAGAAGATGTGTTGGGGCCAAGGAGCTAATTATAATCTTGAGCGTTGTGAGAATCTCCATCGAAAACGTTCGGTAGTCCGCTTCCTCGTCCGCAATCGTATTGGACAGTCGAGCTAGCATATCTGCAAGCATCCTAGCGTCCAATGACATAGATATGCAGCGAAATACTTGGAATGATCGACAAGCAAGATGTCGTACCGGGCATGAAGTCGCCCAATTTAGAGCCTCTTTAGCCCAAAGATCATTTATACCTTCATAGGCCAAACTAAAGAAATCAACAACCTGCCGAGTCACACTTCCCATCGACGAAGGAACCCGGCTACCGTTATCCTCTTCATCCTTATCATTCAGGTCTTCATATTCCCATACCACCTTTGGATCGCTCTTGCGGATAGACTCTACAAAATCTTCGATAGACTGCCTAGTCCCAGCTGAGGCGTCGTCTTCAAGCTTGGCAGCAATTAGTTCATGAATCAGGTGAACCAACATTTCTCTAGCCTGCTCTTGTACGGTGAGTGTGTAGTGATCCCAGAGAATCAGGACGACGTGAAGTAGCTTGACTACATCTTCCAGGGGAAGAGTAACGGGAGCAACCATCAAGTCCACGAGAAATATTAGAGCAACTTGGCCAAGAGAAAGCCCCGCCTGTTTGTTCCCCACGGGGAGCACAGCTGCCAGGTCTGCAACATAAGGCAAGCCCTTGATATCCGGTGGGGGCGGGGTTATATCTTTCCTCTCCTGCACCATGTTCTTAGGAACAACTTGCAGCAAGAAAAACTCGATAACCTTTGAGCCAGCAGGAGTTCCTGCAAGGAAAACAACAACTTGCTTAGCATATTCCACAAAGTTCTGTTCTTTACGCTCCAAGCAAAGACTAATAACGAAGTCGAGAACCAGCTGCACGTTCCCGCCGTGTGGACCTGTCGTCAATGCTTGCCAAAGAGCTTGAACCTCATTTGGAAGTATCGTGCTGCACCGAATGGTAATCTCGAAAAGGTTGGCTAGAAGCATATATGACCTGGCCGTGGGCCCGCCGTTGGGATCAACCTGAAGCTCTATCGTCTGTACCCATGGCAAAATAGCAGCAACCATATTTCGTTGGCTATCGGGCCCCAAGTTCCTGAAGTGCAAGGAGAATTCTGAAAAGAGAGTGAAGGCGAGGTCAGAGTGTTGTTTTGCTAAACGCTTAGACGTTTCAAACTGAGCTAGTTTGTATACGGCGGTGGTTTTATCAGAGATACTGATGTCGAAGTCTTGCAGTCTAGAGCTCTTCTGTTGGCGTTCCTCTAGAATGCGAAGAAGTTTGGCGGACTTCATTCTGATTTCCCGTTTCTGATTACCAAGGGTAACGAGGACGGCCCCCAAGATCCTCCAGAAGCCAAGCGGGTAGTCCGTGTGTTCGATGAGTACCTCAGAGACCACTTCAAAATAACTCTCAAGAGCCTTGGGCCGTTCTGTGACATAACACATCTCTATCGACCGTTCCAGCAGGTAAGAATGCTCTTTATTGTGAACGATCAGATTCTTAAGTGCTCGCCTGCCAATCGCATGCCACTTATCACTAATGGCGGTAAAGATGATGTGAATCCACGATAGCATTCGTCCCACATCGAATTGAAGTACTGAGCCACTTTCTGTTGTAATGCTGATTGGTCCCGCCTTCAAGAATTAGCTGACGAACACAAGTCATGGAAGTGAAGCAGTTACTTACACACAAAGATGCCATTGCGCTAAGCGCCGCTGCACGTAAATTCTTCTTTTCTATTTCCATGGCTGCCGCAGTGTTGCGTAGGTCACCTGTTTCGCGCTGATTTGTAATGGCAAGTTTGCGCATATTTTCCTCTCTCTGCGAGATCTGGGTCTGGTTCGGGGAGTATCCACACCAATCTTCCATGAGAGAGAACGCGGACTTTCTGGATTCAAACGGTATCCAACGTGAAGAATCCTTTGTACGATGGATTCCTTCAAAAAGCTCTTCCATTAGCCCGCAGTAGTGAAATCGTAGCCGCTGGAATTCCCAGTCATTCTGAACTTCGGCATCACTCAAAAATATTCGTAGATCTTTCGCATACGTCACGAGATTGTTGACGATCCAGTCGTCATTATACACTTCTGGCTCCTGCAGAAAGTGTGATGTAAGCTTGTAAACATGTGTGACTTCGGTCCGCAGCCTATCCGTTCTTCGATTGCGTCTAGGACTGCTCGGAGATCGGTAGTGTGTGCCAATGCGAATCTTAGCTTCCTCGTTGCAGGTTGTGACGGCGTACTGGAGCGACTCGAGTAATGTACGATAAAGATTCGTATTTATGGAACCCAAAGCGACAACAATTGCATTGCGGATGGAAGCCCTTTCAGCTGACAGCAACGGAATTACAAATGCGAAGAGGCTCCTGGCGGAACTAATCTTGTCGTTTGTCTGCTGTGAACCTTTCGAGGATTTCCGCGCATGTTGGGCATTGGCTAGCTGACTCTGAGATTGTGCGCCTACACTGTTGACAGTCGTGCACGCCATGACCAAGTAAAGCTTCCACTGTTCGATCAGAATCTCAGCCGTCATATGGGATCTCCCAGGGGGGCGGGCCTGTGGGGCATCCAAGGGGCCATATGGAGGATGTTGGGGATTTTCAGCAAGTCCCGTGATCGTTTTGTGCATCTGAACAAGCCTTGCGCAAACAATCTCCCGCCCGAGAGTCACAGCAAACGGACAAGTCTCAAAGCTGATCCGGATAATATTTGGAAACACCTTTGACCACAGTGTTGAATCGTACGACACTTCACTGCTACATAGTTCGATAAGTGTATTTTGTGATGCACTCCTCCGTTTTCCTTTCTGAATCCGGCTTCTCTCGGCAACGGTAAGTTGCTCATCGCTTACATTCAAGATCTGGTGAGAGTCGGCCTCGAGAATTTTGATGATTCGTGTATTCTCCTTACCAAGGGCCCTGTCAAACTCCGTGATAAGCCGCAGCACTGTTATGGCGAAAGCTCGCACCCTTCTAGACTGCGAGCACAGAAAAAATAGGCCATGAGATTCAATCTCTTCAACATGAGCCAGAACACTAGAGAGGTCAAGGTGCAAGGCGCGGCTACCAGAGCCGGACTTATCACCTAAATCAGCCGCGACGGCTCCCTTGCTCTTGTGCTTGATCTCCTCTATCCAAATCTCCAACAACTCCACATAGAGCCTCAACGTAGATTCTATATGGCCTGGGCCAAGCATGCCTTCATCTGACATTGTTGAATACCTTGCATCAAAGTTAAAAATAAATCGAGCAAAGCCTATAGTTACCTGCTGAGCGTGGCATTGCCTGGCAATCGCCTTCAGAGACTCTGCGGATGAAAACGCTATATTGGATTGCACGTGGGCGGTGCCAGTACAGAGCAAATTGATCAACGAGTTAAACGGTATATGATCTGACAAGCACCGAGGAAGTGCTTGAACGGCAACATGAAGCAAATCGTAAAAGCCTTGCCGTTGATCTAATGTGTTTATGTGATCATCGCGCCTCCCAAAGCTGAACGCCTCTGAGATCGGGGTCTTCGGAGTCGCGCTTCCAAACTTCTCATCCAAAGCGGCCTGGCCGCCGAATGTGTTGTCGCACAGAAGGGTGATTTTACCCAATATCTCGCAGAAGCGGATATAGTAAGTCCTAACGTTGTCACTCAGCCTGGAAGTGTTGACGGGACGTGGCCGTGCATCGTCTCGGCTTTCCAAAGTAGTTGGTAACCGCGGGTCCGCAAGGAATTGGGGCCGTAGTAGGTTGGTCGATGCTGAGATGTCAGTGAAGGGGTTCGGTATCGACCCAGTTGGGAACGGAGGGCATAGCTGGTCACAATTCTCAAGGTCGGTAACTATAGCAAGGAATGATCTAATGCCGATGACCATCTTCTCCGGCTCCATCTGCTCGATCTTCAATTCTTTGCCGGATAGGAAGAGGTCCGAATTTATCATAGGGAATATGATGTTACGGAAACAAACCTCCGGATGTTTGAATCCAATCATACGCACCAGCTGGATCAACGGCTCGGTGACCGCCGGCTCGGTGCTCAAGTATGTTCTCTTGCCCACAGGTAGTGCAATTCTAGCTACTTCATCAACTTTTCGGAGAGTAGCTGTCGGAGACTCTGAATAGCGGAAAAAGTACGTCCAGAGTAAGCGACACATGGCATGGAGAGCTGGGCCTCTGGTAGGACGGTCCTTTAGCCTTGCCGGCAGCCCTAAAATGACAGACAGCCATTGGGAAGAAAAGTTCTCTTTGGAGGAAACACACAAGAGTAAAACGTGGAGAGGGAAAGCGGCAGCCCAGTGGCGAGGTTTGGTCAGCATTTGTGACAGGCGCGATTGAACCAAATCCAAGAATTCCTTCCACCTAGGCAGGGATAAATCGCAGTTAGGATTCGCTGCCACCGGGAGAAGCAGCTTTTCGAAAATATAACAGTAAGCCTGCTTAACCCGCTGCCCATGCGCATTAACAAACAACCGTGCCAGTAACCGCATGAAGTCACACGACTTAGGCCATGCGTCTGGATAGGTCCTAATTCGGAGATGTCTCATCCCCAATATCAGAAGCTCTGCTCTGGCATCGCCATCCTTTGAAGGTCCCCGAAGTGTTTCTTCCTTTTGGTACCGTTCCAATTCCGTTATAAAACGGCTTGTGACGCTTGTGAAGTTTGTTTCACTCATAATCCCGAGCAGTTGCGAATATATCCTCCAGTTAGCTATGCGAAGTGGGGAGGCTGCAACCTGGTCTGGATCAACCGTCTTGAGTTGGCCAAACACAATTTCTTCCAAGCGCTCAGCCATGTCGACGGTGATAGAAGCAAGACTACTCTGATTGAAAATCTCAATCAGCACTCGGCAAACGAGATACACCGATACCGTTGCACGGCGCTCAGCCAAAATGACATCGTCACTCCTGGAGAAGATAGGGTTAGGAGGGTGATCTGGCTGAGCAGCTGTTTCAGCAGCCACTTGGGGTGGTTCTGTATTCCGCCGTATAAGTAAGCCGTTCTCCTTGGACTGGGAAGATTATATCTGATTAGCTAACGGGTGCCTATTCCCAGGGGAGTTCAATCCATACTTGATTAGGTACTTGTTTGGCCATGATCGCAGCATCACCTTTGGCTTTACGCCAGAACATGATTGTATCAATCAATGGTTTCGGCTTTTGCCGTGCGATATGGCCAAGAGCGGAGATCAACTGATCAAAGCCAGGATCTGCTCCCGGTCCACATACCATTTCCACAGGCACGTCAGATTCCCCTAGTTTCATAATTGCTTGGTTTATCTTGTTGTCCGCCTGGCCAACGAACTTAACCCACAGTCAGCTGTTATTTCAGATATACTCGAGCTGGGCCTAAATGCGCTTACAGAGTTGAACAGATGGTGTAAGGCATATTCCCCCACAGTCTTTGATTCTGTATGATGATTCTTTGAATGCGACCGACTATGTGAGCGTGGTTTCCCACTCGAGTTCATCCTTCTATGTGCTGGGTTCGCCGGTCCACCCTCCGGGGCTTCATCAGTATCCCGATCTTCAATGGTGCTCAACATGCCCTGAAGGGTATGAGCCGTCCCGTTGGTCCCCTGGTTCTGGTGAAGTGTATGCATATCAAGCTGCTCCAGTCGGCCTAGCGGAGAATTATCCTGCTCAACGCTAGCGCCACGCCCGAGGGACGCGATCATCTCCGGGCTCAGAGGACTATTGGAGGTGGAGGAGGCGGCGAAGCTGGGGTTGCGGGAGTGCTGGATCCCATGAACAATCGAAGTCTGGCGATGGTGTCCGTATGAATTAGAAGGACGCCTCTCCAGAGTAGCATCGTAGCTAGCGCCGGGGCGTCCGGAAGCAGTCTCAGGGCTTTTGGAATGAGAATGGCCACGGCGGGTATTTTGAGGTTGAAGGGTCGAAGGGGCGAGCGTGCAGGGGTCGGCTGGTCTTCCTCTAACGGCGGATGTTTCTCGACTATGAACGGTGGAAGATGGAGTACTCCTAGTCACTAACCGTTCTGGTGGGGATGCGAAGGTATGGTGCGACGCAAGACCTGACTCGTCAGGGATGAGGGGCATTGTTGTTGGCTGGACGGGGCCGGCTTTGATCGATGGATGTGAAGCCACTAGACATGCATAGAATTCGGATTAGTTTATCGATCGTCAAACTATGATGTAGTTATAGGATAGATCTTGGTGCAGGGATCCCCGGAAGAAAGGCTGGTATTCAAACAGTTGGAGGGTCATCAGGGACACATACTGTTGTACTGCGTCTTTTTTTCAACCTGGATTCATTGCTTACTGAGGCTCACATTTACTGGAGCAAAAGAATCCAAGGGCAATTTAGAGCAGCACATTGTTGCTCAGCAGCCCGAAGATGGCGGAGAATAAAGTGAGATGGTGGTGATGTCCAAGGATGATGATCTCTGACCGATGAGCTTGGTCCTAATGGGCAATTGTTTGTTCGCGACCGAAAGCACGGGTCTTCTATGGGCACCACAAGAGGGAAGGGAGGGAAAAAAACCCCATGGTACTTGTCCACGGTAATTGTAGATTAGGTTTCAAAACTTTTTATTCCAAGATAATTATCGACACACACACATACTAAAAAAGAAAAGAAAAGAAAAAAAGTTAGGTTAAAGCCGATATATCTCTATCTGCAGCCTTATTTGCACATAAAATTGCTTCCCGTACCGTAATCTCCTTCGGATACGGGCGGGCCAGTCACCAAAGGTAAGTTTTCGTCATGATATATATCAGTCTATACTTTTCTTCTACCTATACTTATACCCTCATCATCAAATTCATAACAGTGACAACCTACTTATGCGTTCCAATACAGTTCAGATTTTCCCCACAGAGAACCAAGAAATACAGTGGTTGGCGGAGTGTCTTCAATATAAAGTGTTCCGCAATTAACACTTGTGGGGTCAGAGAAAGATCGGATGGAGTACATACTTAATTCTTCTCAAGCTCATGCTCTTCCACGAATTACAAGGAATCCACTGAAAAGAACATGAACTGATGGACTTCATGTAACTTAGAACGCCGCCAGGTAGTCAAGCTATTCGAGGCAACCATGTTGTAGATTGTTGACAAAAGGGCTGATGATCATTGTTATATACAATGAACGAATACTGTTATTATCTGAATAAGACTTCATTGCCTATGAATAATGATAATGTTACCATGATAAGAACAGGGCATTTATGGATATAAAGAGCGGAGTTGTCATGAACTTCCCGTCGTGCCTCAATTGCCCAGTATTACCGGCCCTATATTTGTAGTGGGTAGTAATAAAGTACTAGTAGTGGAAAATGAGAGGTTGCACACCAGCTTGTAGCAATCCAAGATATAATCCAGTAGAATCAAGCTGAGCTCATTCGAGTCTAAGAGATGAGACCATGGCGCAGGTACATGTCATGACGGTTGAACGTAACAGACGACAAGCTAGATGGATCGTTGAATTTGACAGCGAAGGCGAGGAGGAAGTCGCAGGTATAACAACGGTGGTTGATCCTCTTGCTATGAGCGCAAGCAAAACCTCCAATACTCTGTCTGGTACTACTACTAGTAGTACAGAGTAGAGAGCTCGCACTTGAACCGCACGGTGCGGAATCACTTCCGTACCTTTCCAGGCATCCGATTAGTCATTCCTAAAGAACGGAGCATCGGCATGGATGCATATCCGCCTATACGCGGAACTCTTGAAATGTCCACCGAAGCCAACTGAAGAAATGATTTCCATGGCGTTAGCGTATAGAGAACGGACCTAGTGATTGGGGTTGGAATATTGCTGTTTCATAGATGATCGGCAGCAAAACTCAACATATTCGAAGTCCTTCACATGTGTCACGTGTCAATTGAAATGTAGACATTCATCATGATAAGATAGCAATGGAATTGATCACTCTGAACCTATTAACTCTATAATGTGTTATGTGCTGGATGTACATGCTAGAGTAGGGAATAGTATTGGATAACGTAGAGGCGATGTCTATCCACAATGATTGTAGTATTGTGCATCCCTCGAATGACTTCTTTACTACTACACGTGCAGGAAAGGCGGAACTCGGCTACTAACAAAGGGTGCTCGGCAGCCTTAGTCGGGAGTTTCCTCATATGGAAACCAAAGGTCATCCAAAGTTGCCCCCAGACTCCGCTCACCTCCATGAATGCTTTCACGTCAAGTGAGCACCGAAGTTTCCTTCCGAACCCAACTTACGCTCGGCCTAACTGTCGGGCTTTCTTGCCTCCCCACAATGAGGATGGTGTATATATAAGCCTTGGTTCTGCCACTTTGATAGTCGTAGTCGGTTCCCTTTTAAGATATTACTACGAGGTTATTGTTGAGAGAAAGGATCTACTGCTGCGATTATTTCACTTGAGATACCCTGGTCAATACGGGCCCATTGGTTCCTATAGTGCGAATACTTTCAATTCTTTGGCGAGGAATTAATTTGTGGACGAATTTCATTTCGTACTCAATTCACCTCGGCGCTCGCCTTCACACCGCAATCATAGGACACTCTCTCGTCTTGTTGGGGTTCGTATCCCTTCCTGCCATTCAATTCCGAAACCAGCGCCGGGGCCATCCGAGGGTCTAAGGCCAAAAAAAGAGCAGGACCTGAGAAAGAGGCCACGATTGCCTCAGATACTCACTCCGCCTACCACTTTAACTTTCCACCCTCTCCACCCATACCACTCTTTAACTCAACCTCTCCGGTGTCCGGCCCCGAAATTATGCGGTCCGCTTAGTTGTGGATTCGGCATCTTTAGTTCCTTCGATCAGACCACAGCTCTCTTCCCCGACCTTCTTCTTTTCTACTTGTGTACTGTGTTCCATTCTTCTACCTCTTTCCTTCTTTTGTGTGTTCTAGTTTTTTTTTGCCCCTCTGTTGGAACACGCTGCCAGTGTCGGCGTCTTCCAACTTTTGAAAATTGATTTGTGGTGGTCGACACCACCATCGTTGAAGATCAGGGGGTGACTCTTATTCTTCTTCGCCCCATTTTGCCTGCCTTCCCTTCCTTCCCCGTCCCACCTTACTCGGACACCTGGTTGGAACCTCACCCTCTCCAATAGCGAAGCCAACATGGCGCAACTCGACACTCTTGATTTGGTTGTCCTGGTGGCGCTTTTGGTGGGTAGCGTTGCCTACTTCACCAAGGGCACTTACTGGGCTGTCGCCAAAGATCCTTATGCCTCCTCCGGTCCAGCGATGAATGGCGCCGCCAAGGCAGGAAAGACTAGAGATATCTTGGAGAAAATGGAAGAAACTGGCAAGAATTGCGTCATTTTCTACGGTTCCCAGACCGGAACTGCGGAAGACTACGCCTCGAGATTGGCCAAGGAAGGATCTCAGAGATTCGGTCTCAAATCAATGGTTGCTGATTTCGAAGATTACGACTACGAAAACTTGGACAAATTCCCAGAAGACAAGATCGCCTTCTTTGTTCTGGCGACTTATGGTGAGGGCGAGCCTACGGATAATGCTGTCGAGTTTTACCAATTCATCACCGGTGAAGATGTTGCTTTTGAAAGTGGCGCATCCGCTGAAGAGAAGCCGCTGTCCGCTCTCAAGTATGTCGCTTTCGGTCTTGGTAACAATACCTATGAGCACTACAACGCCATGGTTCGCAATGTTGACGTCGCTCTGCAAAAGCTTGGTGCCCAACGAATCGGTTCTGCTGGTGAAGGTGATGACGGCGCTGGCACGATGGAAGAAGACTTCTTGGCTTGGAAGGAACCTATGTGGACCGCGCTTTCTGAGGCGATGGATCTCCAGGAGCGCGAGGCTGTTTATGAGCCGGTGTTCAATGTCACGGAAGATGAGTCTAAGAGCGCTGAAGACGAAACGGTCTATCTCGGCGAGCCGACCAAGGGTCATCTCGAAGGTCAACCCAAAGGCCCATTCTCGGCCCACAATCCGTTCGTTGCACCTATTGTCGAGTCTCGTGAGTTATTCACTGTAAAGGATCGTAACTGTTTGCACATGGAAATTAGCATCGCCGGAAGCAACCTCACCTATCAAACCGGTGATCACATTGCTGTTTGGCCGACAAACGCTGGTGCCGAGGTGGATCGGTTCCTACAGGTTTTTGGCCTTGAAGAGAAGCGCCATTCGGTTATCAACATCAAGGGCATTGATGTGACTGCTAAGGTTCCTATCCCGACCCCTACCACCTATGATGCAGCTGTTCGTTACTATATGGAAGTCTGTGCCCCTGTTTCCCGGCAGTTTGTCTCGAGTCTGGCTGCTTTTGCCCCCGATGAGGCGACCAAGACAGAAATTCAGCGTTTGGGCAATGATAAGGATTACTTCCACGAGAAGATTACCAACCAATGTTTCAATATTGCCCAAGCTCTTCAGAGCATCACTTCCAAACCTTTTTCTGCCGTTCCATTCTCGTTGCTCATTGAAGGCCTCAATAAGCTCCAGCCTCGTTATTATTCTATCTCGTCATCTTCCCTCGTCCAGAAGGATAAGATCAGTATTACTGCCGTTGTGGAATCCGTCCGTTTGCCTGGTGCCTCCCACCTTGTCAAAGGTGTGACCACGAATTACCTCCTTGCGCTCAAACAGAAGCAGAATGGTGAACCTTCTCCTGACCCTCACGGCTTGACGTACTCGATCACTGGCCCGCGCAACAAGTACGATGGCATTCACGTTCCTGTTCACGTCCGCCACTCGAATTTCAAACTACCATCTGATCCCTCGAGACCCATTATCATGGTTGGACCTGGTACCGGTGTCGCACCTTTCCGCGGCTTTATCCAAGAACGTGCCGCCTTGGCGGCTAAAGGCGAGAAAGTCGGCACAACCGTTTTGTTCTTTGGGTGCCGTAATCGCAATGAGGATTTCTTGTATCAGGACGAGTTCAAGGTATGATTTTCCTCCTTTATATACTGCCCCCTTCGGATCCCCATGGACCATTAGTTCTAACCAGTTTTACTACAGACTTATGAGGAACAACTTGGTGATTCATTGAAGATCATCACTGCATTTTCCCGCGAGACTTCTCAAAAGGTTTATGTCCAACATCGGTTGCGTGAACAAGCTGAGCTGGTCAGCGATCTTCTGAAGCAGAAAGCCACATTCTACGTTTGTGGAGATGCCGCCAACATGGCACGTGAGGTCAATCTGGTGCTTGGTCAGATTATTGCCCAACAGCGTGGTCTTCCCGCCGAGAAGGGTGAGGAAATGGTCAAGCATATGCGTAGCAGTGGAAGCTACCAGGAGGATGTCTGGTCGTGATTGTTCCACGGCTGTTTCTTTAAGTGAACATGACTTCTTTTCCCCTTCTCATGCCTAGATGATCTTTGCATATATACTCCGCCTGTTATTCCTTTCTATACTTTTTTTTATCTTTCGGCGTGATTCATGTATGCCTAGCAGTTCTTTTTGGCCTTGTATGCAGTGGGAGCCATGGCTATTTGACCATGAAGAATTACAGCTCGCCAAGAGAAGGATGATAGACTTGACGGTTCGAAAATGTTTCAAGAATTATGAACGGAAATCAACACTACATTGGATCACGTGTGATGTCCGGAACTTGGTAATAAATACATTTATTTCTTTGGGGATTCTGAATATTATGTGGTGCAAATATCACCATTAGGGAACAACAACTGCTTAGAAGCCACATAGGTATTGTATATATAACTATTTGAATATGTACTGGAATAAAGTGTGGAGATGTGCAAGTTAAGAACTGTGTTCGGCCATAGCCCGGAGTTAATGTCTTGGAACCGCAACATCGTCATTGCGACTTTTACGTGAAGTCCCGAACTGGTCCTACATACCAGTCTTTCTCTTTTCAGCTTCTTCATTATCAACCCCTCCCAGTTTGGAGTCTCGCAGCCAGAGATGCGGATATCTTTCAACCAATAAATATACGATATTACATCTGGAGTCAACCTGTATTACTCCGTTGTTGGATCTGACGGGTGATCGTGCTATCATCTCCCCGCAGTGGTCTCCACTGCAAAAAGCTCATCCCGGATCGCCGATTGCGAGCTCCTAAGGCATCAGACAGTCAGGATGGCTTATGTCGTGCCAATACATAAGGCGAGCAGCGTGCGTCATGCGCTCAAGCTGCAGTTTCTGAACCCAGAGGAGGAGTCCTTGGTTGTTGCGTTGGTGACCACAATCCACCGGTCGGTTTCTGGCTACAACATACATGTTACTAATACGTCTGGTTTTGCCATAGGAAGGCCAATCGACTGGAATTTTATACGCTTACCCCTGATGGGTTGAATCTCGCTGCGTCGTGTACTCTCTACGCCAAAGTGTCGATGCTGGCTCGGCTTCCTGCCCCCGCCCATTCACCCACCGATCACCTTTTCGTTGGCACGGATCGGTACACCTACTGCACTCTATCATGGGACAGTGCACAGAATCGGATACGAACGGAAAGGAACTATGTCGACATTGCTGACCCGTCGTCGCGAGAATCGCAAACTGGCAACAGATGTTTGATAGACCCGAGTGGTCGGTTCATGACGCTAGAGGTATATGAGGGCTTGGTTGCTGTGGTACCAATTGTACAATTGCCTAGCCGGAAAAGAGGAAGGGCCGCAGCTGTTCCTACTGGGCCTGATGCGCCAAAAGTGGGCGAGCTCGGAGAGCTGACAACAGCGAGGATTGATGAGCTCTTTGTACGCTCCTCTGCGTTCCTACATGTGCAGTCTGGACTGCCGCGCCTGGCATTACTTTACGAAGATAACCAGAAGAAGGTTAGACTGATGGTTAGAGAATTGAATTATACCTCCGCTACGGCGAGCACGAGTGCAGACGCTACATTAACGCATATAGCCGACTTTGCACAAGAGCTGGATCTTGGGGCTTCCCACCTTATACCTGTGCCTGCTCCACTAGGTTAGTTTCTCTCTGCCATGCGATATAGTATTCCCCCTACTATTGCACTCCCAAATTGACAAATATAGGTGGTCTTCTCATTCTTGGCGAAACGTCTATTAAATATGTTGATGACGATAACAATGAGATAATATCTCGGCCTCTAGATGAAGCAACCATATTCGTGGCTTGGGAAGGGGTGGATAGCCAGCGATGGCTGTTAGCCGATGATTATGGAAGGCTATTCTTCTTAATGCTTGTTTTAGACTCAGATAACCAGGTTCAGGGCTGGAAATTAGATCATTTGGGAAACACATCACGAGCTTCTGCTTTGGTATATCTTGGCGGTGGGATTGTGTTTGTGGGATCTCATCAAGGGGATTCTCAAGTACTTCGAATCGGCAATGGCTCATTTGAGATAATCCAGGCCCTGTCCAATATTGCCCCTATATTGGATTTTACCATAATGGACCTCGGGAACCGCACAAGTGAGAGCCAAACCCATGAATTCTCGTCAGGGCAAGCTCGAATTGTCACAGGCTCAGGCGCTTTCGACGACGGGACTCTGCGAAGTGTGCGCAGTGGTGTCGGAATGGAAGAGCTGGGCGTTTTGGGTGACATGGAACACATCACAGATCTATGGGGGTTGCAGGTCCACGCTGGGGGCGATGCACTGGATACACTTCTTGTTACCTTTATTGATGAAACGCGTGTATTCCAGTTCAGCCCCGATGGTGAAGTAGAAGAACTGGATCACTTCCTTGGACTGAGTCTTTCGGAAAACACGCTTCTCGCAGCCAACTTGCCCAGGGGCCGAATATTGCAGGTTACCGAGCAACGGGTGCTTATCGCAGATCTGGAAGGTGGTATGGTTGTGTACCAGTGGGCACCGCGGAATGGACTGGTCATCACCGCTGCTTCTGCCAACGATGATTCATTGGTGCTTGTCATTGGTGGCGAGCTTATGACTGTCTTGGATATCGGAAATGAGGTCCAGGTGATAACAGAGAAGAAATTTGGTGCCGATAGCCAAGTCTCTGGCGTTACAGTTCCTGCATCACCAACTGAAGTTTGTGTTGTTGGATTCCCTCAACTCGCCAAGGTATCAGTTCTCAGGCTTCGAGACTTAACTGAAGTGTATACTACGTCGCTAGGCCCAGCTGGAGAAGCTTTCCCGCGGTCTGTTCTCGTTGCGGATGTGCTCGAGGATAGCCCTCCTACCCTTTTCATCTCAATGGCAGATGGTAGTGTTATCACTTACTCGTTCAAGACGGATGACTACTCCTTGAGCCAAATGAACAGACTAATTCTTGGGTCTGAGCAACCAACGTTCAAGAAACTGCCGAGGGGCGACGGGCTTTACAATGTCTTTGCGACATGCGAGAATCCGAGCCTGATTTATGGCTCTGAAGGCCGCATTATATACTCTGCAGTAAATTCAGAGGGAGCTTCCCGCGTCTGTCATTTTAACTCGGAGGCCTATCCTGGCTCTATTGCAGTAGCTACACTCCATGAGCTCAAGATCGCCCTGGTTGATCGGGAGAGGACCACACAGATCCAGACGCTTCAAATCGGTGCAACCGTACGCAGAGTCGCTTATTCACCTTCGGAAAAGGCGTTTGGTATCGGAACAATAGAGCGTAAGCTTTCAGACGGGGCAGAAATTGTCACAAGCCGATTTATGCTCGCCGATGAAGTTCTGTTTCGACAGCTAGATTCATTTGAATTGAGACCGGAAGAATTGGTGGAAAGCGTCATTCGCGCAGAATTCCCGGCGGGCAAGGATGAGAATGGACGTGAAATGACTAAGGATCGGTTCGTCGTTGGAACCGCGTATCTTGACGATGAAGGAGAAGAGTCGATCCGAGGTCGGATACTCATGTTTGAGATTGACAATGGCCGAAAACTGACAAAGGTCGCCGAATTACCTGTTAAGGGGGCGTGTCGTGCTTTAGCCATACTGGGAGACAAGATTGTAGCCGCACTTGTCAAGACGGTAAGTGATAGTTGAGTTGATTGTTGTGAATACCCGTCTGACAAGGCCTTTTCAGATTGTCATTTATAAGGTGGTAAACAACAATTTCGGCACAATGAAATTGGAAAAGCTTGCCAGTTTCAGAACGTCGACCGCGCCGGTCGATGTGACTGTGGTAGGCAACGTGATTGTGGTCTCAGATCTCATGAAGAGTTTATGTCTTGTGGAATTTAAGGAAGGCGAGAACGGCCTTCCAGATTCATTAACGGAAGTGGCTCGCCACTTCCAGACCGTTTGGGCCACGGGCGTCGCCTGCATCGACGAGGACACTTTCTTAGAAAGCGATGCGGAAGGAAACTTGATCGTCCTCCGTCGGAACCTCGCTGGAGTGGAAGAGGACGATAGACGCCGGTTAGAAGTAACCAGTGAAATCTCCCTAGGCGAAATGGTCAACCGTATTCGACCAGTTAATATTCAACAATTGGCAAGCGTCATGGTCACTCCGCGAGCCTTCCTAGGCACGGTATGTGGTTTCACACCCATCGCCCCCTCTTTGTAACACACCACTAACTGAGATTGCACAACCAGGTGGAGGGCTCCATTTACCTGTTTGCCATAATTAATCCAGCACATCAGGACTTCCTAATGCGTCTGCAAGCGACAATGGCGGGCAAGGTCCAGTCACTGGGCGAGATGCCATTTAACGAATTCCGTGGATTCCGCAGTATGGTCCGAGAGGCAAAGGAACCATACCGTTTTGTGGATGGCGAGTTGATCGAACAGTTCTTGAGTTGTGAGCCTGATTTGCAAGAGGAAATTGTCAATTCAGTGGGCATGATGAATGTCCACGAGGTGAAGGTTATGATAGAAGCATTGAGGCGATTGCACTAGAATTGTCCGTCGCCTATGTCTAGAGGGCCAATGTGAATGTCTTTCGGACTAAACTTTGCCCAATAACAATGAAATCGATGTGCAACGTACTAGTCATTTATAAGCCTGAGAAGTAGACAGATCATGTATAATGATACTACACATCTAGTGTGTGTTTGATTGACTATGCCTCAGCGAGATGCTGTGGCGATTGTACTTCATCTTACAAGGCAAACTCACAGCAGCATGCAACAGACCCAACATGCTCATCAAAATATCAATGCTCAAATAAGTATATCAGGAAGAAGATTAATTATATATTTATATAAAGTCGGATAAGTATACTATTCATATGCCCCCACAGAACTAAAAGAAGTAAATATCCATGCTTCCAAATCATGCGTCCTTCTTGTTCTCATTCTCTGAATCACTCCAATCCAACAACTCCATAATCTGATCCTGGGACAATTTATTCGCGTTTGTCTCTGCCTCCTTCAGGCTCTTCATGTACTTCTTCTGCCTCTTCTTTGCATTCTTTGTCCACTCCGGCACTCCACTGGCAGTCGCAAAGTCCTCTCCATCCTCAATTTCATCATCGGTGTTCTCGACCTCTCCAAGCACCTTTCCGCCTCCGGTAGCACCACCTCGCAGTGTATTGGCCGAAACCTTGGCCTTCTTGCCTCCTTGTGCCTCCTTCTTGGCCTTTTCCTTCTCCTTCATCTTTCTGCGATCGCGTTCACTCATTTTTTTAAAGAAAAGTTCGATGTACGGACGAATTATAACATAACCGATCACTGAGAGTGTGACCTTCGTCCAGCGGTTGAAGCTCACATCCGCGAAAGAGTTATAAAAGTTCCTGAAGAACCGGACGATGATCGTTTCGAAGAACGTATATATTTGGCCGAAGAAGTCTTTCAAGGCCTCTGTGGCGACCGCGGCGTCGGGGGAAGACATTTTTAATTCTGTTGCGGTGGTTATTGTGCTCGGTGATTGTGTTGAGAAATAATTATAGAAAAAGATGTGAGATTTCGCGGAGGTCGTAGAAAGAGAGGTTGAGGGGGTTTTATTCAGTTTGTGCGCTCAATGTGACTTGGGTTGGAGACAGGCAATTAAGTGGGAGCCTGTAAACCCCTTTTCTTGTAGAAGTATGAGGGATTTGAAAGTGGATTGTCCGCTGAATGCCGCAAGTTCTTTTCTCTTAGTCTCCATACGATGCGAAGAATTCCGTAATGGGAAGTGTTCCATTATGGTCTAGTGGCTACTGTCCTTCGGGACATCTTTTGTCCGCCCGTGTTAGCCGTAGCCAATCACAGGCGGCATCCGCTGATCTTCGTCCATAGACGCGTCTGTTCACGCACGCGAATAAGTACTAGTATAGATGACTACATCGTTTCCATCAGTATCGACAAAGATTATCATCTCGGATATTAATCTTGGGGACGTTCGAGCTACCTGCTGCCCCCGGGCGTCTGTCAAACATGGATCCAAACGAAGAAGTTGGCCTTGAAGAGGTACGTGGTGATATGTATCACTTATTTTGAAGCAGATCTTACAGTTACTCTTCACAGCGCCTGAAATCCGCTCTTTGGCTGGCCATTGGAAAGATAGTTGACGACGAAACCATCAAACTTGGTGTGAATGCCACGCCCCAATTCATCGGAGCCTTGACGGAGATGGTCTGGACCCAGATAGGTATGTCACACCTGCCCAGAGCGAATAGCTACAGAGCTGTCGTCACATTTAGTTCATTTCATGGTGGCGCGTAAACTGATCAGCTTCAATAAACAGAGACAGTCAGCCAGGATTTAGAGTACTTTGCTAAGTAAGTGGTCGACTTACGGCTCAAAGTACCCTATGGATTGCCTGTCTTGCTACTATTATTATTCTCCCTTTTTCTTACTGTGGGACATTGGCGGAGGAGGATCCTTGGGTATGACTCAATATGGCAGGTTGCTAACATGTTCGGAACTTCCTTATTAGGCATGCCGGACGTTCGACAATTAATGTTTCCGACGTAATGTTGTTAGCGCGGCGCAACGAAGGGTTAGAATCCATCCTCCGCGCTTTCGTTGACCAGCAGCGCGATGGAGAAACTTGAAACATCGAAAATTCTATAGTATGAACATCATGAGTGGCTGGGTCCTTTTGTTAAGTTCCCTACGGGGTGATGTAACCCCAGACTCATTGGCGGCTTTCTTCTCCCGGCGCGCCTTAGTGGCCTCCGTAAGTGTAACCTAATTTTACTTTACCTCAATGACACCCAGGCTAACTGTTTCAATAGGAACAGCTACATGATCCATCCCGCCAGTGGCACTCAGTAGCCAAGATATCTGGAGGATGAGATGACGCCACTGATTACTTCCCCGCGTTAGAGTTGACTATTTTCGGCTCACGTGTTAGTATCAAGAAAATGACTGTCAAGGCCGATATGGTTCTATTCCACGCCTATCCAGCTTATTAAGAGATGTCTCAACGAATCAGAGGATCGGGGATCCTGAGGCTTTATCTCAAGAGAACGTGTCTAACATCATAGATGGTGTAATGATTATCAGATGAACAGTTACAGTGCCCCAGCCAATCAGCTTTCAGAATTGCTTGCTTTGATGGATATGTATCGCTTGTGGACCACGTCACCATAGCGTCTCCTGCTATATCAATTAGCCTCGATAGCATACTACTTAAATATAAACTCCCTGAAGGCGGGCATATCATTTTGAGTGCCTTGTCGCAGCATACAGCGATGGTGCAACTATACTGTCTTTCAATTGACTCAAAATTTATACCAGTTCCTTGAAATTGTGGGATACCATTTAAGCTTAGAATAAATTCTCGAAAAAATGCTGAACACCACTCTTGACACGGGTACTGTTCGAGCGACGCTGAAGACCACGCCCCTAATGGAAGCGGTCCGCTTCCATGGACCGCGCGACATCCGGGTTGAAACAATAGATGAGCCCGTTTGTGGCAAAGGGCAAGTAAAGGTGACTTGACACTGTACCTACGATATGAACAAGAATATACTCATTCGAAGTGGAAATAGTAGATCCGACCAGCTTTCGTCGGACTCTGTGGCAGTGGTAGGCTTAACCTACTTCTTCTATATCACCAAATGTCGAAAAACAAACTGATTCGAGCAAGACATACACGAGTATACTGGGGGTCCTGTATTGATACCTCAAGAACCACATAATATTACCGGACGCTCGTGGCCAGTGACACTTGGTCATGAATTCAGCGGTATCGTCCATGAAGTCGGAGAGGGAGTAACGAATGTGTCTCCAGGACAGCGGGTCGTCGTACGTCCCACCATCTTTGACCGGCAATGCACAGCATGCAAACGTGGCTATGAGTACTGCTGCGAGAACATAGGGTTTATTGGCCTTTCCGGTATGCGGTATCTGTTAAAGCACTACAGAGCTAGAGATGATACTTACGCGTCCTGTAGGGTACGGTGGCGGGTTGGCAAAGTACCATGTTGCACCGGCAGAACACTTCTACCCAATCCCTGACAACGTATCTCTTGAAGTGGCAGCCTTGATCGAGCCATTGGCGGTTGCCTGGCATGCCGTTAATTTATCACCATTCAAGATGGGCGATAATGTCATGGTGGTAGGCGGTGGGCCAGTTGGGATCGGCATTGTACAGGTGTTGAACTTGCAAGGCGCCAAGAACATCATGGTATCAGAGCTTTATGAGAAGCGCAGGAGGTTTGCGATTGAATACGGTGCTACGCATGCCTTTGATCCGGGCCAGGAGGATGTGACGCAGAGGGTCATGGAAATGACGGACGGTGTGGGCGCCGATGTCATCTTTGATGTCGCGGGTGTGGAAAAGGCATTGAACGGCGCCATCAGTGCGTGTCGCACACATGGTACAATCATTAATGTTGCTGTGTGGGAGAAGAAACCCGCAATTCCCGTGAACGACTTAATGTACAACGAAGTCAATTATACCGGGTCAGCATTGTACGACGAAGGCTCCTTCGAAGCCGTTATCAAGGCTCTTGGATATGGTAAGCCGTCCCTGAAAGCCTTCTTGAGTTTGCCGTTCACATTGTCTGACTGCGTTCCGTCTTACAGGTCAATTGAAACCAGAAAAGATGGTTACGTCGAAAATAAGGTTGAATGAGACGGTGGAAAGGGGATTCCAGACCCTGGTCAACGACCGTGAGGATCACTGCAAGATCCTAATCGATGTGCAGGCATAATAGTGCGATTAGCCTAATGTCGATTGCTATTACTCGTCCAAGGGTATGGATACAGTTAACCTAGAATCTTATTGGAGAATAGAGCTCGTTGTTTCCAGATATTGATAACTTGGCTCCCATCTGTTGAGTCTAGCCTCAGCTGCCATGATGACCACTGTTGTATGGCCCAATCTTGCTTTAAGCTTGTGCTAAACATAGAAATTTTCAAGTAATAGTAGTGACGTCTTGAACTTTGGTTGAGCAGAAGAGAGGAGTGGCTGTGTAGATGTTCTCTTGTGGTGGTATACCAATGAGTAACTGTGGCTAGTAGCTTAGTCACAAAAATACCATGACTGTGGACTGCTGGAATGGGAACTTCCCTCATGCGATCACTAATTTTGGACACGAGACCTGATGACAGGCATGTGATTTAGGGTCCAGGGTCCAGTGCCGAATCAGGGGATGTCTGGGCAAGGCTTAGTCACGGCTGCAGGGAACCAATGATAACAAGTTCTCCATCGATGATGACGTTTGGGGCCTAGGCTGTGGGTGTGGCTTGTGACGGGGATTATCAGCTTTGTCCCCGCCTCTCCTCTTTTCTTCCCAATCAAATGTCTCGTGAGCTCCGTCCACGTCCGTGGATCGACATATTGATGGTGTGGACACTGGACGGAACCTCTTGTGAAAGCGATTGAAGGATTCCTCGAGTTCCACAAGCCTTGCAAGCATCCAAGGAAATGCCTCCACTGATCTGCTTGCTGCGACACCATGACCCCTGGCACCCAACCTTTTCATTCAGCAATGCTGCCTGGGATTGCATACAAGTGCAAACCTTTTCCACTCTTCAGCCTTATAATACCTCTTTGTCGTGAAACTTCTTTTGAAATTTAGCCCTTAGCTTTACCTGACGGCTCTCTAGCCCCTTCAGACTTCGTACTATAGCCCTCCGGCCTCGTTGCGAGTGCCAGTTTCGATATATTCTTTATTCTTTCGAGAAGACTGCGTTATAGCCATCCACTTTCAGGATGGGGTTCGGCGGCGTTGTTCTCCGCTTCTTCAATTTAGCTATTCGCGTCCTTCAATTCCTTGACAGTGCCGTAATTCTAGGGATTTTCTCCTACTTTTTAGCTGTCCTCAGCCGTCATGACCAGAACATCCCGCAGTGGATAAAAGCTATCGAGGGTCTGTCAGGTGCGGCGGCCCTTTACGGACTACTAGGCATCCTCTTCACCTGCTGCTTGGGAGGGGTCGCATTTTTCGCCGCTGTGGCTGTTGTTCTCGATGTCTGCTTTGTCGGAGCCATGGTCGCTATTGCGATCATGACTCGCAATGGCACACAGCAATGCAGCGGCCGAGTCGATACCCCTTTGGGATCAGGCGAAAGCAACGCAGAATCGCCATCTAAAGTGAAGTACGAGTTCGCCTGTGAACTCCAAAAAGTCACCTTCGCCGTCGCGATCATCGGAATGTGAGTAAGATTCTATCCCACACCCCTTGATCTGCACAAGTCAAGGTGTCAATCAAAAGTGATGCGCTGACATTCCCCACCAGCTTTTTCTTCCTGGTTTCCATTCTCTTCCAAGTCCTTTACGCCCGTCACTACAAGCGTGAGAAGCGTTTCGGCCCTTCCCCAGCCAATGATTATACGTATGGCTCCCGTCCTCGTGCTTTCTGGCGTCGCAAGAAGAACAACCCAGATACCGCCAGCGCCGATGATATGCTCCCCACCCATCCTACTCCTCAGGATGTCGAATTAGGACCTACCCAGGAGAAGCCCAGTGGTTTTGGTGGTTTCTTTTCTCGAAACAAAGATACCACTCAGGCCACCCCGGGTGCACCACAGAACGGCTATGGTTACGGAAACTCCGCCTATACGGGCAACTACTAAGACAACTACATTCCATACCACCACTGAAATATGACTGCCATGGAATTATTCCATAGTACACAAACACACGGTGTCCAAAACAAAAACAAGATAACAACCGAAACAAAGAAAATTTTGGGTCGGTAAAATCATATCTTTTCTGCCGCAGGTCTTTATCCGCTAGGGAGAAACTGGGCAGTGGCTTTATCATTTAATCCGGCTAAGAAAGTAATAACGTCTATGAATAATGATTATAAATAAGATACCATGGTCTTTCTGGATTTATGTGAAGTGTTCTGTATAGCTTGACTTAGTATTTAATGAAATCAATTTGCTACCTAAGTTAGGGGCATCGATTGTACTTCCGTATGAATTCCGTCGAAACAGTTGTAATATCAATATACGCACCATTGTAGGAGTATCATTGGATTCTATGCTCGTTAAATTTACGTTCCTTGGCTTTCATATTGTTTTGCTTTCAGCCATGGCAACGCGCGGGATTGCGCCACCAAGTCTTTTGTCAAATTTATAGAACCCCTAGAATACACCTAGATTTTGTTTAGAAAAAATGATAATAAATAAATAAATAAAAATTGTGCGCTTTGCTAAAAAGAAAGTGAACTCTAGACCATCATTGATTTAATCAATCCGTTGCGTTCCTCTGCTACTAAAGGTGTGCGCGACATGAGATATCCTGAAATATATACTTCTCATTTCCCAAACCCATCAACATATAGTTTAATCGAACAGTAAGATATTTCCACGCACAAAACAAGCCAAGAACTGTGGTCGGAATCCACCACTAATATAAATTCTCTAACTAATATCGAACAACACTGCAAATGGTATATTTTTCAAGAAAATCTTAAGTTCTGATTAATCGCACAGCTCGGCAATTTCTTCCATGCTGAGCTTTCTCTTCTATGATGACCAGGATTCTTAGCCCTAACACTGCAATTTTTAATTAGCGGGGAGTGTTGCTGAATACTTAGTACGTAGGCAGTAATCAAATGGAGCATAAGGCGGCCAGATACTATAAATAAACACGTCACCCGCTATAAGAGTCCTTGACTAGTGGTCAGGATAGGTGATTGGTGGATGCGAGGCTTGGTGGGCATGGGGGCATAAAAGTTGGATATACCACCTAAATGATCTGGTGGGATTGGTTATGTACATGAACCGAGAGGGAGCTTCTGCATGCAGGCTAGATATGAATTGGACCCATTTTTGATACTGCGTAGCTTTGGCCCCGCAGGATGAGTTGGTATTTTGTGCCGATTGCCAACAATGTGATTTTCTCTGAATGATGGACTGCTGGTTTTCTTGTGATGCGTGGACATATAACCACACTTTCTGGGTTTCTGGATATCATGGATAGGCTTAGGAAGTAGGCTACTACTTCAAAAGTCACCTACGAAGGCATAGTAAGAATAGGAAATATGTCTACCGAAGAGAAGCAACGTATCGTAAACCCATTGTAGCGATAAAGAGAAATTAGATTCGATTTGAGCATGTCACAAGAAAAGTACAAAATCACAGGACACGGGCTAATTAGAATAGAAGACGAACAATTGCATAGTAATATAAGCCCTGGGTCCACAGACTAAAAATGAAAACAGAGAAGAACCATCCTGACGATGGATATGAAGATGGCGTATACTCGCGCCGGGCGAGCTTGATCAAGGAATACGCACTGGCCAAGTGCAAATATATGTTCAAATTCATGTTGACCTCAAGCGGTGCATGGCGCCGTGACGGCAGCGCATACCGGCGGCAACAGAACCCATGAAGACGGGGCGACCATAACTGCACACAGACCAGGTCTGACCATCCTCGCTGCAAATAATGGTACCGTCTGTGCAGTGTTCCTGACTCACCTCGTGGTGCTTGAGAGGGTGCGACTCAAACCGTGGTGGTTGCGAGGAGGTCGGCGTGGCAAGAGCAACATGTGCGGAGGATGGAGTACCAAAGGCCGAAGGGACCCTACTGGAAGGTGTAGCAGATGCAGAAGAGCCAAACTTGTGAGCGGAACTCTTAGGGCCGTGGGCAACAGAGCTGGTGCCACTAGTGCCACTGGCACTGGGCGAACTGGAATCACCCAGGAAAGGAGCGGAACTCTTGCATGTATAGCCCTTGCCGGAGAGGCTTCCCTCTTTGGAGGGGCCAGGTAGTGGGAAGTTCACTTCCTCACCCTCAGTGGTGGTGCATTTGCCTGGCCCATTATTGTTGGCCTGGAATATCTCTGGGAGACTGTCGAAGCTGTCACGACGGGAGAGAGCATTTGTTTGTGCACGCTTCGCAGCACTGCCGCCAATTGTGACCTGTGCACAGTTCATGTACATCTCGCGGTTACCGACCTTGTTGAACCATGTCCAGGATAACAAAGCCTCCCCATTTGGCGCATCGCTGGGAACTGTGAACTTGTATTTCTTTTCAATGGGACATCCTCCTAGAATGGAGTGAATCACATGGAAGGTCTCTCCTTTGTCGTAGGAGAGACCGATCTGACAGGAACCGCCACCATGTGTTGCACTACCTTGCAGTTCTATCTCGTACTCCTGGCCTGGACTGTATGTGGCGACAGAGTTGAATGGGTCGTTAGCGTATCCTTTGCAAGGGTAATCAGAGCCACTGGTAGACAGCGGGTTCGTGTATGAATAGTCCTTCTCGCCATCTGCGTCCTTGTTCAACGGGCTCCGGATCGGATAGGGTTTCGACATCTGCATGTGCGCAGACACAGATGTAGCCAGCAGGCCGCACACAAAAGCAAGGCCCTTCATTCTGGGAGTTCTGGTATTAGACTGGTATAGTCCTGAGCTATATGCAACCACTTGCACAACCGTAAACACTAGATGTCACTTGTCAGACTTGATATTCAAGCCAAGGCAGCATGTACCTACCCTGTCAGGAAACAGCGCCGCTTATAATCAGACCCAGAGAGCCAGAGAGCCTAGAGAGATGAAGATGTATCTCCCCAGATGGCGATAACTGGCACTCCTTATAGCGGATAAGATGCTTTCCTTTTTGTGGCAAGGGGTGGCAGTAAACAAAATCCGCGAGAACGCTCAGTCTGGCCCAAAGTAGAGAAGCTCAGGAACGCGCAAGCAGTATGACCCAACCAGATGTGAGGCATGTTCAATTTCTGGAGCTCTGGCATGCTCCTGTATTTCTGCCATTCGTTCTAAGTGGTTAACGTAGGTATGCGCCACGCCGCCTGGAATGTTATTGTCCCATGAAAATGCTACAACAAGGGCAGGCCATTCTTCGGCACACTTTTAGTCTTTCGCGTACCAGTTCCGACGCACTGAAACCTGGATGTCTTCTTGCACCGTAAATCACGCATGGTACGTCACGGTTTAGCTAACAGCGGGTATTGCCGCAGATACATTGGTAAATTTGCAGGTGTACTGAAGATTTCGACTCCTAATCATGCATCAATAGTCAATGAGGGTTAGTAGCGTTGGAATTGTATATAATGAGAGGTAAATGAATGCCATTAATATTGTAGTGTAGGAGATGAGTAGTTGTGAGGATGGGATTTGATCATCGGTAGTCCTCTCCATAAGAAATCCGCCGAGGACCTTCCTAAAGCTCCTTAGCGTCCGCCCACGGCGTGTGTCTTGTCTCCGCTTGAAGCATCTTCCCGCTCTCTATATTCTGCCATCCGCCATATCCTCGCCATTAGGTCTTTGCTTTCTCTCTGGAGGATCATGGTACTAACGCGGCGCGACAGACCTCACACTTCACTACTTTCCCCTATCTAATAAACAGCGCATTGCTGAATGTTTTTGCGGTCTTTCCACCACCAGCAGAGGACTTTTGCTCGTGCGCTTTCCTGTCATCATGCCGCGCGTTTCCATGACGTCGAGGAATTTGGTGCGCGCTCCCGCCAGGTTCGCCACTCTCCTGCTTGGTGGATAACTCATCCGCTTCCTGTGGCAAGCTCAATCTCTTTCCTTGCTCTAGTCCATACCTCCTGTCGCTCTCAGTACTATTCCCGCGTTGACCGTCTGTTACATTCTTCCCCTCGGAGATTACAGAAGCTTGCAACGACATCAGTCATTACGCCCTTGCATTCCCGGCGCATAGTAGGAGGTCCGCGTGGCATAGTGGGTACATCGCAGGCCACGAACATGCCTGTAGACGTGAAATATGAGACTGGGGACAGCGTGAACTCGCCGAGTGAGGAAAATGCAGTGCTGGCACAGACGCGTACATCGGAATTACCGCAAGATGTTCCGCCAGATCCTGAATCGGATGAGGATATACCTGTTCAGGCCGAGGAGCTCCAAGAGGCTCTATCGAGGCCCCCGCCTGTCAACAGTAGTTATCTGCCCCTCCCTTGGAAGGGCAGATTAGGATATGTGAGTGATAACCACTGGTCGACAGTTTCAATCTTGTCTTCCCCCCATTTGAGTTCATTTCTTATGGCTAGTAGGCATGTCTGAATACATATCTCCGATACTCGAACCCTCCTGTTTTCTGTTCCCGAACTTGCCGCATCGCATCGATTTTGGAGAACCGCCACCCGCTTTTAGACCCCTCTCAACCTGCCCATCCGACGAAGAACCGCCCGGACCGGAGCCAGAAACCTGATATTGCACGGGGTCAAGCCTTCGTTGAAGCATTGGGACTCGCCAATGCGCGGGATTTACTAAAGATCCTGCGTTGGAATGACCGCTATGGAATCAAGTTCATGCGACTGAGTAGTGAGATGTTCCCGTTTGCTAGCCACAAGGAGTATGGATACAGATTAGCTCCTTTTGCATCCGAAGTTCTCGCAGACGCAGGACGGGTCATTGCAGAGCTTGGCCATAGGGTGAGCGTGCATCCCGGGCAGTTCACTCAATTAGGGTCTCCTAAGAATGAGGTCGTAGAGAGTTCGATACGAGATCTAGAGTATCACTCCGAAATGCTGCAGCTGCTCCAGCTGCCTCCCCAACAAGATAGGGATGCGGTCATGATTCTCCACATGGGCGGTGTGTTTGGTGATAAGGAGGCCACGTTGAACCGGTTCCGGGAGAATTACCAACCCCTATCGCAAGATATCAAGAACCGACTTGTTTTAGAAAATGATGATGTTAGCTGGTCGGTACATGATCTGTTGCCTATATGCGAAGAGTTGAATATACCGCTCGTGTTGGACTTCCACCACCACAACATCATTTTCGACTCAAGTCAAGTCCGTGAAGGGACCCAGGACATCACGAAGCTCTTTGATAGGATTAAGGCTACTTGGACTAGGAAGGGTATCACTCAGAAGATGCACTATTCGGAGCCGACACCTTCTGCCATCACGAACCGTCAGCGGCGGAAGCATAGCCACCGCGTATCCACCTTGCCTCCATGCGACCCCACAATGGATTTGATGATCGAAGCAAAAGATAAAGAGCAGGCTGTGTTTGAACTGATGAGAACATTCAAGCTTCCCGGTCACGAGTTGTTCAACGATATGATCCCACATGTTCGTACGGACGAGAACAAACCGTTCAAGCCGCCTCGGAAGTCTACCAAAAAGAACGGGGGTTTTGTTGACCTTGAGGGTCATGTTCCTCCTGCCCCAACTGTCTCTGAGGAAGTGGTGGGCATGGGAGGTCCGGAGAGAAGAGTTTATTGGCCTCCCACAATGGAGGAATGGCTTCGGCCCAAGAAAGTCATTCGTACTAAAGCCATCCAGAGCCCCCGACGATCTCGGCAAATGAAGAAGACCGATAGTGTTGTAGAGGACTCATTGGAGCAAGATGGTGAGGTGGCCAGTACCGCCTTGACTACACCTGCCTCGACGCCCGCGTCCAAAACCTCCCAGCGCATTCAGCGTACCTCTAGCGTGAAGAAAATGTCCAGTAGGAAACGCAAAGCTTCTACGCCAGCCAGCACGTCGCTTTCTGCTTCATATGATGATGATGCTTCGCCCGAAACTCCCAAGCTCACGCGATCCAAGAGCACTGGGGTCCGTCGAAGCCGTCGAGCGAAGCCAGTCAGTTACGCTGAAGACAGTGAATCTCTGTAATCATATTTCGATCAAACGATACTGCCTCTCGACACCACTCACCCAGTTATGTATCAATGCTTTTCTTGGGGTCTCTCGGATGGGCAAGAGCTTAGGGTTCAAAGGCGTTCCGATTATAGCTTTTAATTATTTTTTTTTTCTATACAGCGCGCACGAACATAGATCTAAACTAGTAATTTAATCTGGAAGAACACAATAACATCGATTGCATATAGTAAAATCCAGCAGCCTGAGAAGCTTTGGCTAAGGCAAGGTACGATGCAATTAGTTATCGCATTGGAACGGTCTCCACACCCTTTCCGCTGGTTTTGAAACTCTAGCTTAATTGAATGTATCCCCCCCTTTTTAACCCTCATAACCTTGTGCTCGTATTCTGTGTTGAGATAGGAGTACCTATATATAGTTATACTTGTTCACTGTCTGTTGACGACTCGGCCACTGGCGAGGTGGTAACGTACACTGACATCACTACGCTAAAACGCCTTGTGGGCCGGGATGACTTCAACTTCTTGCCTTGACAGCATATAAGTTCAGCCTTACGCGACCGCGACCCCCTTCAACTGAACACCAGCTGGAATTTTTGCAGTTCTCCCGAGATATATTAACATACCAGTATCGCACACCCTAATTCAGGACCGTGGCGCCGAAACTATTTCCTCGAAGTCGCTGGCGCGCTCCGCCGAGCTTCCCCGCTAGGCGCCAACTGCCCTTACGATCGTTACCCCTCCCTCGTTTCACCACTCGACAAGGAAAGCTTTTTCTGTTCCTTCGTGCACTCTTCGGGCCTACTACGTGCCGTCGTGCTCAATCTCATCTTTGGGGTTTCCGCCACGAGACGATCCCTGCCCTTCGCCATAGAGCCCAGGCAGGCCTATACCGAGTGATTGTTCGACGGCAAGCCAGGCTTCTCCGGAAACGACAGACTGGTAGACAGGGAGTGTTAGATTTCCTTGTCGGAAGAAGAAGACGGTTAACAAGATCGGACATTGGTGGTGGGACGGCGGCGAGTGCGACAGCAGGAGTGCCAATGTCACAGTTTCTATCGTCGACATCCTCATGGGGCTCGGGAGGCGGTGCTAGTGGTGGACGTCGTCAGAGAGTCTATCAGTATCTAAGGGCTGCGAATGAACTGCGCCAGACGTATGCCGCGCAATGGGCGGCGCAAATCAACCCATCCCGTGAATATGATGAAGAGTACTTAAAAAACACACCGGGGGCATTTCCAGATATCGAAATCGCACGGTCCGAAGATGAGGAAATGGTAATTTTCCCGAGCTACGCAAGGCGACTTGTCAAAGACTACAACAGACAGCGTCGGGGATCGACTTCGACGCTCGACGAATACCGTGGTGTGGCCGAGGAGACAGAGTTGGAGAAACTTGAAAGAGAGATACTGGAGGATGAGAATGCAATCGTCGCGGTTGATGTGCGAGGCTGGGTGTACTCACCACATCGCGGGCCGATGAATCGAAAGCAGCGCTTGCTAATTGCACTCGCGAGGAAACTAAGCGGTGTATCGGCGCCGAGTAATTACTCGACAGATACCGAAGGCCCCGATTCCGATACTGCTTCCATAGGAAAGGGGTCGGGCAAAAGAGATGATGAGCTTGTGGACGCGGAGGCTCAATCAATCATCAGAAATGCAGAAGGAAGGGCAGATGCTGCTTGGAAATCCAGTGCGTCGGAACGAGACGGCGAAGCTACCCCTGGAAGACCTCTACAAAGAACGACGACATCGTCAACACTCGAACCTTCTCAAATGAGCATGGATGAGCTGTCCATTGCGAATTCTCATCTTATGGAGAGGCTCCGCCCTTTCTTGTCGAACCCCATGAACCAGCAGCCTGTCACAGTGTTCTTCTTCAATGATGGGAAGAGCCAGTCGAGAAGCGTATTGACCGACGAGTCAGGCCATTTTACTTTACGCGCAGCCTTGCCTTTTATCCCGACTCATATCCGTGTGCTGGCATCAGAGGACCTCTCTGCGATGAAACAGGTCGAGGTCATCGAACCGAGCGGTGTCAGTCTCATCAGCGACATTGACGACACGGTAAAACATTCAGCTATCGCAAATGGAGCCAAAGAGATATTCCGGAATACTTTCATCCGCGAACTGGCCGATCTAACTGTCGACGGCGTCTCAGATTGGTATACTAAGCTGGCTAAAATGGGGGTTCAAATACACTACGTCTCCAATTCACCATGGCAGCTTTATCCGTTGTTAGAGCGATACTTTAAATTGGCAGGATTGCCTCCTGGTTCCTTCCACCTCAAACAATATAGTGGTATGCTTCAGGGGATATTTGAGCCTACTGCAGAAAGAAAGAAGGGCTCTCTTGAGCAGCTCCTTAGGGACTTCCCGACACGCAGGTTCCTTCTAGTCGGCGATAGCGGCGAGGCAGACCTCGAAGTTTACACCGACATTGCCCTGGCCAACCCTGGAAGGATCTTAGGCATCTTTATCCGCGACGTCACTACATCTGATCAGAAGCAGTTCTTTGAGAAGTCTATCGATCACCTGGAGCCCCATCCACCTCGCACTCGCAGCACTCCTCAGCTCATCGATACCAGCGATGAAGCAACTAGTCGGCCTGCATTACCTCCTCGCCGCCCTCGAGCACCAGACCATCGATCTGCTGATGCCATAAGCCTAGACAATGCCGATCTGATCGACCTCCGCGACGATGAAGATCTGAAGGATGCCCAGTCTGATACGACCAAGCCATCCAACGGACGCTTGCCGCCAGCGAAACCATCCAAGCCATCATCCCTACGGACCGTTTCCGCCATGTCAGACCAGCCAGGAAAACACAGTTCATCCCAAATACAGGGTGCCATTAACCGGAAGCCAGTACCACCAATACCGCCGCGCCGCCCTTCAGAAGCCCCAGCCCAACCAAACTCACTTCCAATCCGCCCCAAACCAGAAACAACTCCATCTGAACCTCAAGAGCTTGCGCGATCCAAACAGCCCCCTCCACCACCCCCACCCCGCCGAAGCAATACAGGGGCAACATCCTCAACGACAACCTCGAATTCAAGTACAAGCCGCCCCCCATCCCAAAGACAACCACAATCATACCCCACAGCCGCAGCAACAGCCGCTCTACAGTACGCCTCAGAGCGTCTCCCATCTCCTTCCAACCTCCTCCGATCTACAACCACCAACCCCTCACCAGCCAGATCAAGCACAAACAGTCTAGACAGCGACCAGCAATCAGTTGCCGGATCCGCGCCTCCCGCTCCATTGCCCAACAAGCGTGAGGAACTCTGGCGGAAACGCTGGGAAAGAGCACACGAGATCCTCATGGACAAGGGAGTGGTATTGGGTAGTTGGCGAGTCGGCACAGATGTCCAAGATGTCACGATGTGGTTGGTGCAGGAGGCGATGAAGGATGCCCCCCGTTCGGATATGAGGGGAAACTGAACTTACGTATAGAATTGAATAAAGGAGGATGACTTGTATGTATCTATGTATGTATGTATATTCACTTTTTATGATTGCAATTTAGCCACATACCATGCATAGGATCTGGATATGCTGGGACGAATATATGAACAGCGAACTAATATATACTTCATATCTATATATCCGAAAGGGTCACAAGTCTCAATGAAAGTAATATGAACTAAAAGTAATTGAGCATGTATAAATGAACTATCGACAAGTAGAATACCAACAAAAACCAAAATTCAAAAATGCCCATGTAACAAAAAATGTCTATAATGTACCCCCAAAACTGCAAAAATTATCAGAAAGAGGAATCCTGCCTCATTGACTGTTTTCTTTTTCTTTTTTCCTTTTTCGTTTTTTCCTTTTTATTTATTTATTCATTTTTTTGTCTCTCAGTTATATTGATGTTGCTTTGCTGCCTTGTATCACTGCAAGGACGCAACGATTCCTTCAATCTCAGCCCCGATATCAGACACAAGTTTATTGACTTCTACCTCGGAAAGAGCACCACCTTCGACACGAACACCAAATCCGATGGTATCAGTCTTCGGGTCAGGACCGATATCAATGTAGACGTTCTCATCTGGCAGAAGAGAAGTATCCAACGCAGACACGGAGGTTGACTCCAGACCAGACAGAGGCTCATCGGGAATGAAGTCCGTGGGAACACCAATACGAAGGGGCAAGAAAATCTCGGCATTGTCATTGAGTTCTACATCTGGTGTGGCATCATTGGCTGATGGAATGGAACTCTGCATCCAGAGGAGGTTGACCCAGGTGTTGAACAACGGTGATCCAGATTTTTCGGCACCAACCCAGCGGAGGACGTCCTGCAGTGAGCTTTGCTCGAACGAGACGCGCTCTGCGAGGGAGGATTGAACCGCGCGGGCTTTGTCCAGAAGGTTGAGCTCTGGCTCGTCAGAGATGACGTCGGAGATGCTGAATGGGTTGACGTTCAGACAAGGCCCGGAGAGCTTTTCAATGTTGGGGAACGAGGCGGAGCGACCGGTTTGGTATAAGCCCATGGTTGGACTTGTTGATCCCGTTGCGCGTGCGAGGGTGCGGGCAACAGCCAGAAGGACCACGGCTTGGAGGCTCAGGCCGACAGAGCGGCATGTGTTTTCTAGTTGGGCTACGCTCTTGACCTTTTCCCAAGCTCCGACGAATAGTTGATCTGGGACTTGGCCGGCTTCCTGCTTGGAGTTGATGACGGTGCGCATACCTGAGCCGAGGGCTGAGGTCCAGTATGTTTTCTCGTCAACCTCTTGAAGAGAGCGGACTGAGTAATCGACAAAGGAAGGGAAATCAGGGTTCGAGTCCAAGGGCTGACCGCGGTAGAGTTTTCCAAGCTCTGAAACGAACAGTGGCATTGTCCATGCATCGTATGCAGCGTGGTTGACTAGGACAAGGATTCCGTCTCTGTCGCTAGCCTTCAAAAGGCGTAGTCTTACAGGAGGAACAAAGAGCGAAGAAGGCGCTAAAGCTTCCACCTTTGCCTGTGCCTTTGCAAGCTCTGTTATGGAATCGGAGGACTCAATGACCTTGAAAGTTTCGCCGTCACGCACCGCCTGCTTCATGACGACCTGGACGGCTTCAGATGAGGAAATAGCTGCGAAGCAAGTCCGTAGCACTGGATGCCTTTGGCGAAGTTGATACCATGCTTCTTCAAGCATCTCGGCATTGATACGTTCCGCAGTGAAGTATGGCCAGGCCGGTTCAAACAGTTTCCGTCCAGACTTCAACCAGCTCACGAGGTGATAGTGCTGACCGCCGAGACATGGAAGAATTGTTTCAATCGACTCCTTATCCAGCTTCAGCTGTCGCAGAACCATTTTCTCAACTTGATCGTAGTCCTTGATAAGGGCGCCTTGAGGCTCGACTGCCTGTTCTGCTATAGGCCGGATACGTTGACTGATTCCACGTAGAGTGTTGCCTTGGAGAATATCGGCTACACCCGTCTTCAGCCCCTTCGATCGACAGATGGAAGCAATACGAATTGCCGTCAAGGAGTCCAACCCAATACTGAAGATGCTAGTACTGGGGTTAATACTGTCGGCTGGCACACCAGACACATCTGCTAGTACCGATTTAACGATGGCTTCGTGCGGAGGCGCATCCGTGTCGACAGGCAGGTTTTCTTCAGGTGTTTCCAGTAATAATCTGAGCGGTAGCTCTCCGAGATGCTCAGGTACGATTGTGACGCATCTCGTTGGGTGCTGGATAATATCTTTGAAGGCGGCTGTGAAATCATTGATGAAGCTATCGAGAGCCATTTGGGACATATATTGCCCGTTGCAGTTGGCGCTGACTGCAATTCTGTCTTGGCCATGGTCAACTTCCACGTTCAGCTTATACTCGGCTTGAGCAGCATAGTCATCTGTTTCGTACGGCTTCCAAATCTCTTGCTCCTCAAGGATGCTACCTGCAAAGTCTGCGCTCTTCTGGAAGACGAAGAGCGTATCGAAGAGAGAAGTAGCTTTCAGCGCATCAGCCTTTCTCAACGAGTTTTGTACAACTCTCAGAGGCGCGTGCTGATATTCTTGTGCTTCAGTAGTGAGTTGTTGCAGCCGCAATGCCATAGCCCTATTGCTCAGGAATTTCGGCTCAAAGGTTACTCTTTGAGCTACAGTGTTGAACAGCGGTCCAAAAGTACGTTCGGTTCCTGGCACTGACCGACCTGCAAGAACTTGTCCAAATGCAATATCGCGCTTTCCAACAAGACGTGCGAGGGCCTTGGCGTATGCTAGGATAGCCACGCTTTGTACAGTGACTTCCATCTTTTTGCAAGCGTCAATTATTAGCGGCAAGTTAAGATCAACATGATTTTCTGAGAGGAACATGCGATCCAAAGATTCAGGGGACTGCAGCTGAGGGAGCTCCACCGCTTCATACCCGGACAGCTTACGGGCCCAAAAGTCGCAGGCCTCACCTTGTCCGTTCGTTACATATTTGACTGTTTCTGAGAATTGGGGTCTCTCTGACGGAGCCTCACCATTGTACGTAATGGCGAGGTCCTCAAAGAAAAATGGCAAGGAAGCACCATCGTATAGAGAATGGTGCATGACAATGATCAAAAGCATTCCCTCAGGCTGGTTGACCAAAACAGAGCGGATTGGCGGAACCTCAAAAGAAGACTCCTCCTCAAAGGAGAAGAGTGCATTGACCTTGGCGAGGACGTCACAGCCAGATGGCAAACTCAGCTCTTGCCATTCAAGAGGGGGATGTGCGTGCACAGCACCGATCCAGGAAGAGCCAAGCTCCCCTATCAGATGGAATGAAGTACGCAGGATATCATTTCTCTTGATTATTTTTTGGACCGCATCACGCAATCTACCAATATCCACGGAGTTGTTAAGGCGGATAGGATGAGGATTAACGTAAACCTGCCTGGAAGAGGCTAGGGTTTGTGTGATCATGCCAGCCTGTAGAGGTGTACATTCAAACATAGCCTCGACGGAATCATTATAACTTAGGAGACGGACATGCTTCTGATAGACATCGAGAGGAATATTCGCTGTCTCGCTGACATGTTCTCCGTTGGTTGTGGGCTGAGGAAGAGAAGATTGCTCGACGTGTTTAGCTAACGCACCTACGCATGAGAAGCGCATGACGTCAGATGAAGAAGCATTAAGGCCTGATTCACGTAGCTTGCGTGCGAATTGGATGGCTGTAACAGAGTCAATCCCCAAACTCAAGAATGAAGCTCCCTTGGTGACATCTGCCAGACTCAAGCCACAGAAAGAAGCAATGAGCCCTCGAATCTCAGTTTCTGTATTGGACCATGTGGTCTCATCCCATTGGATAGCAGATGAACGTGAGCCAGAATCTTCCATTCGGAGAAGGTTGAAACTATCCAAAGAGACGCTTTCGCCTGATGCCACACTTGCGAGTACAGCATCCATCTTTTCGAGGAACTCCTCTCCATTATACAGAGAGCCGAATGCCGGGGAAAAGAGGCAATTTAGATTGATCGTGTCAGTAGCATGGTTTGCCTCGACTTCAACTGCAAGTGGATATTCAGCAGGCATGTGGCTGTCAAGCTCCTTCCAGAGACTGTATCTTTCTGGCTCAGTGGCCCTGATGTAGGAGAAGAGGCAGTCAAAGAGAGGGGTTTCGGAGTTTATCCAGCGCTGTATGTGTCTCAAGGAAGTATGCTGGTAATCAAGCGACCTAACAGTCGATCTTTGGACAGCTTCAATTACATCTGTAACTGTATCCAACCCGTTCGTGTCAAGACGACTGGGAATTGTAGTAATGCAGGGAAGAAGGACTGAATCTGCTCCTGGCACAGATACAGCGCGACCAGAGAGCACAAGTCCGTACGTTATATCCGAGGCGCCTACTGTATCGGCCAACAGAAGTGCAAATATCGCCTGTATCAAGGAGGGGACCGTTGTTTGGAGACTAGCTGATCGGCGCTCCAAGGCTGACAGTTTGTTACCAAGTTCTTTGTGCGCAGAAGTTGGAAGTTCCATGACACTAGGATCTTCGCGGAAGACTGTTGGGTGGCAACCGGCCAGATACTCAGTCCAGTGTTTCTTTGCCTTTTCTAAGTCTTGACCATAAATATGCTCAATGAACGCGCACGGTAAGCCTCTCTCTGGAACTGGGTGCTCTGCATATTGAGCAGTAACATCATCCATCAACATTGACAAAGACTCCCCATCATAGAGAGCATGGTGGAGGGAGATGAAGAGAGCGAGCGGCTCCTTGGTTTCAGAGCGCTTTGCAATATGGAATCGTACAGGAGGTGTACTGGAGATGTTTGAAATGATGTCTCGAGTGACTTCCTCCTGTTGCAATTTGGACCTCTCGATCGATTCCTCGAGGTTGTCATATTCTCCTTCGGTCCAGCGAAGCTGATTTGAGTCAGGAGAGAAGACTACCTGGACCATTTCCCTATCCAACGGAGCAAAAGCAGTTCTCAAGATCTCATTATCATTGACCACTGTTTGCCACGCTGACTTCAACTGAGCAATATTGACCTTTCCAAGTTGAAGAATAACATGGTTGACATAGAGCTGGCCACCATCGCTATTGATGGAGCGGGCTACTAAGCCCTCTTGAAGGGGCAAACAAGGACGCACAGAAGCAATTTGAGACAGGTCGACTCCAGCAGGGGAGCTTTCTCTGTATTGTGATTCTATGTCAAGAAGCCTCCGGCGTGTATTCGATAACGGATCTTGTTCATTCGACGAGGAGGTATTTCTTGGCAGACGTGCAAGCTGTTCAATAACTGGATTGCTCATGACAAGAGCTACTGTGGCTTGGTATCCGATCTTTCTGAGTTTGATAGAGAGACCTATGGCGCTCAGACTGTCCAGGCCTATCTCAAAGATATTTGTCATTGGACCAATGTTGGAAGGGTCTGTAGATATAACGGTACAGACCTCCTCCGCCACAGCCTCCTCATCAGCGGTTAGAGGTCGACTGACCGCACTGCCATCTTTATTGATCGCATTGTTTCCCTGGAGAACAGTCGCGAGCGGTAAGCTCGTGAATAGAGCATGCAGTTCTTTGAGATTTGCTTTCCCTGACATCGGTGCCTTCGGGATATACGTTATGGGGAGGATAAGCTCAGGAACCATATATGCTGGCAGCTTCTTTTTGAGGGTAACCTGGAGTTCCTTGCCCAAGGTTGCGAAATCAGACTGGACAAAGGTTACGCTCTCATCTGACTGGTGACGACAAGCATCTGACCGTGTGATGAAAGAGATAAGCTGTGCTCTAGCGAGGCCTGGATGTTTGACAACAGTCGTGACAACAGTAATGGGGACGGCCGAGGATGAACGCAGCACTTCAGACACCTCTCCGAGCTCCAACCTTTGCCCCCGGATCTTGGTTTGATCGTCACCACGCCCAAGGTACTCCACCGAATCATCTGGCATCAGGCGACCTATATCACCAGTTCGGTACATTTTCTCGCCATTAGGTCCCGTCACAAATCCAGTGGCATCAGGCCTGTTAAGGTACCCTTTTCCAACAAGATCTCCGCTAAAGACCAGCTCTCCAGTTTGACCTCGGAGAGCATAATTGTCTGTACCGGGGATCATGACATGACAGGCACAGGCAGTCAACGGTGGTCCAATGTTCCGCATGTTTGTCTGCTTCCGAACGTGAGCGAAAGTACAACCAATTGTCACCTCGGTCGGACCATATGCATTTACAAGCGCAATGTGCGAATCGGCCCAAGTATCCAATACTTTCTTGGATATTTTCTCGCCGCCGACGGTCATGTGTTGTAGCTTGGGACAGTCCCCTGGCTGTGTATCTGATTGATCCACCATCGACGGCACGAAGCTTGCATGCGTGATCTCCCATTTTGAAAGTGTTGTCTTTATGTCATTCAAGATCATAGCTCTAGGCGCAGTCGCCGTTGTCATTCCTTGGCGCCAAGGGAAGAACATTTCCAGAAGATGAGGATCAAAGGCTCTACTGGCTTGTGCGAGATACTTGCCAGTGCCGCCCAGAGTCAATGTACCAGGAGCTGCTTTGATGCAGAACTCTCTGAATGACTCGATAAACGATGAAAGATTGCCCCTTGTGACCATGACACCTTTGGGCTTACCAGTCGAACCGGATGTAAAAAGAAGATAGGCGACATCGTCTGGATGAGACTGGTAATCCCGGTCCTCAGCCGGCATTGTTTCCACCAGTTCTTGGAAACCAGAGTCATCGACGCAAATGACACGACATCCTTCAGGTACTCGGGAGAATGACTGCGAGAATTGAGTCTCGGTGAAGACAATGGGGCAATCAGCATCCTCGGTCAAGAATGCTTTCCGTTCATCTGGAAGGCCTTCATCTATCGGAAGATAGCCATTTCCAGACTTGAAAATACCAACGATTATTGGGTATGAAGGAAGGTTTCGTCCGCAGCAAACGCCGATCATTCTGTTCTTGTGCCCTTGGGAGGCAATGTAGGCTGCCACACGGTTCGCCTTTGAGTTGAGCGTCTCGTAGGTCCACGCTTCCTTCACAATTCCCTCTGGAGTTATGTCACTTGCGACTTCAACAGCTGTCCACTCCGGATGCTCGCGGGCATTCTTCTCCAACCAATATGTTGGGCTAGTGTGGACTGAATCCCGAACAGACTCAGGAACAGGTCTATTGGAGATAGATTTCAAGGATGTTGGAAGGTGGTGCACAAGGTCTGCTAATTGTTTGTCGGGAAACGCCAACATAGCAGTGACCAAACCGTCGACCTGACGAACAAAAAGCGACAGCTGCTCTCGGCTCATCACGCGGCTATCCGAAGACGCTTCCAAGACAAGAGCACCGTCTACATGTTGAAAGACATTGAAAGCCATTGGATGTTCCACGTGCAAACCAATTTGGTCTTGAAGCTCCTGCCAGATTTGAGATTGGGCAGTACCCTTGGATTCACTTGCCACATGGAAGTTGAAAACAGCTGGGTATAATGCCTCTCCTCTGGGCCGGTTCAGCATCCTTCGCACGTGACGGGCGTGAATATGACGATGCTTCCAAGACTGTACGGAGATCCGGTGTTGCTCTGCGAGAAATTCACGCGCGCTTCCCTGTGGGTGGAAAGGTATGGGAACAACGGAGATCAATGGGCCAATTCCATCTTCAAGATCTGGGTGCAACACACGGTCGGAGAGAGTTTCAGCGAAAACAGTTGCTGGGATCCCGAGATAGCAAAGTGAGACATAGCCCCATGCTGCTCGTACGATTGAGGCAATAGATGACACTCCGAGCTGTCCTGCAGCCGATTGAAGGGCCGCAACCTTTTCCGTCAATGGAACTTCCTCTGCAATGAGCTTGAACTCTTGTTCAACACCAGGCTCTACCTTTTTGCCAGTGAGGTCAGGCCATACTGGGGTGTCCAGCTCTGAAAACCTCTCTAACTCGGACTGCCAAAAGTTGTGGGTCTCTGCGCTCTTCACTTCATTCGGAAGAACGATGGAAAGCGCATTGCTAAGCTGATGCCTCGAGGGTGGCTTGTACATGTAAGCAGATTGCACATCATCCATAATTAAACTGAGCGAAGGGCCATCGTGGATGGAATGGTGTATCGTAAGAACCATGAGTCTTTCATTACCCTTGTCGAAAACAGTAACAGCCCACGGTGGGTAGCTGAAATAATTGCTTTGATGCTTTGTCATAATCGTCTTAATTCGATGGTCACGCAGCGCCACCCAGTCATCTTCAGTACACTTGTGTTCTTCCCAATCCAAGGACGGCAACTTATAGATTAGCTGCAGGATAGAAAAGTCGAAATTATCATGACAAGTGCTAGCCACCTCAGCCACGGGAATAAAACCTGTTCTTAGTGCCTCCGTCCTTTGGCAAACTGCAAGCCAAGCCTGCTTTAGTCTGTCAAGCGACACTGAGGGGTCAAGCGAGAAGAAATGATTACTCCAGTACATGTCATATGTGCCCATTGTCTCACTGAGCAAGCTTTCCTGAATTGTAGTAGCGCGTACCGTGAAGAACTCTTCTTGTATCCTTTTAGCGGCCAAGACATGCCATGTCACGTTAAACCTCTCCAGGTCAAATGTATCCGACGCGGCATTGGCAGTTTTGGTAGAGGAAGAGGCTAACTTCACCAAATCTTGTACGGTGACACAGTTCAGTACTTCGACAACAGACAGTTGGTAGCCAGCTTCTCTGAGCCTGGACGCAAGGCGGATGGCGCGAATTGAATCGACACCTAGACTTCCAAGTCTACTGACTTTGGTAATAATTGAGGACGAGATGTTGGCCAGTGATGCGATCATATCGATTATCTTTGAAGCTGCAGCGGCGTCTGCTTCATTTTCTGGCTGTTTGGCGGAATCCACATTTTCAGGGTTTAGTTGGCCATCCCAACTGTCGATGTCAATAGCTTCATATGCAGCTTGCAGAGCCCGACGGTCAGTCTTGGCGGATGGCGTTCTTGGAATGTTTTTCACAACCAAGTACACAGACGGGATCATATGATCAGGAAGAACTGAGTGGGCTTTATCACTGGCAGAACGAGCTATCTCAAGTGCCGTACTATTGAGTATCAACAACTGGTCATCTTCGGCAGATGCAGCCGCAGGCGCAGAAAGGAAGGCAACCACCACCTTGGTGGGTCTGTCGGAACGACTGAGGATGAGCGTCTCAATATTCTCAACAGAAGGATGACAGCCGTCAAGGGAGAAACTGATTTCACTGAGCTCAACTCTAATACCACCGAGCTTGACCAGGTCATCGACACGGTTGAGATACTCAAGAGAGCCATCGGCAAGCATGCGCACCAAGTCACCGGTGTAATACAGTATCTGCGAGGCTTCCTCATTCCAAACGTACTTCGCTTTGGTGACATCCTCTTGGTTCAAATAGCCAGGGGAAAGCTGGGGCCCACCCAATGCTAACTCACCAACTGCGTTCTTCATTACCATTCGCTGATTCTTTGTCACGAAAACAGACACAGTATCCATGGGCCAGCCAATGTTTGCGCTTTTGATGTTCTTGTGCTCATTGCCGAACTCCCTGATTGTGGACACAATGGTTACTTCGGCAGGACCGTACGTGTTGAAGGCGCGCATATCAGTGCCCCAGTCATCAGCGACCGGCTGGGTCAGCTTCTCGCCGATCATGGTAATTACCTCAAGCGTTTCACAGCTCTTCCTAGGAACACCTGCTGAAAACGCCGGAGTGAGATGCGCATGAGTAGCCTTGGTGATGTTCGCGAGTTTGGAGAACGAGCCCAACATTATCTCTCTCGTAGCGGAGATGAGAACTCCTCCTAGGCTCCAGGTATAGAAGATATCTTGGATTGACACATCGAAGGTATACTGTGAGAACTGCATGCAGCGAACGACACCACCCTGTACATCAGTGGGAATATCCTTGGCGAGAGATTTCATACAAGAGACAGCGGCAGAATGTCTGATAGGAACACCCTTGGGTGCACCTGTTGTGCCACTGGTCCAGATGAGATACGCCATATCATCGGGGCTTGTCCTTTGTCTAGTACTGGGTCTTCCCACGCCGTTCCACTCGAAAGAATTTGCAGTGAATCGGCTGACATCGATAATATCGACCCCAGCTGGAATGGAGCCTTCGGGTTGATCACCATCAGTACTAGACACGAGAAGAACCTTGGCGCCTGTCCGAGCAATCAAGTCATGGCGACGCTGAGCAGGAGAAAGGGTGTCAATCGGACACCAGGCACCACCTGCTTTTAGAATTCCCAGAATCGCCACATACAAGGCTGGGCTTTTCTCAATACATATGGGAACAGGAGTATCTATTAGCGAACCGGTCACTTGAAGCAGACTCTCAGCAAGGTCATCGGCTATGGCGTTGAGCTCTCCATAGGTCCACGATACATTACGGGGGTTGCTGTCGTCATCCAAATCGCCCTTGAATATTAATGCTGTATCCTCTGGGTGCGACTCTGCATGTTCTTCAAATCGAGTGTGGATTAGTGCGCCCTCTGACACCTCTGGAACAACATTTGATGTTGGATTGAAAGTTGACTTCAGCTCGGCCTGGGTCTGGGATGGAGCATCGAGAAAGTTTCCTTCTGGCGTTTCAAGTATGAATGCCACGATGTCAGCCATTTGTCTCAGCATGACCTCAGCCGATTCAGAGTCAAGCAGAGCATGATTGAAACTGGCACGGAAGGTCAAAGATGAATTGGCTCCAGGCCAAACTTCAATCATTACTGCAAAGTCATTCCCCATTGGTGGGTGGTCTATTGAACTCCAGAGTCCACTGGTACTCGATCCAGCACTGAAGTCCTGATATGCCAGGAGAGTGTCATATGGCAACCGACCATCTCCTGTGACCAGGGACCCCAAGCGCGGTTGTAGGTGAGATAAAGTTTTGGCATTGAAGGATGACAGGTAGCGGGCAACGGATCTATTTGTCCGAGTACCAGTGGCATCCTGTGGGATTAGGTTCATAGCGAGTCGTACGGGGACTGTGGTAAATGTTGGGCCGATACATATTTCGGAGTCGGGATCCAATCGCCCAGACACTACGCTGCCCATCACAACATCTTGGTCCGGGGTTCCAGTGTAGGCCAAGAGTACAGAGCCCCAAGCTGCCTGCAGTACTGAGAGTGGGGTCGCGCCGATAGTTTTAGACTGCTTTTTCAACCTGTCGTAGCTGATGTGTGCGGTGATTTCCACGCAATCAGCCGCTTTCACTGAAGGAGCCCGATAAGGCGTGACAGAAGGAAAGGAAATCGGCGAGTAGTACTCTAAGTGTTTGTTCCAGAAGTCAGAAGTTGCTGTATGGTCAGCGCCAAAGTGATGTTGTACAATATGTTCCAATGATGTTCTGTTAGCCATGACCTTGTTACCGTAAACCAAAGACACGTCCTCAAGAAGTAGTTGCAATGAGCCACCATCAAAGATTCCGTGAAACATGCTCAAGATTATGAGTGTCTTTTGAGGGGTTGTGATTAGCGACAACTTCCATGGAGGCGAGCTCAAGCCAATTGTCTCCTCTGCGGCTCGTAGAGCTTGACTTAGAGTTTCCTTCTCTGAATTGCCTTCAGAGGCGTTGTACACATTCCACTTTGGCTGTGGAACTGCATCAGTAGCTAGGATACATTGTGCGAATGGGGCCATGTCGTCGTCGAGCCAGCAGAAGACAGTCCGGAAGGAGTCATAATTCGCGGTAACGATGTCCCACGCGTTCCGTACACGGTCAAGGTCGACTGTAGCCTCAAGGGGAAGGACGGAGTGATAGATGTATGAGCGAGTATGGAATGACTTATCCGCCGAGCTGCGCAGAAAACTGGTCAACATACCAGATTGAGTGGCCGTTGTTGGTAAGACTTTCTGGATCTGGTCTGGGTTTAGATTGAGCCTCTCCGCACATACAGAGTGATTTCTGCTACTGAACGATGCAAGCCTTTGGCCTAACTGCTCAGCGGAGTTCTTGGCTAGAAAAGCGCCGTTCGAGTCAACACTGTCCGACGTTGAGTGAAGTTTCGCAATGATTGACACCAGCCCCTTGGGTGTTTCAGCTCGCAGCACATCCCCTACAGACAAGCCTTCAATGGAATTGTCTCGCAACTTCTGCAGGAGCCGCATCGCACCGAGACTGTCAATACCTAGTGAGTAAAGATCTGCCCCGGGCTTGATTGCGGTGACGTCTTCATCGGATGTTTCTGCAACAAGGCCAACCACAAGTTGTTGTACTTGTTGTGTGTGTTCATCTGAAGTCTCCCAGCTATCTTGCGCATCAACGGACGTTTCAGGCTTCGGTTTCTGGGTAGTGAATAGTTCCACACTACCCTGCTGGAGCTTGGCAGATATGGCTTTGCGGTCGACCTTCCCAGAGCTAGATCTAGGTAGAGAAGCAAAGAATGCGTATGCCGATGGGCACATGTACGATGCTAGATGCAGCTGTGTTGACTGTTGTGCGGTTCGCACAATTTCGTGTTTTTCTACTTTGGTCGCAGTATCGGCTACCAAGCATGCAAAGATCTGTTCGCTGCCCTGCACATTCATGTCCCTCTTTGACACCACGGCCACAACCTCGGTGATACCGCTCACAGTGGAAAGGACAGACTCTATCTCACCAAGTTCCACGCGGCGACCACTGAGCTTTACCTGATCAGAGGTAATACGACCAAGGAACTCGATAACCTGGGAGCCTGTTTCGTCCCAAACAATGCGTGCCATGTCACCAGTGCGGTAGACATAACCGAAGTCGGGACTATGTACGAAGGACTTTGCAGTTTCTTTCGGACGGTTCAAATAGCCTTTGCTGACTTGCGGTCCTCCTAGCGCTAGCTCTCCAGCGAGCCCGGACGGTACCGGCTTGGGTACATGCGTATTCGGATCCAAAATAAACATTGCACTTGTGGGCAGCGCTTTACCAATGATTGAACCACGAGTAAAACGGTCGACTGGGGCAAGGAAGGTGCAGTTAATTGCACCTTCGGTGGGACCATATGCATTAACCAACATAGTCGAAGGCCCTGAAGTGTCGTCTTGCCCATTGGTTTCCGATTTGCAAGCAAAATTCTCAATGACTGTTCGATTCAACTTTTCACCCATGGTCCAGAGAGACTGGAGAGTTGTCAGGCGTGACGGCCGCAGAAGTGCAGCCAAGCTGGGAGTGGCCATCATCACAGTTGCTCTAGCTTCATTGATGGTCGCTTCCAAGTCTGTCAATGTCAAACTGCGATAAGCAGAACAAAGAGTAGCGCCCCTGCTCAATGTTACAAATATTTCCATGAGCGATGGATCGAATGTGGGAGACGCGAACTGGAACCAACGGAAGTCCCCAATGGAGTCGCCAGGGAGCGGGATAGCTGTAGCATGGGACTCGATGGAGCAGGTAACCGCCAGATGGCTTACCTGAACGCCCTTAGGCTTTCCAGTTGAGCCACTTGTGAACAGAAGATAAGCAGTTTGGCTTTCATTGATATCCAGTTGTTCAAGAGGCTCCGATATAGCTGTTGAGGGGGCCTGGTCCCCTCGCAGCTCTTTCCACTTGGACACTGCCGCGACGTCAACCCATGTATGGGTGGTTATTGCAGAGTCTGTGGCCACCGTACGCCACGGCACAGAGGACGGCTCTGGTGTATTGCCTAGGATAATGGGAGAGCCAATGTCCTGGAGAATCTCCTGGACTCGCTGTGCGGGGGCATCCTGAGGGATCGGTGAAAACGCGCAGCCAGCCTTTAGGACACCGAGATAGGAAATATAAAGTTCAGGGGACGTCGACATATATACAGGGATTATGCGCCCATGGTTGGCCGAGTCATCTTGACTGGACAAAAGAGTTCTGATATGTGTAGCCAAGTTCGAGGCTGCAGTATTAAGAGCGGCGTAAGTTAAAATACTGTGCTCTGCGGGTATTTCCGCAGATGATAAAGAATGTACGAAATCAAGTGCTATGGTATTAGGCTTTCTGAGGGCCCAGCCCTCAAAAGCAGCGTGGAGAAGGGATGGCCTAGAGCTCTCGGCTGCAATGGCCTCATTCGGTTCAGTATTCCGGGATGGGGGTACCATTAGTGGAGGGAAATTAATGATCGAAAGCTCCGGAGGCGATATCTCGAGACTAAGGAATGTAGACGAGTCGGCTAAGTATGAGGCGAGTGTTGTCGACAGTTGGGAGATTGCCATATCCGGAATGAGTTGCGTCGGATAGGTGAAATGGACTTGTAGAACACCGTCATTTGGAGTAGATCTAACATGCAAGCCAAATACCTACAGGCGAGTCAGTTATCTAGGGTAAAAGTATACAAAGTATTCTTGGAGAAGACCGACATTTTCTTGGACGCTAGGTTGTAGCTGGCCATTTTCAGGTCCGACAGTCAATCCTAGGGTCAACGAAAACTGGACTTCATCCTTGTCGTAGTAGCATGCATCTGCTTCGCGCACTTTGCAATGTTCTTGGCTCGTCTGCTGCTCAGCACCATCGGAGCCGAACACGGAGGCGCAAATGACTCCGCACGCTTGTTGTGTGCCTGACACGAAGGGCGAGTGGCGGGATATGAAGAAAGCAACATCCTCGAGTCCGGTGAAGCTAGATATGAAACGCGCGTAGCCCTTGACGATGTCATCGGCGAGGTTCTGAATTTCCGCACTGTAAAATAGCTGGACCGGGAGACTTCTGGCTACCGCCAAGTCGGCGGATCTGTTGACAACGTATGGATCGATCGTGTCCAAGGCTGGAACCTTGGTAACGGGCAGTATTTGATTCATGGATATGGACGAGGTGCTGCTGCTCAAAGAAAGGGTCTTTTCGCAGACTGAGTCCGCGGAGCTTCCGTACCCCTCATCACTCGTGATTTTGCCTGCCATTGCTTCAGTGGTGCGGGGTCAAGTGCGGCTACTCACCGGCGAACTCAGTGAAAACTTGTCTTGCTTCTTCAGCAAGAGTTTACACCTGCGCGTGTACAAATGAAGGGAAAACCACAGCTCGTCAGGAGAGCTTTGAAGGATTATCGCTCAAGATATTCCTGCAACTGCAGCTAAAATGCCACATTCTGCAGCAAATTCAGGAACCAACGTACGGCGTCATCCGTGGGAATCCAAGTGGTCACAAATGCAGCTTATTGGGCAGAACATGACGAAGTGGGGGTTACTCAACGAGCCTGCTGCGGTAATAACAATCGTATTGATTATGATGTGCAGGATTTGCAAAACGGTTTGACACCACACTGCGCGGATGACGCGCCAATCACTTCCCCGATTCTGTTACCGTCGGTCGCAAAGTGGGGGGGCGAATTAGTCACTTTTCTCCGGTCATCGGCCAAGTTATCTGATTAGATCATCTGATTAGATTCATACCGTTTTAGCTAGTATTGTATCAGCCATACTGTATTAGTGACCGTACTAAGAACCGAAAAATACTTTCATCGAATCGTATTCGATCACAATACCTCATTCGGTGACTGCGGTCAGGGTCTTGAGTTGAAGCCTAATCCTGAGCAATATGTGCACTTAGATCTATCGATCATCCTTGAGGATTCTGCATGTGCTACTCTAGGGCTTGCGTTTCCTATAGGCTAGAGTCAGTTATGCAGCAGAAGCTTTTCCTGGGCTATAAATCAGCCGACGCTCCCAGGGGGTGTTGGGCGGTAGCCGACAAGGCTCTGAGATTCTAAACCCTAGTTATCGTATGTGTCTGAATATTCTCAACAGCATGCTGTGACAGGAGTAGTAAATAGATGCTTCACGTAATGATGCAGTTCATTGGTAAGGTATCGGCCTTTATACGTGAAGTAGCCCTACCATACATCAGAGTCTTCAGCACCAACGATTGATTGGTAATGTAGACCCTCACAATTAAAACCTAGGTACTTTTATCACCTGGTGTTGGTGTTCCAAGGTATCCGTCAAGGATGGTTCATGTCCCATATACTTTCCCTCAGGCCCTTTCGAGCTATGCGTTCCAGGATGGCAATTGATAATAATAGCTAACCGGTTCAAAATGGGATGCTTGACCCCGCTAGGGACCACCCCCTCCATAAGACAGAGACATGGCCGATCCCTGCAGATTAGAGTAACTAATGCCGAACCCAAGATGACCCTGGAAGTATCCGATATTGCTTTCTTCGACCAATATAGGCAACAGCGGGTATATCCGTCTTGAAATTCATGGCATCTCCCTACTTCTTTGACTCTCAGTCAATTGTCCCTTGATGCCTCGCTTAGTCTTCGTGACTATTTCTCTCCTTCGTTCGTTTATTTAACTTTCATATTGACGAGGGATGAGAGAAAAGCCGGCAAAGAAGCCAATAACCGAGCGTACTAAGGTCTTGTCCTTCCTTGGCTAACTTGGCAGATTCCTGGACTTTGATGAGACGGAACTATCAAATATATCTGTTCCGATCAATATGCAGACTGTGTATGCCGTCTATGCCGAGACATTTTGGAGGGCTTTGCCAAGCATTACTAACCTGAAGTAGTTTTTTTTTTCTCTTTTTTTGCTCAATAACCAACGGCCACTTTAGCAATATATGTTCATCTAATCTGATAAGACAGTCCCCTCCACCTTGTCTTGCAATCTAGCCACGTTTCACAATGAGTCAGATGCTCAATTTTTTGGAATTCCATGTGAGAAAAATTTAATAATGAAGACTGAGTCATGCATACAGAGTTGTGCTTCGTGAAGGGTTCGGAACCTATAATAGAAATTTCCGAGCTCAGTCCACAGCCGTTATCTGATCTTATCCCCACCGATAAATTGAAAATGTGAGATATGTTGAACCACACGGATTGGCCACAGCCGACTCTCCACTAGTCTGTCGGACTGGTCCGCTTGGTGGCGGAGGCAGGAACGCTAAGGCTGAGACCAGGAATGTTTTTCTTCTTCCAGTTCTCCAAGGCATGTGGTAATACTTTAGGTGACATCCCGGTTTAAAAACGTAAGATCTAGCTCTTGGAACAACGTTGCTGATTGGATTGGGTCCCGGGTGGGTAACCATGAGGAATGGAGCGAGCTATATACTAAGTTAGTACATGCTCCGTTGCTACTTTCAGTACCGAGTGCCGAGAGATGAAAAGAGGCGTTTGATGGAACGCCCAGAAGGATCCAGACAACTAGATCCCGAGGTCAATTGAAGCCTAGAATTCGCGCTTATAACATAGTATTTATGAACCGGCATATTCCCCGACCCAGTTCTTTCGTAGAAACCTTTAGTCTGTGGTCCGGTTCCTTCGACACCAGAAACACCCTCGAGATGGCAGCTACACGGCGTCTGCAACAGACTTTGTCACATATTCAGCCGCCCAGGGTGACTGAACAGCTTTCAATTGTTTACGGCCCTACACAACCTCCCCTGCTAGACATCACTCTCGGAGAGTTACTTGCATTACAGAGCCTTCAATATGGAGAACATGAGTGCCTAGTGTTCCCTTGGACAGGAACACGATGGACATATTCTGACCTGAACGATGAGGCCGACAGATTGGCCCGAGGCCTATTGGCTATGGGTATCCACAAAGGTGATCGTATAGGAATTATGGCTGGCAATTGTGAACAGTACATCTCTGTTTTCTTTGCGGCAGCACGGGCCGGGGCTATTCTAGTGGTGCTTAACAATACTTACACACCGTCGGAGCTCTACTACGCTCTGGAACACACAGGTAGCTGCGCTTTCATCCATTATTATTTAACTTCCATACTGAGAGTTTATCTTGATATCTAGATTGCCGATTGTTGTTTATGACGCCTCACATTGGTCGCCACAATTTAGAGGAGGTCCTGTCAAAGATGGGCCCTCATCCCAAGCGGAAAGGATCATCCGCTGCATTGGAAGAGATCGTCATTTTGCGGGGTGAACACTCTGATTTCCCAACATACAACAGCGTCATCGAAAGAGGATCATCGATTTCTAGAAATGCCTTGCTGGATCGACAAGCACAATTGGGAACCGATGATGTCTGCAACCTACAGTTCACCAGTGGTTCAACCGGAAACCCTAAGGCTGCCATGTTGACCCATCAGTATGTGTGCCCCTCACATATAATGTTCCATGCAGCGTCGATCCCTACATATAGGTAGTCATGATTTGTATGGTACTAATGCTATTGTGTTCTTCCAGCAATCTGGTCAACAACTCCCGCTTTATCGGAGACCGAATGGACCTCACTTCCTTCGATATACTTTGCTGCCCTCCACCCCTGTTCCATTGCTTCGGACTCGTCCTTGGAATGTTAGCTGTTGTCACACATGGAGCAAAGATCGTCTTCCCCAGCGAAACGTTCGACCCGAAAGCAGTTCTCCACGCGATCTCCGATGAAAAATGTACTGCCCTCCACGGTGTCCCGACAATGTTTGAAGCCATCCTGAGCCTCCCCAAACCCCCGAACTTTGACACACGCAATCTACGCACCGGAATCATTGCCGGTGCCCCTGTTCCTCGCCCGTTGATGAAAAGGCTGTTCGAAGAATTGAATATGACACAGTATACTAGCAGCTACGGTGGGTGTTGGAACCATACTACCCCTACATATATATATATATATATATATACGAGTCGAACTAACCTATACGTCTGTATTCATAGGTCTGACGGAAGCCTCACCAACATGTTTCAACGCAGTTACGACAGACACTATCGAAACCCGATTGAGAACAGTGGGCAAGGTGATGCCGCATGCGAAAGCAAAGATCATCGACGCGGAAGGCCACATCGTCCCGGTCGGTCAACGAGGAGAACTATGCATCGCAGGCTACCAATTAACCAAAGGATACTGGAATAACCCCGACAAGACGGCCGAAACGCTTACGATCGACGCCGACGGCACCACGTGGCTGAAGACAGGAGATGAGGCCATATTCGATGCCCAAGGGCGCTGTACGATTACCGGACGGTTCAAAGACATCATCATACGCGGTATGTGAGCTACGTTCCGCAAAACACCCCCCCTACAATACAGTAGCCGTTATGACTGACCAGGTTACGTCTTTTACAAAACAGGCGGAGAAAACATCTACCCGTTAGAAATCGAGGAGCGATTAGCAAGCCACACAGCCATCGAGGTTGCATCGGTGATCGGCATTCCTGACCACAAGTACGGTGAGGTGGTTGGGGCCTTCATCGCTCTGGCTCCGGGTTACGAGGACAAGCGACCATCGGACGAGGAGCTGCGGGTCTGGACACGCGAGAAATTGGGCCGGCATAAGGCTCCGCAGTATGTGTTCGTGTTTGGCGAAGAGGGTGTGGATCGAACAATCCCAATCACGGGTAGTGGAAAAGTTCGGAAGGTGGATTTGCGGAAGACAGCGGCACAGGTTCTGGAGCAGCGTGCGAAAGCGAATTGAATAACGCACTTACGCCGCACTTTTTTGCCCATTGAAATGAATATACAGCTGTACATAGCTAGATGAATACCCTAGGAGCAATTGATTTTTCGTCTATAGACTATAACATATGGCCATATTCAAGAGACTAGACACACCCAACAGCACCACCAATACTGTGATTTCAGATTGGAATTCATCCGTAGCAAAAGCCTGAAACAGGAAACAAAAATAAATCGGAGGAACTAAGGAGGAATTGCCCAATCAAACAATCAGAAGCCCCGCTCGAACCTCCGAGCGTGGCGGTCCATAAATTGACTTTCCAGGATTGAAATTAGGAGGGAAGATCGGGTAAAAAAAAATAAAAATAATAAGGAAGAAAAGGAAAAGGCAAGAAGAGAAAGGAATATTTGCTGATAGTGGGGGTAGGGAGGCGGGGGCATTTTCAATGGGCGTACCAATGATAACAATTTAAGTGCATCAGATTAGACAATCATCTAATCTGATGGAATTGCGCCAAGAAAGTTTCATTAGGGCACCGAGTAGGATATTTTCTTACGCGATACATGACGCTGGACCACCCCCACTTGGGCTTCATTTTCTTCATGCAGGAGAAAATTTAAACTCCGGTCTCGGCTATTTATTTAATCTCTTACATAAGTGTGACAAATGATCGTGCCTTGGATTTTATTCCTCAGAGTCACAATAAAGTCTGGGTATCACGGATCAGATAATTTTTATTGAGCTGTGGAGATCTTAGCTTGTTTGGGTTCGTTTATGGTACGCAGTACAAAGAAGTGGCTTGCGAACAGGGAAACGGGGGGAGAGAGTTAGACAACAAAAAAAAAAAAAAAGGGCCGCCAAGAATATTACGATATGCTCCACTTTGTCCAAGTATTAGAAACAAAAGCCCAGTAAACGATTCAATGCCCTTTACAGAGTACTCAGACCGCAGCAAGCAAAATTACAAGGTAGCCTTACTACAGATATACCGATACATGAGCTCAAGTAATAAATGAAGGACGTATGCACAGAAATGTACCAAGATATCTGGGTAGGCACTCAACATTACAGCTCAAAACGCGGAACGAGACCATGCCACAGCTTATCTGAGACGTTCAACCTGGAGAGATAACTATGAACAAAATTTCCCCCCAGCAGTTCACCTACAAAAGCGCCTAAATTAAAGCCAGACGCATAGTTATAGTCCAATTTCGTGGACTTCAGCTACATGGGCTCTCCAACGACGTACCTTATCTAGAGGTTATACAAGAGCATGCAGTGCACGATGCATAGATACTGATGTTGCTCGGTAACTTATCTCCTATTTTAGCATCTAGGAACGTTAAGGCCAGCCTGGTAATAGTCAAATTATTATAGAGACGGTTTATGGATACGATGCAATGGCTAGATAGCAGAGCTTATACTAAACTGTGATGTAACGCTTGGGCATGGTTGCCCTTAGGGCAATTCTCGGAAGACGGATAGATTGAACGCTTGAATATGAACATTGGGAAATTCAGTAGTTATGTTTTCTAAGCAGGATGTAGCGGATATATGGAAACTCACATAGTCACAGTTTATAACGAAACTTCTGCCTTTGTCAGAGTGTGCTACGGTAAACGACCAACAGATTGGCGAAATTAAGAAGCTAACAGGAGTCATCTCAACAGTACAGGGAAATAAATGTTTTGTTTGCCGATTAACTTGCATCTTCTTTCTAAGTAGCTCCATCCCATTTCTAACAATGCACAGAAGATGTCGAACTCATCTTGCAGTATAAAAGGGCATATATGTTACTACTTTCAACTCCTGCAGTTGGTTCATGATCTCAATCTACATGTAGCAGGTTTCCAGACGTCTGCTAGTTCTTGTAATGCGGCCAAATTCCCTCTTCTCTGCATTTATAAATGGAATTGGATATAGTGCTTCTGTGAGAAGGACCGCGTCGCGGGAACGTTTCTAGAGACAGGGCTCCCTCATCTGCCTGAAGGGAGCGTCACACCTGAAATTATCCGAGTTGACTCTGTCTGGGATAGCTTGGTACCCTTACGCTATTGTGTATGATTGGGAAAGATGCACCTGGGGGCTTTCGAGGTTAGGGAAGACCTCATTTTTACTTGGATAGAAACGGGAGCCCGATGAAGCTTCATTACAGATGAAAAGACTTAGCAGCTCACAGAGACAATTAGAAAGATATATATAGCTCTCTCGACTACCCCAAGGGTCTAGACTCTGAGGACATCGCGATCCCTGCAGGGACATTCAATCTGCATGAACCCTTTTGCTTCCACACTCTCGGAAACGTCGACCGACACACCTGCAATTGTCCGGCACTCCTTCAGTGCTCTAGAGTATGCACCTAGCTCTAGTCTCTATGCATAGTTTGTAAGATGTTGATGATCATTTTCTACAAAAAAGAGAATATTGTATCAAGAAGGTATGCAAAACGATACTATCAAGCAACAACGTATGGTATGTATCGAGTGTATGGTAACATTGGCCAAGGTGATGTATTTCGTGAACGATACAGCTTTCAGTACATCACACTAGTCTTCTTACAGCAGCAGTCCCACCTCGACAAAGAAAATTTCTTTCCAACATATTGAACGGTGTCCCACACACTAGTTTTGCTTGTAGATCGGAATTTGTTGTAAATGGCGCAATCCGTTTGTATCCGGAGCGACACAGAGAGCTTTTTGAGCTTCGACATAGCGAGAAGTGGGTTCTTGTTCTTGGTATACTCCGTACGGTAGGTAGATCAAGAACAAATATTCAACACAACGCAACCTTTTAATTTGGTAGAAGCCGATATCGCCAGGTTTGACCTTGTTTTTCATGTTGATGTTGTTAGTGATCTCGGTTTTCTTGATGGATGGTGGGATATAATTCATGGTCATGGGGGTAGGTTGTTGGTCATCTGAAGGGACTAGTTTGCGTCACGTAATGCAACATACTCATGGAGATAATCCCACGTGCACAGAGATGATCATCCCATCTCACATATGTCGAGCACGGGGTGTGCGAATTACAAGGATGGCGATCGAGGGGGGAGACCATTTCCAACGAATATTAAAGGGCTTTAAGAGCAACCACAGTAGTAATGAATTTTTGAGTATGCATCAACTCTATCTCTGTACATGAACAGCCCATGAGGCAAGGTTCTTGCTAGTCAGCGCATATAGCTCGAAGACAAGGAGAAACTTTCTACTCCTTCGGTTTCAAAACTCGAATTCCTTGGTGCTCCACCATTGTGGCATCGAGGAAGTACACTGGGTAGCGTAGACCCTAGAAGCACGATCCCAAGATTCCCAAGATCAGATAACCTTAGACTTTAGGTGAGACTCTCGGCGGGACAAAGGAATAGAAAAGCTGGTTGCGATGGAGGGTGAATTTCGGATCAGATAACTGTAACTGTGTCTGGAACGGGCGGGTCGTCCACGAACATTGCGGAGCTTCCGTTTCAGTCAAATGCCTCTTTGGCTTGGATATCCTGCGTTTGTTTCTTAAGGGGAAAAAATAATAAAAAATAATCTAACTCCACTCTTCTCACCGAGTTTCTCTTATGCAATCAAACCCGCCATGGATTCACGTGCCCTTTCCTGAGCCGGGATCTGATAAGATACGAGAAACTTTACTTGGCGCGGGTGATGGCAGTATCCGGAATGGTGAGACAATCTGATTAGACATCGGCAATGCCTAGTTATACTTCCCATTTTCAGCAATACCCCATTATCGATACGTCTCCCCCTCATGAAGGTCAAATTTAGAGAAAGAACCATTATTTTCCCGCCAGTATGCCAACATGCATAGTAGCGCCTACGAAATAGCATACCACTACTCTACTATTCTGAACCTCTCGGAACAATGAATCCATTTGTAGTCGTCTAATATAGAAGGCCTCCATTAGCTCCACTGTTCCGGAGTTCTTGATCCTTGGCTTCGGATCCATTTCGCCAATGTAGGCGCAGCACGCCTCCGGTCATTACCGCTGACTTTAAAAGAAAGAATCCCCGTTTTCCACGCTCCTTCGGCCCTCCACTGAATATCATCATTGCTTCCCTGGTCGCCGTCATCTCCTCTCTCCAGATATATTCCTTGGTTCATTAATATACCCCGTAGACCATCGCTACAATGCCCTCCAACGAAGCCCTTACCCCTCTTCTGCGCCAGTTCCGCGTCTTGATTGCCGGTGGCTCGTACGGCGGACTGAGCGCAGCTCTTGCACTGCTTGACCTTTCCAAGGGTCGTCTTGCTCGCTTCAACTTCACAGAGGGCGCGAAGCCCCCTCAGTACCAAATCCCAATCCAGATCACCGTTGTAGACGAAAGAGATGGATTTTGTCAGTATCCCTCCTTTCGCTACTAGAATACTGTTCCTGATATTTGTGATATGTTCCTTTAGATCACCTAATTGGTTCTCCAAAAGCATTGGCATGCGATAAGTTTGCCGCGAAGACATGGACACGGTTCTGTGACATTCCCGCATTGAGGTCTCCAAATCTACAGATCGTCCGCGGTAGCGTGAATACCGTGGATTTCCAGAATAAGGTCGCCCAGATCCTTGACCTCGAGACTAAGGAAACAAGACAAGAGAAGTATGACTTCTTCATTGCGGGCACGGGTCTCCGTCGTGTTTTTCCGACTGTTCCGCAGTCGTTGAAGAGGGAAGAGTTTTTGAAGGAAGTGTTGAGTCATAAGGAGGCCATTCGGAATGCGGATGATGGTGTTGTGGTCATTGGAGGAGGTAATTATGTCTTTATCATTTGTTAGAAGAGCTATGGCTAACTGTGGGTATTCTCAGGCGCTGTCGGCGTTGAAATGGCAGCTGAGTTGAAGGAGCTAGATCCTCAACAGAAGGTTACGCTTGTGCATTCTCGGGATCGTCTGCTTTCCGCGGAGCCCTTGCCAGATGAGTTTGCGGAGCGCGTCGTCTCCGAGCTCAAAGAGCAGGGTGTTGAGGTCATTCTGGGTCAAAGGGTTATTGATACCGCAGCAGTAGAGGAAGAGCAAGGGAGGCGTACATGGAATCTGACCTTGGCCAACGGAACAATACTCAAAGCCGGTCATGTTATGAATGCAGTTTCGAAAAGCTCGCCTACCTCATCGTATCTGCCCAAGGATGCCTTGACTGAAGATGGCTACGTTAAGATTCTCCCAAAGTATGTTGCCTCATACCCCTGTTTCTGGGTTCGGATGGTTTATGGAAACTAACCTTGTGACAGTCTGCAATTCGCCAACCCGGTGCCTAACGCAGAGTCCCACTTCGCCGTTGGTGATATTGTTCAGTGGGCTGGCATCAAGCGTTGTGGAGGCGCCATACATATGGGCCACTATGCAGGAACTAACATCCATCAACTTATGCTAGCAGAAGCTACTAAGACCAAACCTGAGTTCATGAACCTCATCAAGTACCCACCCGTGATAGGGTTGGCCTTGGGACATACGGCCGTGTCGTATACCCCTGACGAGGGAACTAAGCATGGCAAGGAGCTTCTTGGAACTCTGTTTGGCGAGGATATGGGCTACAGTAGTAAGTTAACTCCATAAGAGACCGAACTGTCGTTGATTTGACATGGACAATGACTAACATTACACAGTTTGTTGGAGCTACATGAAGATGTCCGAGCCATGCCAGGCGTGATTTGAGATTTTAAACAGTACTTGTTTCTATATCCATTCTAGGTTCGCCTATCCATTACCGAGCTGGAATCTGGAGTTGGATAGGCGATTGTCATCTTTGATTCCCTTTTCATGTTTTGTCTCTTTTTTTTGTTTACCTTTTTTCATTATATAAGTCCGTTTAACCCAAAGGGGTAAAATGACTTACGAGCCATTGGCGCTGTGGCTCTGAAAACTACATGTTTTATTTAATCATGCAATGAATAATCAAGACTTGTTGTCTCTGTGCATTCGTGAACATTATTAATGCACCCTTGGATTTCAAAAATACTAGAACATAACAACCGACGCCAGATACATGATAAAATATTCATTACCGTTAATTGTCAGCAAGAGCTTCTCTCCGCGACTTAGACTGAGTATCCAAATAAGGGGCCTCGCCCAAACTGCAGACTCGGTCACCAGCCCGAGCTTCCTCATAGTCGTATGTCGCGCAGTGCCAAGTTGACCTGTTATCCCAAATTGCCATGTCGTTCTTGTTCCACTTGAACCGAATCTGGGCGTCATGGTTTTGCGTGACAAGCTAAATGTCCTCAGTACATATATTCAAGACTTTGGCTTATCCATCCATAGACTCACGTTGAATAGATATTGCAATAGCATATCAGACTCATCTTTGGTTACCCCGTTGATACGACGAGTAAATCCCTTGTTCACATACACTGACTTCCATCCGGTAACCGCTATCGCAATGTCAGTCATCCTAGATTCCAAACGGAGGGAAGGGAGAGAGAGAGAGGAGGAAAAAAAAAACATACGATTAGTCCGCACAACCGGATGAACAGCCGTAAGCTCCTCGCCATGATTAAGAGGCGAACCCCGGATACCCTTTCGCAGAGGGTTCCCCAATCTCCGCGCCTCATCATGGAAGAACGTAGCATCGTGCGTCGCCGTTAGCCCTTCCAGAAACTCCGCCATTTGCGGCGAGAGACGATCGTAGATCTCATAGCCTGAGGCCCAGAGCGTGTCGCCGCCTGTCTCGGGGAGAGTGTGAATCTTCAGCATCGCATAGTCGGATGGTACTCGCTCGAAACTGATGTCAGTGTGCCATCCTACTGAAGCGAATCGGCTCGTGTCGCTAAGCTGATGTGTCAGGCCGCCTCCTTTCTTCTGCTTCTCGCTGCTGATGACGCTGATCTGGTCGCCCAGTTCGCTTCCTTCTTCTGTCAGTGGGTGGACGTGTAAGGCTGATGATTCGGGCTGGTTTGTTTCGTTAGTGAGTCTTTGTGGAGAGTATGGGTCGGGGCGTTTGGTTGGGGGGCAGCTCACGCATCCTGCAAGGACTGACAACTTTTCACCAAACTGGCGCATTTCTTGTGGAGTTAGGTCTTGATTGCGGAGGAAGACTACGCCTCGTCTGGAGACTGGGGATTGTTAGAATAGTGAATCGACATGGTCGTGAGATGATATATGTCTACTCACTCGTAGCAGCAAGGTCTTTGATTATCCGGTCGCATTCTTCTGACTTCAAGATCTCGGCAACTTGAACACCATAATACTCTCTCCCGATAACGGGCGTGAGGTCATTATGGGTATATGCGTCTAGAGTGCCGGTATATTCCAACGGCTGGGAGATCCGCGGACGAGATTGCTCATTGCCTCCCCGGATCGTAGCGGGAGTCGCGTTATCGACAGCGGTAGGCATGATGGAATGAAGCTTCTCTCCAATTTATATAGAGAATAGGTATCCCAAAAAAAAAAAAAAAAAAAAAAAAAAAAAAAAAAAAAAAAAAAAAAAAAAAAAAAAAAAAAAAAAAAAAAAAATCCACAGCGCGTGAAGTGTCGATTCCTGGATTTAAATCGCAAGAAATGGAGACGGTATGTACAACCACCCCCTGCCGACAGGGAATCACACCATTTCTATATATCTTCCCATCTGTGACAAAATATCGCAAGCGATAGCTTTATCCCCACATCATCTCGTGTGGACGTTTCACTATCCTTGAATCCGATTGTTCCACATAGCGATCAGCCACCAAAAGCCACGGCTTTGCCCCTCCTCTAGATTGTTCGTGCAGATATTCCATTGGTGTGAAAAGAAGCTTGGCCACGAGTCGTTTGGCACCCCCGCATTTATTCGCGTTCGAGATGGAAGAATTGCAGGCGATCATTGGCTAGTGTCGGTGAAATTCTCGGAGGGCTCGTCTTGTCGTTCAAACGATGGTGTGCTTGTAGGTTTCCGTGGTGCAATTGATTCAATCGTCTAGCCTGTTTTGGTCTTAATCTCCCCGACGGCAGTTACGAATTTACTACGATTGTATAAGACCACGACTGATTGTTGACGTGTTCTCGCTTCGAGCATGAGAAAGAGAAAGCGTGGGACTTGCTGAAGAATCTCTACAGGTGATGATGCAATCTTTATTTTGTCCCTGCAGAAATCATTATATACGTACGAAGTACTACATTGTCTGTATGTTGTCCGGCTAAGTGTTTGCCCGGCAGCCATGTATGTACAGTAATTGTCAGGCAGTTTCAAGTTCACCATGTTCCATCATTCTTGAGCTATAGTCATGATTAACATTAAAGCGCATTACAACATAAACATCTCTCTAGCCAAAATCAAGATGACCATTCCAAGCGGGAATAGACGCATGGCCGTGGACGGTGCCATGGTACCATCCGCCCCGGAGGTGCCAACCCACGCATTATAATTCTGAAATCCCTTCTCCTCGCTAGGACACTCGGACGTGATATGCTCTCCAGAGATACTGGCTATCTCCTTATCGCCTCGCGATATGCTCACCTTCACTTCCCCGGACTGGGTAAATGGCACACTGCCATGGTAGATACCCTTTCCGTCCTTGGGGGTGTTATCCCAGCTCCCTGTCACTTTGGTTTTTCCGATAGTGATCGTAACATCCGCCGTGGAGTTGAGAAGCGCTGAGTACATAATGCGATCGTGAACAATCTCCGACGGCTTGTACTCGGCCTGGCCCTGAGTCTCGGAGTTTCCGGTAGTGCCGCCGGTGGTGCATGCCGATGCAGGATGCAGGCGATACCAGGTCACGACATTCTCTTCCTTGATGGGAATTGTCGAGTTCGGATTCTTATATTGATCAACGACGTACGGCAAGAATGTGCGCCAGCCATCGTGGGGCATATTCTTTGCATAGTTGAAGGGGGCCTCCCCGCGGTTAAAGGCCTCATAGCTATCATCATGCAGTGGACCAATATAATGAGACTCGCCGTAGTCATTCCAAGATATGATCTGAACGAATTCCGGTTGGAAGGAAATGACCTCCTCCCAGCGATCATACCATAAATTATCACCGGCCCATACCCAATTCTTCCCAAAGCCGGGCATGTTGGTGTAGAACCAGGGCGAGACAGGCATCATGTATGGGCGGCCATCCAACGCATGTCTGTATGCATCATCGGCTGAGGTGTTCATGCGGGTAGGCCCATTGGGCCAGGCGGCCCAGCTGAACAACCCATCCACATAGCTTTTGTTGGCGGCCGCTTCGGGACCGATTGACGAGAAGTCAGGGATGAAGAAGGAGTCGGTTTGTTTCTTGATATCGGGCCAGTCTTTGGATGTTGCGCCCTCGAAGGTGGACATGAATGGCTTGGAGTCGTACTTGTAGTAGGCTGGGCGGTCTTTATACTGGTTCATAAGATCGATTGTGTCTTGCTTCGGCCAGGATCCGTTGCCAGCATAATCGAACGAGAAGAAGAGTTTGAAGTCGAGTTCATCGGCTTGGTCGAATGCTTTATCAAGGGTCGCGGGGAGCATCTCGTTGTGGGCCATGTTCAGCGCAAACCCATCGATGTGGGCGTTTTGGGCCAGTTGAATGTCATTCTTCCACTCTTTATCTGAGAACTCGGCACTATTGCCCACCTAGTAGAAGATCAAACATGTTATTTGGGTGTATCCTAGGCGGGGTGAAGGGATTTTTTGAGTACCATGAAGTGGGCAAAGACTGCCTTTGCCTGGGCTTGGGCGCTGCACCATGACAGGAAAGCTAGAGTGTAAAGCCGCTGCATGGTGGCTGGAGGGAACTTTAACCGATGCGAGCAAAGGGGCCGTGACTTTCTCATAACAATATGGCGCAAAGACAGTATTAAATATCGCGAGATTTCGAGGTGGTGTTTGTATTCGCAACAGGATGAGGGCTCATATTGAGATGATCACTACCGTGTCTGGCCAGATTTTTACTGGATCAATACCACTAGTTATCCAGCTGAACTGGAGTTACCATTAGCTTCAGGGTTCAGGGTCTCGCCTGCTATTATCGGTTAGTCGCTGGCCCTAATTTTGGAACTAGGCCAATAGCTAACAACCATAGCAGGGCGGTGGAAACGAAATGTTTCCCAACATACATTCGTTGTATTTGGCGTCTCAGTGCTTTGACGGATATCTTTAGCTTTATTGTATGCACGTAGCAGGAGACTTCAATAGTTCATGTATGGGGGGAGAGGTCTGAATGTGACTTTAAATGTGGTTTTCCACAGCTCACACTCAACCTGTCATATTTGTGATATATCCAATCAACAGTTCGTGAACTGCAGCAGCACACAATCAGAGCTCGAGTTTTATGGCGACTCTCAAGCCACTTTGGGCAGCATATCGATAGGAAGTCAATTAAGCCTGTTGACGTGTATTCTATCATTGGAGGCGCGATAGAGTTTTTTTGGATGACTATGGATGTCTCTAGACCTACTCCGTACTTCGTAACAGCTAGGCATTGATACTAAATGCTCAGGTCAGCATAAGGTCGCCTCAAATCCGGCAAGCTATTCGTTCAGGTAGGCTTTAAATACTAATGTAGGTACATACCTAATAAATTCATACCTTGCGTTGCCAATCCTGCGACTCATCGACTGCCAAGCGCTTCCATACATTGTCTTACAGCGATTACTCTGAGCTACATATTGGATTTAGACTCAAATCGCCTTCTATGCGACATGCGATTCTGAGTTGTGCAAAGTGTCGCTAGTCGTAACGTAAGATGCTCTACTGTAGGGGGGGATACTGCGAGAAATCTTCCTAGGCACACTGTGTAGCAAGAAAAGATGAACCCTTGGTAACAAGAAAATGATGGAATTAAAGTGGAGCTTCACACGCCTACTGCCGCTCGTTGCCGAAGCTCCCGGAGACAGTAAGCCGGTAGATGCAGGCAGCATGGTTGTTATTAACATCGACTGCAGCAACAGCAAAAAAAGATCAGTAAGGAAAACGCACTGGAAACTCTAAAGACTCTCTGCCGGCTCAAAGGGACAGTTGCTGCAGGGCAACACAGAAGATGATCCAAGATAGCGTCGTTTCTGTGGTCAAGGTAGTATCGTATGTCGACGATAACTGTGGGGCAGTCAACTTCAGCGACCGGGTCTGTACGGAAGGCTGTGTGGTTTCAGTCCTAATATAGAAATCACTTGAAGTATACCCAACTGCGGTGAAAGCAAGCAGTGAGAAAGTAGTCCATGCCAACTTAGCTCCTTGAGGATGAACTGTTTTAAAAGTTCTTCCATACATATTATCGCCCACCCATGGTACAGTTGTCTTGGCGTCTAGGAAGCAAACTAGTCTATGGTCAACTGAGTAGACGATACTGAGACATGCTGGATCTGGCGTTATCTCTGGGTTGCTCAACCGGCGTAGCACGGTACCGATTGGGTAAATGGTCTGCCCGAGGACAAGAATGTTTGGTGAGGCAACGTTTCCAATGCCGAGAATATACAATCTTGCCGACCGTGAGATGACTTGTACGTACCACCCCATTGGTCTTGGTACCTTAGTATTATCTTTATTATCTAGATATCGATTAGCGTAATGGCGCGGACTTTATCCGGAGCGCAATCTCTGATTCAAGTGGTCAGATATGCTATTCCTATTCAATCTGTTCCCTCTCCGTGTGCCGATGGCCTCGTAGCTCCATAGTCGTATCAATTACTAGTGGCGTTACTGCGGCCTGAGGAGTTATGTTCGGATTCGCCGATAGCATTGATGTTACGTCCAAGGCCTCACATCGTTTTCGATACGACTAGAGCCCCAATACAAGGGTGGATATCCGTCGTATTAGAAGGAATTAAGCCCACCTGGTGAAGTGAAGCATCCAGTCTCTTCTGTGGCCGCACATCCTTGGGCCAAAAATATATCAATCTCAAGGTAACCGGTACGAGAACCCTAAAGATGACACTAGACCACGTGCTCAGAGCGGGACCATATCACTAACACATGTCCAGTCAGCTCTTCCCAAGAGTGAAACCGCGCTCTGCTTCATGTTTGACAACTCACTCGCTAAATTTAGTTTTGGAGGGGTGAATTCGTATTGGCGCTATTCGGAATGTCGCAAAGCCTAGCATAGTTACATACTAGCCATGTAGCTTCGGGCGAAGGACAATAACGCCATCGAGTTCGCCACGTCGCGGTTGAGTATTGCAGTTACTAGTGCCCTCCCTCTATGCACATTGTGCAAGAAATTTGACCATGTTTGAGCCTTTCCCTTCACCCTGAGGTGAAAAGGATTCGGTGAAGGCTTCCCAAGTCACTTATAATGGTTTGCGGTGGTTCAAGACCTGCCCTAGGACGCATGCGACACAAAATTGTCTCAATCACTTTAGTAGTATCCTCGACCAGGTGGGTTTACCACTGTCCTTACAACAGTAGTGCCTAGGCATCTTGGATCGGCCAAACCAAAGAACACTGCGAGGATCTCTGCTGTTGACTCTCGGCATGAGGCTACATAAAAAAGATATCGTCAACTTCTGTCTAGGGGTCGAGACTAGGTAGGTTACGACTAATCGCATTTGAAGACTCTCTACATGGTCTTGCTCCTCAGCATGAAGCAGCTTTACCATGAGACCAAGCCTGAAGTCCACTGCTTAAGGAACTCTCTTCGTGAGGTAGCATTATAGTGCGATGTAACTAAAGCCATGATGGTGTGAGTATGATAATTTTCCATGGAAGAAAGTGTTGTGTCAGGAACAGCTTGAACCAGGATTGTCAAGTTTGGCTCTGGTCCTCGAAGTATCTCCTACTATAGAGTTTGAGAATTGGATAGGGGCACAAGATGCCCCAATCATGTATGCCCTCCGACTGGACGGGCTTTGTTCCCACTTCCTACTCTGTGCGTAGGACTAGTCGAATTAAATGGCTGGCTGACGCCTACATGATGGCGAGCATTTCAGATCTCAAGGATTCCCTCCCTGCAGGAGCATTTCCGAAATGGGACTAAATTGTATTGTATAAAGTTAAAAGTACTAACACATTTTTGTATATTTGTCGGAGAATACCTCCGGACCTATTGGCTTGAAGCGATCTACATTCCAATAGAGGTATTTTGACTGAGCTCTACGGGAGATATGTGAACCCCCTTCAGACACATGATATATCTAAATATCAGTGGCTAATTTGGCAATATCCATTAAGACTCCAGAGTCCCGGACCAGACCAGTCATCAGGGCCAGCTGCAAGGAGGTGGTTGAAAAATGTAAGGAGAGGGAAATTTTAAAGCTGGTATACGCAAGCAAAATGATTGTTTTAGCTTGGCTTAAATTGATGCTTATACCATCCATTGGAAGAGTCATGGACTGCATGCAACAAATCTAATATAAGATATCCCGCGCCACTCAATTGCAAGCAGTGACAGGAAAGGACCAAATAAAAGAAAAAACAAAAACAAAGGTTCTACAAATTACAACATTGTATATCTGCAACTGAAGCCCACTAACGAGGCTGCGAGGTTGCAGTCGCCGTTCTTCACAATGCCGGGCCATTTCATATGCATAGCGATAGCACTCTTTCTCACTCACTTACCTGTTGGTGTTCATGCCAACTCTGACCCATCCTCCGTTCCATCTCCGTCTGCGATAAAACCTCAACCCATTGGTCATTCGCTCGACATCCCATCCCAAAACCGCGTTCTACCCCGTGATCTTCAAGAGATCATTCTGAATGGCCCGGATGAGCAAAAGGCCCGCGAGTGGAATCTCCACTATACGTCTGAACCACATTTCCTGGGCCAAGGAGAATCTCTCGCTGTGTGGACTCAAGACAAATGGCGCGAATTTGGGGTTGAGAATACCTCTATCAAGGCATATCCACTCCCTACCCTGCCCATCAAGCCGGTGTATCAAAGGCTCGCGTTACTTGAGCGAAAGCCTGGTCAAGATGACACAGAGTTATTCAATGCTAGCCTGAATGAAGGCTCGACTTTCGTGAACCCTATCAGTGGAAAAATCATCAGCACTCCTCAATTCTTCTCCAGTTCGCCAAGTGGCAATGTTACGGCACCCTTTGTGTTTGTGAATTTTGGTGAGGAATCAGACTACGATGACCTCAAACAATCAAATGTCGACGTGAGTGGTAAGATTGGGATTATGAAACAACGTTCATTGATGGTCACACGCGCCCTATATAACGCACAGGACAGAGGAATGGTAGGCTTGATATTTTATCTCGACCCGGAGTTTGACGCAAATATCACCGAAGCACATGGCTACCGGCCGTTTCCTGAGGGCCCGGCTAGGGCACCAGGTAGCATTGTGCGCCGAGGTCTCACCGTTCCAGATCCAGTACTAAAGATTCCTACCCTACCAATCTCGTACTCCGAGGCCCTCCCATTTCTCAAAGCGCTTAATGGCCATGGTCCCCGGGCGAGCAATATCAGCACCGCTTGGCAGGGAGGGCAGCTAGGATATCTCGGGGTCGATTACAACGTTGGACCCTCACCGGATAGCTTGATGATTAACGTAGTGAACGACATACAGAGTTCAAATGTCTCTGCATACGACGTGATCGGGACGATCAAGGGCGAAATTGAGGACGAAGTAATCGTCCTAGGAAACCATCGTGACGCGTGGGCTGCTGGTGCCGGTGACCCAAATAGTGGTTCTGCGGCACTAAACGAAGTGATCCGTACCCTTGGTATGGCTATGAAGAAAGGCTGGAGACCATTAAGAACGCTAGTGTTTGCCAGTTGGGATGGCCATGAGCCAAGCAGCTGGGGATCCTCCCTCTGGGTAAAGGATAACTTGCCCTGGTTGTCTCAAGTGGCCGTCGCTTACCTTGAGATTGAGACTGCTGCAACTGGCACAGAGCTCTTCGCCAAAGCCAGTCCACTTCTACGTGACGTCATCTACTCTGCCGCGGCGAAGGTTCTTAGCCCCGACCAGAGTAAACCGGGACAGAGCGTCATGGATGTATGGGGTGGTCATATAGATCCAGAAGGTGGAGGAGACACTAATATATTCGTCGGCAATGGCATTGCCTCCCTCAACATTGGCTTTGCTCCTGGTCCAACGGATCCTGTTTTTCACTGGCACTCGGACTTTGATACTGTACAATGGATGGACACCTTTGGGGATCCAACCTATGAGTATCATACTGCAAGTGCTAAAATGTGGGCGCTGACTGCAACACACTTGGCGGACGAGCCAGTCCTTTCCTTCAATGCTACGGCATACGCAGTGTCACTGGATGGTTATTTAGACGAGCTGAAGGACACTTTAAAAAGAGCAACACTAGACGAAGCCTCTCAGCAAGGGCAAGATTCCTGTACTGTCAATTTGCAACCGTTGGAAGATGCAATTGCAGAGCTGCACCAGGTGGCTGTTCAGTTTGACACGAACGCAGCCGACCTTGCAGCGATGCTGGCCGGACAAAATACAACCATAACAGCTTCAACCTATCAGAAAGAGAAGAGGATCCAGGATATTAACCAAAAGTACAGAACGTTTGAGAAGCAATTCGTGGTTCCCCCAGATAGTCCAGAGGCACGATCACAGCATGTTGTGTATTCGCGAACTTCGTACAAGTTTGTTGTGCCCCCTTTTCCTGGTATCAGGAATAACGTGCAAGGCGGTAATTGGTGCGACGCAGAGGTAATTTCTTGTCTCTTCCCCTCGGGAAAACGGAGATGAATGCTAACTCTTGATCTTTTCCCCTAGAAATCGAACCAAATTGTCATAGACAAAGTACGCAGCGCAACAGAGTTGTTACGACCATAGGGCCATGAGCCGTATGGATCAGGAGGGTGAAATAGGTATATGTATCTAAGTATTCTGTACATATCCTGAATACACTCCTTCTCGGTACATCTCCTTGTAAGGAAATATACAGTTTCATAGCCCCTATAATAATCTACAAGTCTCCCATGCCCCCGGCAATCGGCGGAGGACGCAACAAGTCAGCTTTTACTCCTTAGGCGGGAACCCAAACGTTCCGATATACCTAGGAAAGAAGGCATATTTTATGGAAACACTTTGGCACATAGATTTCCCACATGAGCATACGGCCATATGCGTGGATCCTGCCAGCCAAAAAACAACGGCGTACCAAATCCACAGTCCTACACCTCCAAACTTAACCTAACGAGGATGAAGCACGCAGATGAGGCAAGTCACACTTAACCCCATCACGGAAATCCCTCTCGCGCGTCGACCTACCTTCCCAACAACTCTGACAGATCGCAATCCCCTTGCAATCCTTCACCCCAACCGCAAAGTCTCTGCAAACCATACAAATCACGAACATAACACCCTGAATCACAATCTGTGCCCCAGGTCCATACCTCGCCGTGCCAGAACGTGGCATCAGCCCGCATTCCACACAGAAGCGCCTCTCTGCATCACGACCGTATCTACCCCGTCCACGTCGAAGCATCCGATCCGCGAATTTGGCCGCTGGACGGAGACGGAGACAATACCGACAGGCGTAGATATCGTGTGCAAGGGCGAAGTGTGTAAGTTCGGCTTCGAGTAGGTCCTGGTGTGAGAGTGACGGGATTAGGTCATTGAAGTAGGCGCAGGTCAGTTTGAGATGGATCACGTCGGGGAAGATGAGGAAGTTGGCGATGAGGATGTGGAGTTCAGGTGGGAGGTTCATGAATTGCGGAAATGGCTTAGTTGGTGCATTGGGAGAAGTAACTGTATCATCCTGCTGAGGCATGCTGTTTGGGTGCCAGGTAATTGTTCCATGGGGTATAGAGGAGTGTCGTCATGTTGTTTTGCGTAGGGAGTTGGGGAGTGGTGGTCAGTTGAGGTTGAGGTGTTGTTGCGAATGGTTGCCGATCGGGATACGAGATTCACGGCCCGATTCGGTTGGATTAGTCACGACCTTTTGGGGAACCCTAATCTTCTGACAATAAGTTACAAACGCAGATGTAAAAAAGTTAGCCACATTCTGACATTCAACTAGGGATATTTGGATGAACTGTGACTTACTGGTGGGCCGGTGGGATGATGGGCTTTATAAGGATTTGTTATATGTGCAATATATCAATTGAATGCATTATATATAATGGCGTACCGTTAGTGAATACGTACAATATCATAACGCTTACTTTCTAGTAAACGTTGTTAAAAGTAAAAGTAAAAATGGACTGCGACTCAGCCTTCCTCCGTACTTCTACAAATCGATGGTCAGGAATCACCCAGTCAGCACCAGCCGCTTTCAGCTGATCAACAGTGTGTGTGGCTGTCACAGCTAAAACGTAACATCCAGCCAATTTCCCTGCTTTTACACCGGCTGGAGCATCCTCGACGACTAGAACGTCCCTTATCTCGCCTCCGCTGCGTTGAAGCAGCCGAGTGCGAGCTTTATAGTAACCTTCTGGGTCGGGCTTGCCAATTTTGACATCCTCTGCGACGGTGACCTCCTGAGGCCGAGGTAAACCCAGTACATTGAGCCAGCCATTCAAGAGAGCATTGGTGCCTGATGTTACGATTGCCCAAGGTGTGTGAAGACTGTCAAGTGTCTCAAGAAGAGCCCGTGAACCCGGGATTTCAATGGCAGGATTCTTGCACAGGGAAGGTATTTTGCTTTCCATGGCGCTTATGTCTAGATTGAGTACTCATTAGGGACTCGTTGCAAAGATAGGAAGGCAGTTATGTATGGAAAGAGTCTCACATTCCCAATTGGCTCTGCTTGGATCAAGGTCCTTCAGAACATCGATACTGCGTCTACCATGTGATGTTTGCAGGATCACCTCGTGGCCAATGCCTATTTCTTCGCCGATTCTGCGTTACACGTCAGTATACCCCAGGACCAGGCTGAAGGTGTTCCGAGCGCGGCAAACCTTCTCCAATTCTCAACAATAGCTAGTGGACGAGTTTTAGCATACAAGCGGACAAAAAGCCTATTGTAGGGACATACCTTCAGTGGAGTCAATTATTGTTCCGTCGAAATCGAATAGGACACCGGCGAATTCATGAGTCGTTGACATGGCTGTACCGCTCGGCATGTTGATATTCGTTTATATGATATTGGGTCTGTGGTTCTTGTAGTAGAGTAGAGAAAAAATGTCGAATTATCACGAGGCACTGACCAACATGTTCATTGATTCTCCAACCTAGCAAGTACTTATATGACATTGGTTCGGGGTGGCGAATGAGAGCATGGCGGAAACCTTCCTAATCCGGCAACATACCCGCCATTGTATAGTCCAAAAAGCGACGCACAACCATTGAAAGCATTTTTTCCCTAGAAACCTGTGTTCTGATACGGCCGAAGTAGTTTCGTGTCTAAGATTATAAATACCCCTGGAGCAAAGCTAACATCCCTCATAAGAATCACTCAGATCTACTCGATATATGGGTATCCTTACAATCAATTACTCATACATTTCTAAACCCAGTCTTTTTTATACATTTAAATATGCATTTTCATAGCTCCTCACAGTTGTCTATTGCTAGTCATTCATTGAAACCCATCCGAGCCCATAAGACCTTCATACGCCAAGCCACATCTAGCGCGGAGTCTCGCAAAGAAGGCGATATCTCATCTGTTTTCGTGTCCTTGTCAGGAAAGGAGGAAGCACCTCTGCCTCCAAGGTTCGCAGATCAAAAGAGAAGACTAATTACCGGCCGAGAAGAACAAATTGAACGAAGCTGGCACCGTCTTCTGCACACACTGAAGGATGAAGTTCGCTTGATTGAACAGCGCGGCTCTGATATTATTCCCTCCATTGATTTCAAGGATGTTCATACCGCACCAAAGACGTTTCGAGACGAGCTTCGAAAACGAGGGGTTGGCGTCATCCGGGGCGTGGTTCCTGAGCATGAAGCCAGAGCTTATAAGGAAGAAATCGAAAACTATGTCAAGGCTAATCCAGGCACAAAAGGTATTTTGTTCTCCTACGCTCCAATCGATGCTATTCTGACACCTCTCTAGCATTCCCGCCACATGACCCGCAAGTTTATGAGCTGTACTGGTCACAACCCCAGATGCGCGCACGTACACATCCAAATATGCTAGAAACACAACGTTTCCTTATGAGCTTCTGGCACTCCAATTCACCAGACGCAATGATATCCCCTACCCACCCTCTCAGCTACGCAGACAGACTTCGAATACGCCAGCCAGGAGATGCCGGATTTGCGCTAGGCCCTCATGTAGATGGAGGAGGCCCTGAACGGTGGGAGGATAATGGCTACGGTTGCGGCAATGTCTACCAGAGGATTTGGCAGGGAGAATGGAAAAAATACGATCCCTGGGAAGCCAGTTGCCGAGTTCTTGCAGAAGCAGACCTGTACAACGGCGCTGGGGCGTGTTCAATGTTTCGCATGTTTCAAGCATGGCTGGGCATGTCTCACACCGGGCCTAATGAGGGAACGTTGCTGGTTAATCCTCTGCTCTCCTTGGCTACGGCTTACTTATTACTGCGACCATTTTTCGAGCCAATTTATACCCCTCCGACGGACTGCTCTCGCATGGCGACGGAGACCTTCCTGCATCCAAGTAATTGGCGCTTGGAGAGAGAGACATCAAGTAACCTGCAGGGTACAACCCCGCGATTCTCGCAGGAACTCAGTACGACGCTTCACCCTCATTTGGAACTTGACAAAACGATGGTCCATGTTCCTAGAATTGCCCCGGGTGACTATGTTGCTTGACACTGTGATAGTGAGTACCCAACCTGAATATCTCAGATAAGAAACAATCTAACTAGAGTAGCCATCCATGCTGTTGACCGGGTACATAACGGCATCGGCGATTCAAGCGTTATGTACATCCCAGCATGTCCAGTCACTGAGGCCAACGCCAACTATGTCAAACGCCAGAGGAATGACTTTCTCGAGGGTGTCCCTCCACCGGGAGGCAAGGGGAAAGCGAGCATGTTGGACGCGCCACGGAGGCTGGCCTGCGCAAGTCCACGAGCCAGCTTGGCTTGCGTGCCTTGGGGCTTAACAAGTGGGATCTGAACGATCCATCTCTGACTCAAGGACAACGACTTGTCTTGGAAAAATCAAACAAGATCCTGGGATTCTAAAATTCACATTTTTTCTGTGATCTCTTTCATGTTTCCTTTTCTGAATTTGTGAAACTGTTGTACATATATACTTACGTCCCAGTGTAACTTCAGAAAATTTCCTCATTCTCTCACTTCAAGCTCTCTCCAACCGTTTGCATAGATAAGTCGACTAATAACATGGAGGACCTTTTATAATTCATAGACATTCAATTCAAACGAAGAGTACGAGAGCACAGTACATTAATAAGAATAAGTCATACTCAAATCAGGAGCAGGAAGCAAAGCCACCCAAAAATAAACGACACGGCCGCTGCCTGAGAGGCACGCAGCGTCAAGTGGCGCTTCAAAAATTACAGCTGGAAGAACGTCGGCTGCTTTACTCAGGGTGGTGATTGGGAACAATATGGAGTAATTTATGATGGGTTCAGTGCGTATTAACACTCCCATTAGTACTAGAATCCTGATATGACTACCTGTAATTTCAAGGATATTCTAAACTGCTAGGTCTTATGTCTCATACGTCCCTACATTCAAAGAGGTGATTGTATATTAAGTCGACTTAGAGCTAAATGCTTCTACGAGGTCAAGTATAGCTGTGTCGTAAGACCGCCTATGGGAAATTCCACGTTTATTGCCAATAGTATTTAGGGTTCCACCGTTATATACAACCACACATGACGGCCCACGGCATTGCAGGGTATATACAAGGACAAGCATATAGGGAACATAAGAAAACAAGGTCATTACCAAAAAGTTGACATCGCACAGCATTATGCCCACTTCCCGATAAGAGCCATGATGCCAGCTCCTAACAGGGTACAAAAGACCATAAACAACAATTGGCTTCGTCGCTTAGTGCGATCCGGATCAAACAAAAAATCACGAGCCAACAGTTCCACAAGCCCACTGTAGATGAGAACACCTGCAGAGATAGCGTTCAACACGCCCTGCACAATCAATGCTACTTTAGATCCAGGGTTATATGTGGTACGAACGCCGAGACCAATTGCGATTGAGATTGGTGTAGTGAGTCCATACATCGCACACAGGATCCAGGGCAGCCAGGTATGCTTGCCGAAGGGGATAGCCGACATTCTTGCACCGATACCAAGACCCTCGAAGGATTGGTGAAACACAAGGACTGGGTAAAGCGTTGCGAATTCGGAGCCTGTGACGCCGAGGTTCAGTCCGATGATGACAGAGTGGAATATAATACCAAATTCGAGGATAAGGAATGCCGCGATCTGCTGCCGGAAAGATCGCTCTGCCGTTGCTGATTCACTGTCTGAGATGGGGACTGTCTGCACTGGCGGGGCAGATTTCTCCTGATCATATGAGTTGTGAACTGCGGCCGCAGCCTGGTGTCCACTTTGAATAAAGGCCCCTGTAGCATCTTCGTCCCTGTGTACACCGTACTTGCGCTCGACATAGACTTCCGCTGCCAGGTCCATGAGGAAGATGATAATGACCGAGCCCAGGACGATTGCCGCACACCATGAGTATTCGCCCCAGTAGCCAGATTCTCCGACGCAAGTCTTTGGTCCGATCCGCTTATATGCTGGGTCTAGAAGGTGGACGAAAGCTGTTGCAACAATAACACCGGTACCGAAATAACGGGCGAACAGGTAGACGCTGTAGGGGATCTTCCATGACGGCAAGCTCTTGGCGACGACAGGAAAGAAGGTAAACGCCGAGGAGACAAATAATATCACAAAGATCGAAGAAATGCGTGCACCCAGGTGTCCGTTATAATCATTGTCTGACAAAGCAAGGAAGCACAGAACATCTTCCTTGCTCGCCGTGTTCAGGTCAACCTGAGACGCATTAAAAACAGACATGGCGCACTATCATGAAAAGAAGACAGTACGAGAGTTTCGAAAGTAGGAGGACTGCTGTATCTGGGTAGAGGCATTGTAGGCAAAAGGCTTCTGTGATATAGTCCTGTGATCGAGTACCTTGGGGGTAGTGTGAGATTGTCTTAACTCTCTGTTGACTACTTCTGGCTGGGATGAGAAGGATACCCGGCACCCTGGTCGCTGGACTAAGCATATTATCCGGATTGTTCGATATTTTACAAAAGTCGCTAAGCTTTAGCGTTCCTTCAAGTGGCCAACCCACTTAAAGGGTGGAGATACAGCATCTCTCATGGCCCACTACATTTCGTCTAATTACATTCGCATGGCTCGCTATGCGGATAGGCGAGCAAGGCCTCATTTCGGACGTCTACTCCGTGGACAAGTGGGCCTGTTGTCGGATATACTTCTCGTATACTCTGTATATGAGCATGACTAACAGTACTAGTATTGCGGTCTCTGGTATCACGACCTATTCGAATCTAGCACCTTGGATAATATTCTCGCGCCATCACAGACAGCTCGGTTTTCGTAAGATACTTCAACGGTTCATCCCTGTCGTCTATTGCCGAGACCCACTCCAATGGCGCTATGCAACCCCATAGGGCTGAACTTGACCTCCCAAGATTGGTTTCGGATTAAACATCAGTCCATTCCATGCCCGCCTGTTTCCTGACAAAAAAGGAGGAAAGAAGCTGGATATATTAGTTTATTACTATTCAAAAGAACAGCCAGCAATAACTCTTGGAAAAACGAATTCTATGAATCTCTTTCACAGAACTTTCCAAGCAGATTCTAGAACAGGCAGACGGCATCGGCATCTTCCGATACGTGAACCGGATATTAGATGCTGAATACGCATTAGGCCACCTACAAGGTACTCAAACAGTGGACCATCCCGCGTCTTGTCTTTTGCTTGTTTTTCTAGCTTTATCCTGTTGCCTGATTCTCTCTTGCGACCGGGGTCGAAGCCTGCATATGTTGAATTTTCCAAGACGAACCCGTGAAAACATAAAGGCTCAAAGGAAAAAGGCGTCCATGCAACAGTTCTACTTTAGTATACAGTTGGGTACACTTGCACAAAGTGGAGATATTAGAAAAACTGGTGTACTCGTTCTACTATGTTACTAGGGTTCCGCCTCGTAGGGCTGACGGATGAGAGCCCTCCATTGCAAAACCGGCTAATGTGCACCACAAATAGCTAATCAAGTTTTCAAAAACAGGAGGCCAAGGAATTTGTAGTTTACCGTGGATGCACTGACGTGGTTTCGCGGAACCTCGGAATAGAAAGGGCGACTTCAGCGTAATCAACTAGGCAACCACAATTTGTCCCTCGGCCTAATTATTCAATTACTCGACAAGTGTTGACTCGATCTTGCATGACTCGCGCATCATCATAATTAATCCGTTTGCCCTTCCAGCCAATACGATTTCCGCCGATTTTAACCTGCCAAGGGCGTGCCAGATGACAGCTGGAGGACAGTTAGGCCGTCTATTTGCGTAGAAAGCGCTCTATAACAACACTCGCACTGGCTTTATATTATCTTTATTCTCAGTCTCCTTGCTCCTAACCATCTTCTAATATGCGACTCTATCTTCTATAGTCCTAGGACCAAGTTGGTTGATTCTTAAGACTCGATTGCTAATCAACATGGTTACCACGATTTTGTAAGACCATGACTGACCATGACCCACTGCTTTACCCGAGGCATTACCCACTGACCAGACAGGCGAGTCGTTTCTGCAACACTACGATTTATTTGGCTTGTACTATTACGTCCATTAATGATAGTTGTCGCTACAGGGGCCGTCGTATCTATTTATCGAGCTGGTCTCCCCCTTTGGAAGGACGTTCCTGCGGTTTTCTACGAGCTGTATGTATGCCTTTCCTATCATTGTGGACCGTAGCTGAATTGTCTAGGGTTATGTCGTTTATCGCCTAGCAGCTTCATTTCTTGCTCATCCCTTTTTATTATTACAGCTGGAAAGAATGAGTCTTTGTATAATTTAGCCCTGAGCGGTATCATTATCGGTGTACACGTGGTTGCTGTTGACTAGTAATCAATCGCAATTGTTTCTGCTCTAGATATGTGAAAAGTTCAGTATCTGAATTGTCAAATGAATAGAGAAGGTCGTAGTGCATTGTACGTTTTAGAGGTATATCTATACTGGAGGACATAGACCAGGTCATCCCTTGCCATGTAGGGGCACGAGGAGGTTAGATTAAGATCTTAATGGCGATGCCACTGCCTTATGTCCGACCTCAAATATCTCTGGGTAATTAATCAAAGCATGTTAATAGGCCAGCCATTGGAGGATAAATCCTTTAGGTTTTGGATGTCTGTTCAAATGGATGAAATGCGTATGCCTGTTTCGACACTTAGTTGCCCACCACTGGTTTTTGTTTACGGAGCAATGCAACTTGGCAATACCTGATTGTCTTACATGACCCACAACTGTATCTTCCTCAATATCCCTTAGACCTCAACTGCTCCATACCTGCTAGCTCGTTCTCTGATTCGGTGCCTCGTTCTATTTCAATTCATTTGCACTGTGTGCAACCAGTCTATCTTTTATTTTTATTGTATATGCACAAAATACTAGATTGCTTTGCGCATTTTCTATGACTTAGAGCTTGTCACATTACTTCTTACCACTCTCGAGCAAGGAGGGTGGGAGAACGGCAAGCTCTACCAGCTTGTTTGTGTGCATTGCTTCAAAATCCTAGGCATGTTCGTTCCGTAGTTTATTACCATGACCTTGACTTTGGCGTTGGCGTTGCTGACAATAGCAACCAGTCAATACAGTATACATAGTCTGCCTCGATGCAAAAAAAAAACTCATCGTCTGTCTTGAAGCATTCTCGAGCGCGTTTAAGCTCTGCGTTCTAATGGCTCTAAGGCTACCACGGGGACCTTTGGTGTATTTCGCCGAGAAAAATAATTTTAATATAATCATCCATGAGTATGAACTATTGTAGTATTTCTAACTTTGCACGAGACCCGGGTTGAAGCTAATAAGACGCGGCCAGGTATCAGACACATATCGCAACATTGGACGAAGCTATATCTGCCCCCGCTGGGAAGCAGCACATTATCCAATTAGCCCATTGAAATATGCTTGCATCTAATTACACACATTCCCTAAAGGTACGTCTCGAAAAGCTTCTGGTACTTCTCAGCCGTGGCGGCGTCCCCGGACCTGACATTGACACCTTCTTCAACCACCTCGATATTGTTCCCGACATAGGTCGCGACCATTCCGGCACCATAGGCCGACTTATCAATGAATGTTTCTTCATCCTTCTCAACAATATCGATGTAGTAAGGGTGGGCGAGCATCGCGGTCAAAGCTGAGGGATCCGGGTACAGGAACATGGCGATACCGTCAAAGCTAACAAGGGTGGTGTTGGCAGGCTGGTCTGCTCCGGATGCGGTGGGGGGAATCATGCCTCCGACTTGGATCTAGAAGAACGACTGGCGCGTCAATTAATGTCATTCCCCATGAGTTCGCGCTACATACCTGTTGGTAGCGGGTGATGTTAAAATAGGCTGCCAGGGGAGCAACCTTGAGCGCATGCACTGTCTGCCAGTGCGTCCAGAAGTCCTCGCGAGTCCAGTCCGGGTGGCGCTTGACGAAGCTGATCATCTGGGTGTAGCCGGTGTAGGAGTCGTGGTTCTTGTCGTCATTCTGGCACGACACGGCGGTCGCACCAACCAGAGCCGCCGACAGCGATGTGAGGCGAACCATGATACTTTCCTGGGGAGTGAAGATGAGTGACTGTCAATTACACGCATGGGAAGAGGCAGGCACAGACAGATGCAAGATGCTCGGGAGCCTACAGGAGCTTATATGGAATTCAAACTGTCATCACGACTCAGCAACTGTAAGTGGCTGTGTAATTCGACACGCGATTCGAGTCAGTTCTTATAACTAACTTTTTGTGAGTTGTTGATCGGCAAGGTCCAAGTCCCAAACGGCACAGACACTCATTCCGTCTTCAGAAATTGCATGTAACACAACTATATAAGATTTACTTAAGCAGATCTTTATTCTAGTTTAAAAAGGTACATATTTAAGATCGAGAGACTAAATCCTGAGACTTAGATATAGTCTATAGAGTGTTAAAGAAATTGTATCCTTGAAGCGCTATTTGTTGTCATGTGGTTGGCTTAAGGCGTCCAGCCTATGATCTGCAAGGAGTTTATTGATGCCCGCCACAACCTCCTTCTCGAGACCTGTCTCGATCCACACAACGGATAATACCATCACCAATTGGTTATTGTATCGTGTCCAAGCCCCAGGGCCGCAGCCTGCGCACGCTACAAACAGCGTTCCATAACGCAATGGTGCCGAAACTTTTAGTAAGATCTTTGGTGCATCGGCTATTCTTCGCTATAAATTAGCTGCAAGTAACCTGCAATCTTATCCCCACAGGTCTGATCAGAATCCCGGAAGACGATGTGCACATACTCATAGATCCATAGATATCTCATCCCGAAACGTTGTAAGAGAGATAGGGGATGATAATAGTCTCAGGGACATTGAGGATCAAGAATCGCAAGATTCCAGCATTCCTGTCATCGGTGACTCGGACGTCTCTGTCTACCCATCTCAAGAACCCTTTCCGTAACTTGGTGGCATCCCGATGCTTACAGATTCCCTGGACTTTTCAGGTTGATATGTGGTCTGTTGGTGTCATGGTAAGTGATCAATGCGAAAGGCTCCAGGTACTTCTTAAAAAGTATTTTTCACCTCTCTATAATTCTCAGATATATCTAATATAAATATTTCTTGTCGAGAGGAGCTGAGCCTGCCGAGATACATGATGTCTGGCTTGCAGCCGAAAATGTAAAAGCTCTGCCGACCTCGAGTATGAGTTAGCCACGAAAATGCATCTACAGATGTGTAAGGTGGACATGGCATCAACTTCATCTTATATATATCTCATGGCTTAATGCCGACTAACAATTTGGCTAGCAGAATCAAGGTAGGGAGAGGGATATGGTTCGAGAAAAACACTATTCTTATCCGGTATGGACCCACATACCGTGACTTTCCGATACATTACTTACCTATATCAACGACTTCGGAACACAGCGTAAGCTTGCTTCCGTTACGAAGCGATACACACGTTGTTGTCCCGATTAGGAAATATAGGAACGTTCGGAGAGTGAACAATAAGCCCACCCGCTCTTCCAGGTGGTACAGATATGAGTCTTGTTGACGGAAATCGGCATCTTGCGTACAGTTGTTGTGCCGGTTAACCGGGATGCCGAATGTATATAAAACCCATATGTGCGTTTGGAAAGGGGAAGAACCAAATATTTGAAATTAAAGGGAATATATACCGCTTCATACACATATACTTCTTCTTCTTCTTCAATTCTGCGTTTGACAAAAATGACTACAAACATCAACACAGACGTTCTGATTGTTGGTGGTGGACCTGTGGGCCTTCTTGTAGCTTACGGTCTTGCCAGGCAGGGCGTGGATACCGTGCTTGTCGGTAAGTGAGGGTGTTTCTTGTTACTATACAGTTACTAACGCATTGATGTAGAGAAACATGACAAGAATCAGCAAGCTATGTACGGCAGAGCGACAACCCTATATCCCCGGACTCTGGAAATGCTTGACCAGCTCGAGCTCCTGGATGAACTGAACCAAATCGGATATATCGGCCGTAATAGTGTCACATACAAAGATGGCCAGCGGGTAACCTCACGAGGCTGGCATGTGATGTTCCAGCGGATGAGTGGCACATTCTTGGACTACTGTCTGAACATCCGGCAGAAGTATTCCGAAAATGTGATTCGAGACGCTTATCTGGAGATGGGAGGTCGGGCGTATATCGGCTGGGCACTAGAAGACTTCACGGTGGATAACCAGAGCAAGGGCGACTATAAAGTAACTTCACAAGTTCGCCAGGCTGATACAGGTGAAGGCTTGACTATCTATAGGTGAGTAGGACCTGTTAATATTGTTTGCCTGGGCGCTGTCTGACGTCTTATAGCAAGTTTATTGTTGGAGCGGACGGTGGACACTCACTTGTTAGACGCTTATCCGGTATTCCATTTGAGGGCGATCGCACAGACTTTAAATGGGTTCGCATTGATGGACAGTTCAAGACCAACATGCCGGATGCGGATCTTGGTTTTGCGTCCATTGAGTCCAAGAGCCACGGGAACGTTCTTTGGGTCCAATTAGACCATGGCGTGAAACGCATAGGCTTTGCAATGACTGATGAAATGCTAGCGAAATATGGTAATTCGCTTACAGAGGAGCAAGCGAAGGAAGAAGCTATCAAGTCGATGGAACCGTTCTCATTGGAGATCGAGAAGGTCGACTGGTGGACGCTATACAGGTAGGACACGAATCCTTATCTCTACTACCTTCATGGTTCTCACTAAGTTCAATGACAGCATCAATCAGCGAGTTGCGGATAGCTTTTTCACCAACGATCGTATCCTGCTGGCAGGTGACGCATGTCATACACATTCCTCCGGTGCCGCACAAGGTATGAATACTGGCGTCCACGATGCAGTCAATCTGGCCTGGAAATTGGGAGGTGTAGTAAAAGGCTGGTATAGCACTGACATCCTCCGAACATATGACAACGAGCGACGTCCGGCAGCGCAACGTCTCATTGAGTTGGACAAGGCATTCTCGGCAACCATCTCTGGGCAAATTCCAGATACCCACAAAGGTTTGTATGCCGATGCAAACGAGCTATTTACCAAGCTCTTCGATGAGTCAATCCAATTCAACATCGGACTGGGAATTCACTACAATGAGAGTATTATTAACAAAGCTCCGTCTACCGGAATGGTTTCAGCTGGCTGGAGAGCACCAGATGCTCTCGTGTATGCTCCCGGCTCCCGTATCCCGATTCGGCTTTTCCAACTTACCAGAAATACTGGAATGTGGTCTGTTCTCATATTCGCTGGACAGCCTACCCTCACTCGAGAGACATTGGCTTCATCGATGAAGAAGCTGGCCGTAGCACTTGACAAACTCCCTAAAGGCATGGTCCGGTGCTTTACATTGATTGCACATAGCGTCACAGAAGGTGACCAGGTCTTTGGAATCCCTAGGGTTGGTCATATATATTATGATTCCGACCGATCTGTCCACGCTGCATATACAATTTCCACCAACAGTGGTGGGGTGGCGATTCTTAGACCGGACGGCATTCTTGGATACGCCACAGCCCTGGAAGATATTGAGACCGCTGGAGCATTCTTTAACAGCTTCGTTTCGTGCAATTAGGAATGGAAATCCACAGATTCACCGACGGATACAGGGGTCCTAGTATGCACCAATGGTTCCTGAATCCCTTCTCTATTTCTCTTCGTTTTAGGACAGGGGTTATGAATAGAGATGCGTGCTATAGTCGCAAGCTCTCGGGGTATTGAAGATAGGAATATTCGATGCTAGCATTAGAATTGTAAACTGAACCAGAACGGGTCGAAGAATGTATCCTCATCAAAATCGAGATCGCGAAAAAGGTCGTCTGTAAATGGTAGATAGTCCGTCCCCTCTGATGGTAGATCACCGTATCCGCTATGATTTAGCTGTTCGAAGGTGGGAGACCGATTGGGAGATGGCTGTGCCTGCGATATTATATTGGTACTCGACATCGGAGAGTGCGGAAAGATGATAGAGCATCTCTCTTTGATCATGCGTAAGCTCTCGGCACAGCGTTCCGCCGTGCTGCTATATAAGCTCAACTTGTCCAACGAAGACTGGCACTTCCGCCAAGATAGTTCTAAAATCTCCCAGGTTACAGTATTCACGAGCGACTGAGAGAGCCCCGCAAGGAGAATGACAGATCCTGCAGTAAATGCATCTGTGGAGGGACTTGTCAGTAATAGTGTATAAAGAAAGTCTAGTATTGCAGGAGAATACTCACAAAAGACGTTGTAGCACCAGACGCTGGATAGGTCGGTGTTGCAAGTCTGATGTACTAAAGAGACAAGATCAATGGCCGCATGGATACAGGATATGGAACAGTCAAGGTTGACTCTGGACTGTAGCGAAGCGTGACGCCTGGAGTCATTGCTTTCACTACATAACATCTCGCCATTGTGGCGAAGAGTCTGAGAGAGAATGGGCCGGTATAGGAGAATTTTCAAGTACGAATATCTGGCATCGTACATTAGAGATATACCCGAATTGCAGTGTGTCGTTTCTGCATACCTTGCTCGAAGCAAACACTTCTCCCTTTGGAAATTGTCTGGACCGTCACGTAAGACTTCATGATCCCACATGAGTGCTTCTGGTAGGTTTGCCTTAAATTGCTCGAGGTCTGCATCGATCTCTATAATGCTCTGAATCTGCCAAGTGTTTCCGGCTGGCAGATGGTTGCCCACAATCCTTGCTTCCATCGGCCCCGCATTATCATACAATGATTTCAGAATTTTGCGCAGGGTATCGTACAATTTCAATGTCTCAATGAACCACACAACACGTGATAGCAGACGGGGCGGTTGTTCACAAGTTGGCGCATCAGGCGATAGATAACAATCGTCGATGGCCTCAGGGAGAGGCGTCACTGGCTTTTGGGCAATCATTGCCGGGCGTCCAAGTATTGTGCTAATGGCTCTATACAGTGGACCAGTTTACAAGTTAGCAATGCAACTGATAGGACCAGAGAGAAGACATCGTACAGGTCAAGCATTACACAACCATGCCATACCCTCCGCCTGAGCTGGATTTCCGCAAACGATCGACGTTCATTGCCGAGATCTGAGTGCAGCCCTAGTGCTTGAGCTAGCCGGCATGCCATGCCTATAACGTGCCAACAACGATTGGGCGTTCGTGAGCACTGTAAGTAATGTGTGATGAGCAAGAGAGTTTGGCACAAAGCTAAATCTCCCCCTTCAAGATATTCCACATCTAGCACGGGCTTGCAACGACGATAAAAGGCTTCTGATGTAGCTTCCCGCTGTGTTTGCACAGCGTTGGAGAACTGACATCCTAAAGCAAATATGGCGTTTAGTGCACAGTGGAAAGTGGTGCGATTCATAGCTATGTCTCCTATACCGAGACCATGAGCTGTATTTGTGCTTCGACTAGACTCCTTAGGCGCCCACAACGACCTGTATGCACTAAAGAACGCATCCTTATGCACAAAAGGGTAGAGTGTATGTATCTTGGAGAAATAGCAGTCGACTAGATGGTCAGCCAATGGGCGTGGGGGAAGCAGATCCATTGATGATTTAGGTTCAGTTGAGAGCTTGGGGTGCCTATCATGACCGTGCAGCTCGATCGAGTGATAAGCCACCTCACGACCGGAACCTGGCGCATTGATAGTTGGTGGCAGGGAATTCTGCAACTGCTGGATAAAAGCCACTGTCGACGAGTCGCCAAAGAATTCTCTGCATGAGTTCTGGTCCCTGTCCAGTGAACCGACAGTTAAGCCCATGGCTGTCACGCCAGAATTATCCCGTTCATGTGTCGTATCTCGGGTCATGACAGAGGAAGCGGAAGAGGCAGACTCATGACGGAGTAAACCATAATTCGGTTGAGATGGAGAGATCACTAGAATATCCTCTCGCATGCCAGGACTCCCACGATCTCTTTCGCAGTGTCAGTCGCCCGTCAGCCCTTGTTGAAGGCAAAATAGACGCACCTGAGTGGACGCAGATCGTCATCTTTAAACACACAGCGATCCCGGCGGCGTTGGCAGGTACCGCAATGGGGTCGGACTCCATCACAGCGTATCTTCAGCGATCGACAGGTATTACACGCGACGCCGACTCTCTTCCTTCTGAGTCTACGGGGATGATTTGTCGCCGTCGTGATTACCATCGTCCTGATCTGGAGTCTGATGAAGAGCGTTTGACGAGACCAGAGAGCAGCCGTATCGCCAAGAAGTCATGGTTATTTTTCTTCTCTCGTGTTGGGGTGGACAAGACGAAGAAGAAGGTCCAGCAGTTGATTGAAGACGGAGTGGGACTGAGCCATGATTGGTTGACGTTCTTCCATCGCCTCCCGGTCAAATGTCGGCTCATTCCGATTCCGTATCAAAAACACGGAACAGTAACAAAATACACGCTCAAAATAACCAGGATAAATTCATACAGATCATGAATAGTGCTTATGGAAAGATATGAGTTGTAACATGGTAATTGCCGAAGGAGCTTGGTACAATCTTACTATGTGGTCACTAGTGCATGGGAGAGACTTTCTCACGACAGATCTCTCCGCTTCCTTGTCTATCATGCAGCCCTATAAGATACAAACACAGAAGCAAGATAGGGCATACATAGAACGAAGAATAAAGAACGAAACCAAGGTCCCTGCATACAGTCAAATACAGTCAAATACAGAGGTCAACAACGTATCCTTAAGAACAGTTTCTTTTCTACTTGGCATCGGCCTTAGTTTCCCGACTAAGTAGCAGACCCACCTTAACTCTCGATTATCGCCGAAGACGCCTGCGTAAGTTCGTCTCAACTGCGCACGCTGGCCCATCTTTGAGATCTGGCGTACGCGACAACTTCTGGTGTGTCAAGGTATATTGCGAACAATCCTCAAGTCCCTGTAGTTCAACCAACTAGTAAGCATTCAGATGATCGGAACCCTGTAATGAGCCCCATGCCACAAACACAACCTTGGCCGGCCGAGCAAACTATAACTGCTGTACTTGACGGCAAGATCGACAGGGGTCGGGACACGATGATCCCCATTCAAGTTGCGTAACAATAAGCTCTCACTCCACTTTCTTCTTCAGGAAAGAAACGGCGAGAAAGTTATCTGATGTTACTATTCTGGTATAGACCATGTCCTTTCCCCGAGGACCAGGTGGGCTTGCCGGAATTCATATCAAGTTGACGTTGTTCCTTCGGATATTCACCCGGCCTGAGTGTCTACGGTCGGACATAATGGTCAAAAACCGCCTGGGAAGGTGGACATGGACATGGAGTATCGTGAATCCCTGACGCGTCCTGCCGTGGACCTTCAGTTTCCGATCAGATTGCCTGCTAGGCATCTAAATAAGTAGGGCAGATGTTGCGTGGTATCTAAGTATATATATATATCTGAGAGGATCGTGAACTGTTCTCCTCCTGCTATCATCCTCGCTCTATCTTTATCTTACAGAATCCATTCACACTATACTCCAGGATGGCCTCGCATTTGTCGAAGAGCCTAGTCTCACTGGCCGTGACCGCTGCAATTGCCCAAGCTCAACTCTGGGATCAGACCATCCAGACGAATTACGGTCCCATCCAGGGCTTCAAGTATTTCAACGAGTCGACCCTCGAGAAATATTTCGGTATATCCGAGTCCAACGTGACAGCCTTCTTGGGTGTTCCATTTGCCGCGGACACTGGGTATCAAAACCGCTGGAAGCCGCCACAGCCACGTGAGCCCTGGAATGAAACCCTGAAAGCGACGGACTTTGGTCCTGCCTGCCCCAGCAACTACGCGTCCAATATCAGCGAAGACTGCCTCAGTCTGAACCTGTGGACGAATGCTGGCTCCGCAGATGCCAAGCTCCCTGTTATGGTCTGGAACCAGGGTTCCGACGAGACCAGCAACGATGCCTGGTGGTACGGCGGTGGAATGGCTTTAAAGGACGTCATTCTCATCACCTTCAACCGTCGTGACGATGCATTCGGTTACCTCGCTCATCCGGAACTCAACGCTGAAGGTCTCAAACTCACCGGTCACAACACATCCGGAAACTACGGTGTCCTTGACCAGCTCGAAGTCCTCAAATGGGTTCAGGAAAACATTGCCAAATTCGGTGGTGATCCTGACCGTGTGGTCGTCGCCGGCCAGTCTTTCGGCTCTTCTCAGGTCTATCATGCCGTCAATAGCCCTTTGTTTAAGGGTTATTTCCATGGCGGTATCTCTGAATCTGGTATCAGATACCCGTACGATCCTATGCTGGCAGGCCTCGCAACCTCTTACGTTAACATGTCTGCTGCCATCACGCACGGTGTCAACTACACTACCTTCCACAACGTCTCCAGCATCAAAGAACTGCGCACGCTGTCCATGGAGGAGCTCTTGATCGGCTCTCAGGACCGCGTTAACGAGACGTGGATCGACCCGATCACCGCACTCTCTGCCGGCTACCCTCTCATTTTCAAGCCTGTCCTGGACGATTACGTTCTTCCCTCCACATACCTGGAGACACTCATCAACGGCCCCGCCAACGATGTCCCCGTCATAACAGGCAACACCAAAGACGAATCCGGAGCCTCAACAAGCACAGACTACACCGTAGAGGAGTATGAGTACTACTCCACACTCAAGTATGGCAGCCTATCCAGCCGTTATTTCCAGCTGTACCCGGACCACGGCAACGCAAGCACTGCAGACAGGTCTTGGAACGCGGCTGCCCGCGATACCTCCCTTGTTGGCTCCTGGGCCTACGCCACCGACTGGTACAAGTCCGCCTCTTCCTCATTTTACACCTACTACTGGACCCACTCCCCACCAGGCCAAGACCAGGGCGCCTTCCACCAGTCTGAGATCATGTACGCACTAAATGCGCTCTACGCCAATGCCGACAGGTACCCTTTCACCGAGCAGGATTATGCCATTCAGGAGAAAATGTCTGCCTACTGGGCGAACTTTGCAAAGACGCTCGATCCCAACGAGGGTGGATCTTACACCGGTAGTGGCTCGCTGACGCGCTGGAGCCCGAACAGCGCTAATGGCACCCAGCGTGTCATGGAGCTCGGAAATGCGTTCGGAGCTGTCCCCATTGCCAAGAAGGCTCAGATAGATCTCATCATGGAGTGGTTCCATCAGCAAACTCCGTACTGATTTCGGCAGTTAGTCCTGGTGATGGGGCTTCGTAGGTCGAATTGTCGGTCAGCGTACTATAGGGATACGTCATCCTAATACCTATGTCTAGCTCGTGTATGCTAAGACTATCGGATAATGTACTATTACATGTACCTCTTGACCTTCATTTTACACTAATCTATTTCTGTTACCATGCCCGTCACTCCTTTGATCAGTGTCATGCACATACAGAATATTTCCTAATTTATCTTCTCAAATTCTACACACGTTTGCAATCTAGGGTAGCCCCTTCTAAATCTAACCCATGATTTCACACCACTATATAAAATCCAGTTCCCTAAGACATATACCATCCATACAACCTCCCAACACCACATGACTTTTCCCTTTATCAACACAGAGAACGCACTTCACCTCCACACAAAATCCACTTCCCAGAGCTCAACACCTCTTCATATCGAAAACTGCCCAGACCCATCACCACTATTCCACCCTATGGACCAATCATACCCCAAAGTCGAACCCTTTTAGACCTGCCGACAAGTGGACCCAAGGTATAAATGGAACCCGGGGTCAGTTACCCAATACAGACTAGCGCCCCATAAATAGCCCTCGGGGATACCAAAACCTAGATCCTTCATATTGCAACTGCCGATCCCTGGATGATAATTTTCCACGAGTGCGTGGTACCTGTCATTTTAGCTTGGGCATTTGGAATATAGTGGGGGTCTTCATTTATGCATATATTGGTTTGTTATGTGGGGATATTAGGGTTCCCACGTGGATTTGTGGGTTAGAGGGAAGATTGTTTCTAGAGTTGGTTGGAGTTTGTGTTGGGATTGTATGCTACATAGATTTCTGGCTTAGATTTAATGTTGGGAGGTGCTATTAGGTATAGATGAGGTATGAATGCAGTGGGTCTGTCGCAGTTATTATGATGCTTTGTGGTTTGGAGGGATTCGATGGTGTAGCTTTCTTCTTTCAAGTATCATGAATAATCAGCTTGCCACGCCGTCCTCCTTGGTAATCGACTCTAACCTTGTCACTACATAGGAGTACAGAAACAACGTCTTCGTAATTATGCTCCACAGCCACACTTAGCGGAGTATCCTTGAAGTTATCATCTAAGTTATGTCTCATCTCCCCACTGTCTAAGAGTATCTTAGCAACCCCGGCCCTTCCACTTCTCGCTGCGTAAAATATCGGACTCCATAAATAAGAACCCAACTGTCTTGGATCCCGTCCCCATTGCACACAGAGTCGAACAACATCGTTATTTCCCGCTGCAGCCGCTGCTCCCAGTGGGCTACCATACGGTCCATACCAGAAGGGGTGTGGAGATTCCTCTTTGTGCATGCGGTTTTCTATAAGACGTCGTACTTATTCTTCGACCCCTATACGCGACGAGTTGTAGGGCAGCGCCATAAGCACCGTGCATTTTCCAAGCGCTCCCACCATGGTCCATGGGTAGCTCTGTCAGAAGCTCATCATCACTGCACGCAGCAGCGTACCTGGCACTGCCCAGGTACTCGTGGCTCTGATCAGCCGGTACACCGTCGTCCAGAAGCCCCTTAACAACGTCTCTCAACCCAAGTCAGCCCCTAGTATCATGATAGCGAGCCCATCGCAAGTCTCAGCCCAATGCGTGACATTTTTCAGGTTATCTGTCTCCCAAGCGCGGCCTTTGCATGAGACCAGAGCAACACTTATGGCTTGCCTACAGGCTTCCCCACAGCATTGTGCAGTCGACTGTGACCGTAAGCCAGATGCGGTCTGGGAGATGTGTTCGTGATTGGAGACCTCATGCATGATTTTCTCGGATAGAAGTCATGACCAGAGTCGATCATTCATTGTCTGGTTATACTTTCCGGTATAGAGTTTATTGTCCAGGACAATCTGGTCCGTATAACCTAGATATAAAGTTCATTCACCGATGAGCTTATTAGCACCAGCGATCAGGCAGTGTAATGCTTACGGCAGATACATCGTAAATTCAATATGTCCTGCACATCCAGTGACCTCAGTACCGTCACAACAGTTTCAACGCTGAAATTCTGGAGCCCCATGATGTCCGCCCCCCAGGCTTCCTGGAGAATACTCTTGCGTCTCCGTGTGAGTTGGGCAGAACTGTGATGTATCCCTTTGTTGCATATATAGTGCTGGCATGCGAACACATCAAACAGGCTAAGACGGGTATTTGGCTTGCGCTCAGGCTGCAGATCTATCTTTGCTTTTTGCATAATTCTTTTTTTTTAGGAGTAGGGGGTGTAGAACCCCCTCGCTTCACTGATTTATGTCAGCATACTCTTATGGAGAGTCGTGATACATCTTCCTAGTTACTCTTCCCTTCCGGGAAGACATTTCCGGGATATCGTAGTTCATTCTTAAAGACCGATTGGGGTCAACGTCCTAGATTTCGTTCTACTTTGAATTCATCATCGTACTTATGTCCATACTATTGGTAAAAGGTATGCTCAAATACTCCCCCTTCATGTACATCGCTCTCGTGAACTCCCAGTACTCAGGCATATAGCCCGCAATCTCCCGGCCGACATTTCAGCTCAACAGTTCACTATCCACAAGCAAGTTCAGGGGATGCAAGTCTAACCGCGTAAAGTATAACCGATGGCCGGGACAAATATTGCGACCAGAAATATATTAGCTAATGTGCTACTGAGATGGCTGGTCAGGTGAACATTGAAGTCAAATTCCGAGTTGGACGGGCCTCTAGATCCATCAGGGATGTGATGGCCGAGGTATGGGATATTATTTGCAACCTTTGGTAACTGCGCGATGCAACCCTTTGGATTGTCGGAAGACTAGTCCCGCTCGGAATACGACATCAGATGCCAGACATCCACAAGGAGCTGTCCGTGTAGACGAGTCATAATTAGATACACCTTGCCTTGGTACTTGATACCATCCACTTACACGGGATGCCGCAATGCTGGTATGTACGGTGTATAGCTCAACCAATCTTAACGCGGTGACCTCTTCTCGGAAAGGTGGTCAAACTCCTTAACGACCGACCTAAAAGGGAATCGTTGAATCCATTGTCCTGACAATGTTCCGTAGAACCTGTTCGTCAGGCCATATAAGAAGCAAATAGAATCACAGACGGGCCCAATCCGGTATGAAGAGCCACATCCAATAGAGACCCTTCGAATCACCCATGGAAATTCTGAGACATCCCTATGGGGCTCTGGTCAGACACGTGCAATGTTATCCCCGATGGCAAAGAGATGCAACACGTTTGTGTGAATCGATGGTGTATCTCAAAAAGGAGTGAATTTGGGTAAGTTAATGCCGTGGTGTCAGATGTACAGATGTGGACAAAGGGCAATATTTCCTGGAACACTGTTCCATATCTGAAAATCAGATCATAAGTCTCTTCAGGATATATATTTCGTAACGAGTGCTGCGTCCCTTTCAATCCACCATATATGTATGACAGTTTGCCCCCCCGGGCACATGCAACTTCATAGAGAATAGACGGGGGGATGATACATGTAGCTTCCGCAGCTGAGAGTAATCTCTGATCGCGTTCCATCATCGAAGAGCAGCGAGGGCCATTTCTCTGTTGGACAAGGTGGTCAAGGCGATTTGAACGGGGCTTAAGGCCGGTTACTTCTCATATATTAGTTGAGTCCAGAGAGGACGATTGTACACCAGAGCACCTACACCGTTCCATTAGCCTTCCCCACTCCCTCTTGAATTGACATAGACTGGTTTCCACATTCTGCTGGCCACCTGTGGTCCTTGAAATTAAATATCGTGCAGCAACGTCGGGGCCAATAACAGCTTCGACAAAATGGTTCAGTAGTAGGCGTTCTGAGGACGAGAACCCGGCGGAGACGATAATTTCACATGCGCCGCTGGTGGGTGTTATCGATCAATATGGATCCTAATAATATCATAATGACTGTAATGCAACTGGAAGGTGTCCATATTAGGGCTGGTCAGTGGTGCTGCAGTGGTTTCATGGGTTCATCAAAGGAAAGCAGAGGCGACAGGTGGGTAAATATGATCAGCAGTTAAACCGGCCAGTTGACCGCTTTCGCCATGTCTCACGTCTCAGCCCTCTTTCTGCCTACCTTTTATAGTACATTTACTTTACAGACAATATCAACGAACAATATAAGGTCGAGCAGTCCAGCATGGCGCGCCAACTCATTGCATGCCCCAATGCCAAAATTACCCAGGGCAATTCCAATCAAGCCATGTCACACAATTCCATATCATCATTCATATATTCGTGGTGTACGCGCAAAGAATTAATTCCGTTACGGCCTCAAACTGGCAAAGAGCCCTGGCTGCGGTAGCATATCCCATCTTGGCACAAGAGCGAAACAGATTACAAGTGGGGGCACCGGCGTAAGAAGGCTGACAATCTCTAGAACTGGGTAACTCTGCCAGTTGAGCTGAAAATTGCGGTATAGCCTTCTGCTGTACATGCCTCTCTACACGGTGAATTTGGAAGGAGCGTTAGCTTACAACACCCATTCCTTACCATCAGTGGGTCAGGCGAGTACTACAGGAGCTGGACGACGAAGGGTATATTACAATCCATAGAACGATCGATGCAGCTGAGGCAGAGAGTCTGATGGCTTGGGGCCAATGACAAGCCACGTCGTCTGCGAACTGCAGAGAAAAGCCAAAACAGTCCATCATAGGGGTCCGAGCCTCATCATGTGCCGTGTTCTTGTGTCTCAAGGCCCTAGTGGAGTCCAAAAAGAAGTTCTACAATCATCCGAGCCCGACAACGTTGAGGGCAGACGATGTTCTGGTAACCGGACCTGTCGATTCGAGAGAAAGCTAGATCCTAATCTAGCCAGAGTCAATTCATCTTGTGACCTGAACATTTGCTTTTTCGAGGGGGTTGAAGATCCATTACGTATGATTATCCCCCTTGGGTTACAGAGAAGGCTCCCGATATCTTGCGACGCCAATAGTCTCTACTTCCTTCGTTGTTTCCGAAATTAGCTCTGACAAATACTTCCACTGTACAGGATCTGGTACGTTAAAGGTATTATTATTGAACAGGAGATAATCCATAGGCGAAAGTACAGGTATTGGCTAGTATATCGTTGCAGTTGGAATGCCCCACCATAGCCGTCCACGCTTTCAGGATGAGGGTTCCCATTGGCTGTGCATCAGGTATCCGTATACCACCCTCGATCCACACCCACCGTCACCGTCACCATCCCACGGCCCCGGACGACGTCTGGGAGACGAGCGGAAAAGGCCGGATCGGAATTCTCGTCGGGTGACAGGGCTGTCGCAGGGCTGGCCTGCGGCTGACAGTGGGGGGAGAAGTCTTCCCTTCCCTGTGTCGATCCGATATTATGATGGTGCAGTCATTGTTCGAAAAGGATATTGTAATCCAGCGGGTACGGCATCTTATTCAATTGTCGGATAAAAGAGACATTCTCCGGTGCCATTCGGGGTTGACTTTCCGGAATGGGATGAAGGCGCGCGGTTGATATACTCGGAATAAGCGAGATCGGACACGCCGTTTCTCCAGAAATGGGGTTTGAGTGGCGAAGGGGGAGAGAATTTTCGAACCTTGCGCCGTACAGGCCGGTGCGCTCTATTTAGGGACCGTGCAGCCTCACTAAGCGTGGAGAGGAGTCCATTTGCGGCAGCCGCCTCGGAGAATGATCTGTGGCGTAAGGCTGCAATTCTTGTCCGTCCCGCATGATGATTCGACATATTTGAGAAAACAACTCACGACATCGGGGGAATAGTTTTGGTAGGCGTAAAATACCGGTGTTTTCCCGTCGTGGTCTTGGGTGCAGCAATTCGCGCCTCTCTCAAGGAGTGTTTCGGCTATTGTTGCAGACGGTAACTGGGCTGCGAGATGCAATGCTGTCTGGCCTTGATTGTCCTTAGAACACCAAGCAATGCCGTAGTCCAGCAACCGTTCCACAGATTTCAAGTGACCGTTCAGGACAGCCAAGTGGAGAGCTGTCCGGTTCGCGGAGTCTTTGCTAGATAGGACTGTCTTGTTTTTCAGATATTCCTGTTCCATGGATGCTACATCACCGGTAGCAGCGGCATGGAGAAAGAGGTTATGGCTGTCCATGGCGATTGTCGGGTTCTCTCGTGCAGGTAAGAAGAAATAAGAGTGGGAAGCCAAACTCACACAAGGCGTGATAGTCGGTCTTTATATATTCAGGACAAGGGATGTTTTGCTTATTTTAAACGAATGGGCGAAACATGACTAGACTCCGACTAACGACGAATGGGGATATCAGCTGCATATTAGACTACGGCCGCGTCCGCGTCGGATTAACCGAGTGGATAAATCGCCCCTGGGTTGTTGCTTAGCCTCCTGTCTCCCACGGTTTTCCTCGAGCAACTTCTCCGAGAACATAATAAATCTACGGAGTAGGTTGGGAATGGTAATGGCCAGTAGAAACACGAAAGAAATCAACCAATAACCAGAAAAGGAACGGTATTATAGGTGAATATTCACCAGCAAGGCAGATGGTAGGCAGCTCGTAGCAGCTTCTGGTCCGCACACGACTGATTTCCTTTCTCGGCCTAATGCAAACCTCGGACAGAGTGGATGGTAACCCCCTAGGGCCTAGGCTAGAGCAAACACTAGACCTAGGCCGATGGGGATTGATGTCTAGTGCCGCGATTTTGTGGTTCCGCGGGAGTTGTGGTGGGCCGTTCCACCATTTATATTTTTTTTTCGGCCGTGGCTATTTAGGATTCTCCGTGCTCAAGGACGTTACGGACTGGAATATCGGCTGAACCGACTCGAGTTCGGGTCTGGTCCCGGTGTCACCACCAGCAGGGGTTTCAAGACACTTAATTTTATGGTTAATTGTGATTCGATGTCTCCAGTGATCTCGTAATACCTACGGCAAGCCATTGCGGCCAACGCGTATGAATTTATTTTCCTATATTTTTTTAGGGTTTCTTATCCTCTTCTCGTCGAGTTCTTTCACCGCTTATCTGGCCGCTCTTAGTTAATACTAGTTCTAAATCCTCACTACTAATTGACCCAGTAGTTCGCAGTTATGTGACTATATAATTATACCAAATAGGCTACAGAGTAAAGACTCTATATACATAGTACACAGTATACTACACAAACCAAGTAGACTATACAGACTACTCAGTAACTATATAGAGAACCACACAGACTACACAGACCACGCAGACGAAGTAGACTAAGCAGATTCAGCAGACCAAGTAAGTATTTTAAGTAGATTCAGTATAGAAGACTATTCTGCCGGCACAAAACGTTTAAAATGTAGGAAAATGAATTCATGCGCGTTGGCCGCAATAGCTTGCCGTAATCGTATTGAGATTCCGATCCACGGCTAGCAGACTCTTTGGCTCCCGCACTAGCGTCTTGTCCTTTCTTGACTTGCTGCAGGTTAAAGGATTTTTCATGTGATGAGAATAGTCAAATTATTCACAGCTTTTGGCCACAAGCTAGGTGGGAAGATTACCCAATTGGATTATGTTCGCTGTAACTCAACTTGGGATAGTTAGGCTGGGTCGAATTTGGCACCGGTGGGTAGGAAGTGGGTATACCTAAAACCGCCAACGAATCTTGTTCTCGACCTACGGGGGAACCCCGGAGTAAGTCTCAATTGGTGCTTTCTTTTGTTGGCCGTTCCTTAAATCTCGTTAAGCGAGGTATGGATATCTACCAGGTGGAAAAATATTCTGGAGGAAAGAATAATTCCCCTTGGTTTCCCCTGTCCTGTGCATCGATGGCACTGCGAGGCACTTCGTTTCAATCTTTTATAAGGTAGGTCTAGGGCACTGTGAATTAAGATGAAAGATGTGTCCCGTAGGTATGAGGAAAGCTTGGCAATCATAAATGAGAACAAGCTGCAATTGTATGCCACAATGCTGAGTGAGGTCTATAACATAGACATACATTACAAATCGCTTTATTCCAACTCCCACCCATCAATCCGATTTTGAATAACTCTTATTAGTCTTCGCCATTTACCTAGTCGCAGCAAATATCTTCATGTCTTCCGTTATCGGACTTGGTCGAGTCATATCCACTGGTGAGGAAACCACACGACTAGCCGATCCAGTTTGAAGGTATTTGGCATGACCATGTATCGGACTTTCCGAATATGTCATCATGCCCTGTCATTCTACCCCAGAGTGGAGAAAGCTAAATGTAGTAGTGCTATTGGGCAACATTAATATTTGGCAAATGACAGACAGGGCCATAGCATCGTCGACACCACTCTTAAGTGCAGCTCGACGATACAGGCGAAATATGATATGTGTCTAACAAGACGAGAAGCCATCCACACTTTCTTTCGACGCCTGAAAAAAAAAATGTATATATATAAATGACTTGGTCTCGTTACAAGGCATTACTTGTTCCACACAAGCTGGTGGAAGCATTCTTTCTTAGGATATTAGATATAATATATTTGGTACCTAGACTGCAGATCTATGCGCAGAGGGCAGGAGCAGCGCTTCAACCTTTATACGCCATGGAGAAGGTGAAACCTGATATACGGACAAGGTCATCATTCTAAGCGACAGGAGACTTTTAAGTAGTACTCTGGTGGCTACACCTTCAAATTGAGATAGAGTGTCCTAATTGTAGACGTGGGTGGCTATAACCGCTATTGGACCGTTGGCTTGACAGAAGCTGGGTAGAAATCATACTATTTCAATGGATTACGCTGTGACTAATCGAATAGTTTATGCATAATATCTGGATTATCAGGTAGTTCGCGAATCAGGTGATCATCCATACTAACATCAACCCAACGAACTGCTGGGAAATCAGCTGTCAAAAGAAAAAGCCCATTGAAGGTAGATATACGAACTTCGTACACCCTTGTAGTAGTTGAGAGCCAAACAAATCTCTCTCTCTCTCTATCTCTCCCTTTCCTCTGTTTTTCCTCTGTTTTTCCTTTTACTTTCCATTAGCCTCTAATTCTAAATGTAGCACGCAATTTCATATAATAGCGAGCATAGGGGCATGATGCTTTTGTTATTTAGTCTGTCGTTAGATCTCGTCTAAATGGAAAACGAAAGTCGAATTTACATATCGACACCTAATCACGAACGTCAAGTTAAACTAATGAACAGATTCTGCGTCTTTGTACTGATGTATAGCTCTTCAGCTTCTTCATTGTTATCCGTCATACTGTTCCAGGACAAACTCCGCGATGGATTAGCCAGTTCAAAGGCTGACAAAGTATCCCTGTTAAGGGTGGACATTGAGAGATTTCAAATCAAGCTTTCTAGTGCTCACGTTTGACCTTGAGTTGACTAGCTGAATCAACTGGGCTGCATTCAGACTTGACTATCTCCAGCAAGCCTGGGTCATTGTCGCCCCATGTGACATCGGTCTGTGTAAATCTGGACTGCAGGGTATATGTAACACAGGTGGATCTCTGTGAAGGCATGATGAGGTCGGGTATTGGCCAAGTGGGCTTCGTGGAGTAATCAACGTGCACAAAGAGAAAGATCGATAAATCTAACGCCGATCTATGGGCGGGTGGGGTAGGAGAGCCGCTTGTTAGATATCTCCATATGTCTTGTTACCGAGCAGGCATTTGTATTCACTGCTGGTCCGTCGTATACAGATATTTTCCATTCACTGATTTATTCCCATCTACAACCAATCTTGCGTTTGCACGAGAACCGCCATCTCTATTTCCAAGATACGACCCGATACTTCTATCTATATCATAGGAGCACAATCTACAGGCAAGACTCCTTTTTGGATGCCTTATTCAACGCCTTTCACTCCCAAGGTAACGAAATCGTTATACACAAATCTCGGAACTAGCTCGAACTGTTCTTCGGGAGCACGGTATCACGCGCGATGAAATTAGGAATAGCCCATGGAAAGTACTCGAGTCCTGAAATTGGTCCTTCTCGCACTGTATGAAGCCGAACGCGAACAATCCGGTGACCTAATTCTATCTGACCGTCCCGCACTTGATGCTCTTGTGTATACCGCCAGATATGCGTCCGCAGGCGGCCGAGAGATGCTGGAAACCACAAGAGAATGGCAGTATTTACGAAGTCGCATGATGCAGTCCTTGGCGACTTGTACTCCCCGCGTCGAGAATGGCTGGTGGATAATGGAACACGATTGATGCCGAGTGACTTGGAGGATTGGCACTGAACACATTTGACTTAGTACTGGGTTTTGATAGAGGACGGCCTGTATTATATAGTTCTTCCCGATTTCTCCTTGAATTAGAAGACCGGGTTGGCTTGCCCATCCCTGGTGTATCTGACCTGTCCTACGAACAATTAATGGGATGTGGGCAGGAAGAGCGTCTGGTAAGGAGTGGATTACGCTGGCAAATTTCCATATTTGGGGCCCTTGTGGTTTTGTTCTCCTTCTTGTTTATTTCTTTTTGCCATAATTGACATCTTATGCCTTGACAAAGAATGTACACTTTTCATGTCAAGCACATACTCCGTGTATTCTTTGCAGGCGAACCTCCCTTCTCGATAAATTCCCCCAGTCGCTCACGGCCAAGTGGCTGCGCTATGCCGCTTGCAGTATTTAAACCCCCGTCGAGCGGGATACTTCCCTTTTGGGAACCGGCGCAGCTACATTACAGTTCTGGCTGATGGTAATGGGCAAGGTGGAATCTCAGCCTTGCATGGATAGGTATCCTACTAACCTAACTGGGCAGCTTCAGTTATGCACTTCAGCTGAGCTGTAGGCGAATGGCTGCTCCAAGATCCATCCATTGGCCCGCCCCTAAACTGTCGATCAATGGCTACCTTAGTAGATCCTTAATGATAGGCCATCAATTCACTATGACAGCTAGCCACACAGTGTTTTGTGTCTTAAACCACCCTTTGTTCCCAAATCGATTGGTATAAAATCTACTGTGTCCGCATCTCCTTCGTCTCTTAAATCGTCTTTAACCAAGCAAATTACTTAGCCTTGCGGTCGATTTTAACATATTTTGTTCTTGTTATTCACAATTTACTCTTTACATCTTAGGCTTCTACTGAAACACTTGCCTTTCCTTTTACTTGGCTTTACCAGACCCCGTACCAGGTAGTAGCTGATGAAAATGGTCCTGCGTCAGTTCTCAACGAGTTCCTTGGAGGCATTATGCGCAGAAGAGCACCTGGAGCTCCTAGACTCAGTCGATACACTCCGTCTTCAAGGTATCAGTCACTATATCTCCCTTCCACAAATAATTGTGTGTGGAGACCAGTCGTCCGGCAAAAGCTCCGTGTTGGAGGCGATA